GCGCATCAATTGCCCGAAACTTGCATCTGCAATAGTGTGCAGCTCGTCATTCGCAAGCACGGCGGTTTTTCCAAGCGACTCCACAACCACGCGCAAAAGATGCAGCAGGCTGGCCGGAGCGAAACACTCACTGCGTTTGTCGTGGGACCGTTCGGAGCACCCCCAAGGTGGGATATCTACGAGACGGTTATTCTCATCTCCGCCTCGACTGGAGCTTCCTTTACGCTTCCCATCCTCGAGGCTATCGTGCAGGAACGAGCCAAGACGTGTGTGAAGCGGGTCGAGTTTGTGTTGACAGCGTGTCAAGGCGAGGAGATTGATGTTTACCTACAAAGGCTGCGCGAGGCAGTGGATCGAGCCCACGGCATGGGTCTCGAATTGACGGTGCACGTCGCTATCACGCGCTCCGATGCAAATATCGAGGCTGTGACGAGCGTCCTCAACGGCGATGGACGAGTTGGCACCACAGAATCGCTGCTACACAGGAGAGGAAACTCAAGCAGCTCAGACGCAGAGGGTGGTGAGATGGAAGAGAAGGATAGCATTAGAGCTGCAAACCCTGAGAACCAGCCCGGCTGCCACATGATGAAGGGGAGCTGCTGTGCCGGAGGAAGCTCAAGTAGCGGTGGCTCCGACTTTCTGCGACAGTATACGACGAGACTAGACATTGAGTCACTCATCCGCGAGCCCGTCGAGGCGTCAGGTGGAGAGACGTCAGTGGTGGTATGTGGGGGGCAATCCCTGACGAGTTCTGTACGCAACTGCGTGACACGGTTGTCAGACGAGAGAGCGGTGCACAAGGGGACAGGAGCTCAGGGCATACACCTATATGTGGAGGAGTACTCGTTCTAGATGATGGTCTGAAGATGACATTATACCCCAAATGGAAGAATACAGAAAGGAGACTCAAATTGAATCAGTAACATAAGAAGGCCCCAGGCTTGATTGATGTCTGGCGGGAACAATTCCGTCGCAAGCAATATCACACCGCTACCCCTCCATCCCGGTGAAGAGGCTATGCATCGGTCAAGCTTCTCACCGAGATGCAGCCAATCACCACATGGCAATGCACAGCTGGACGCCCAAAAATTTCCCCTCCAACGGCCCGCGACTGACCTTGGGCTCGACCAACAAACAGCCTTGACTCACACGCAGCACCCCTCGATAGACCCTCTTTCTCTCTTTTTAACCCCTCCTTAATCCGGCCCTACACTACCCCTGGCATGACGAGCCGCCTCTCACAACTTTTCAAACCGTCTTCACTTCGCCCGGCACCGGTACTTTGCCTCCCGTCTCGACAATCGCTGCGCGGTTCCCATCCCTTCTTTGGCTCTGCCTACCAGCTCCCCCGCTCTCCGAACCCGAAGCTAAACGCACATCGAAGTTCCTCCCACACCATCACAGCCATCCGAAGTCTCGCGACCATGGTCACAGAAGCCCCCGTTGGCGACCTCTCCAGCCAGCTCGAGAAACTCAACGTCGGCAAGCTCGAGGCCTTCCCCAACTCCCACCCCGACCTCAACCCTGTCGACGTCTACCGATCACACATTGCCTCCCTCCTCCACGATGTCTCTGGCGTTGAGAAGTCCCTGATCTACAATGCCCTGCAATGGACAGCCACACTCGAGAACGGCGATCTTCTGCTCCCCGTGCCCGCCCTTCGCGTCAAGGGCAAGAAGCCCCATGAGCTGACCGAAGAGTGGCTCGCCAAGGTACGTCACGCGAACGCTTGTCCTCCTCCTCCTCCTCCTCCTCTTCCTCCTCTTGCCGGCCGGCGCAACAGCATACACGCGACTAACATGCCGCAACCCAGTTCCCCGAGTCTCCTCTCATTGAAAAGCCCGTTCCTTTCAACAACGGCTCCTTCATCCAGTTCTGGTTCAAGGCCGCGCCCCTCGCCCAGCTCGTCATCCCCCAGATTCAGCAGCGCACCGAGAATTTCGGCAAGAACCCCCGCAACGGCCTCAGGGATCCCCAAGACCCCTCCAAGGGCCAGAAGCACATGATTGTCGAGTTCAGCAGCCCCAACATCGCCAAGCCCTTCCACGCTGGTCACCTTCGCAGCACCATCATCGGCGGTTTCCTCTCCCACCTGTACGCGGGCGCCGGCTGGAAGGTCACCCGCATCAACTACCTCGGCGACTGGGGCAAGCAGTACGGCCTCTTGGCGCTCGGCTACGAGAAGTACGGTGACGAGAAGGCGCTTGAGACGGACCCCATCAACCACCTGTTCCAGGTCTACGTCAAGATCAACAACGATCTCGCTGAGGAGAAGGAGAAGATCGCCGCGCTCGAGAAGGAGGGCAAGGACGCCAGCGAGCTCAAGAATGAGGGTCTCGACGAGCAGGCGCGCCGCTACTTCAAGGCCATGAACGACGGCGAGCAGGCGGCGCTCGCGCAGTGGAAGAAGTTCCGCGATCTCAGTATCGTTCGCTACAAGCAGACGTACGCCCAACTCAACGTCACCTTTGACGAGTACTCGGGCGAGTCGCAGGTGTCGGAGGAGGACATGGCCGCCTCGGCCAAGACGCTCGAGGACAAGGGCATCTCCGAGGTGTCGGACGGTGCCGTGGTCATCAACTTCCAGAAGCACGTCGCAGGCAAGGCCGGCAAGTCGCTGGAGAAGCCCGTCATTAAGAAGCGTGACGGCAGTAAGTCAAACTCTCCGATGAGACCGTCCGGCACAAGTGGCTGACATGGCATAGCTGCGCTGTACCTTACTCGTGACATCAGCGAGCTGCTGCACCGCGAGAAGAAGTACAACTTTGACCACATGATCTACGTTGTTGCGTCGCAGCAAGATCTGCACCTGAAACAGCTGTTCAAGATTATCGAGCTCATGGGCTACACTGAGACGGCCAAGAAGGTCCAGCACGTCAACTTTGGCATGGTACTCGGTATGAGCACTCGCAAGGGCGTAAGTATACCCACTGTCTGGCTGTTGGGATGGCGTGGCTAATGATCAATACAGACTGTCAAGTTCCTGAGCGATATCATTCGCGACGTTTCTGACCACATGCATGATGTCATGAGGAAGGTTGGTAACATCAGGCACGACCTTGACAGGCCCAAGCTAATGTGGCCAATAGAACGAGGAGAAGTACAAGCAGGTTGAGAACCCAGATGCCGTCGCCGAGACACTCGGTATCAGCGCCATCATGGTGCAGGACATGACGGGCAAGCGCCAGAACTCGTACACCTTCTCCCTCGAGGCCATGACAAGCTTCGAGGGCGACACGGGCCCCTACCTGCAGTACGCCCACGCCCGTCTATCGTCCATCATGCGCAAGGCCAATATTCCCGAGGCGGACCTCGTCAACGCCGACCTCAGCCTGCTCTCTGAAAAGCACGCAACGGAGCTCATTCGCATGCTTTCGCAGTACCCGGACACGGTGCAGAACACCCTCAAGACGCTCGAGCCGACGACGGTGCTCACGTACCTGTTCAAGCTGACGCACGTGCTCAGCAGCTCCTACGACGTGCTGAGGGTCGTTGGCAGCGAGCCCGAGGTGCTCAAGGCCCGTCTGGCCCTGTACTACTCTACCAGGACGGTGCTGGCGAACGGCATGAGGTTGCTGGGTCTGTCGCCTGTTCAGAGGTATGTGGAGGCATTGCCCCAGCGGTTGTCGTACGTGCTGACAATGTTGCAGGATGTAAGAAAGGCGAGTCACGATGTCGCATGTGGTAGTAAAAGAGCACAGGTTTGGTGTCACGGCTTGCCGAGGATAAGGCAATTGAGAGGGTCACGCCACTTTGATGACGAGTTGTCTCTTGCTTACAGCTATTATGAGTCGAGAGCTGTAGTTGCGGCCAATGCGTATTGGCGAAGACAAAAACGTATAATTCCAAAAACCACCGCCAGTCCCTCGACACGTGATGCATGACCACACCTCGAACCCGGGTTTCCTTGTTTTTCTCCTGCCAACCATGAGTGATTGTCCTCTTGTTTCAGATATGCTTGTGCCCAAGCTGGTCCACCAGGAGGTCCGGCCGTCCTTGTTGGGGAAGTCCGGTGGCCACGGCCTTGGCGGCCCCCTATCATCGGTGTTTCTGGAACCTGCGGTGCACGCCTGATCCTTGCATTGCCGAATCGTGCATTCTCATTGATCTGGATCGGACTTTCGTTGCTCTGATTGGCGTTTCCCTGGGGAGGTATTATTCTCTGCATCTGGGTTGTGGTGTGCGTACCGCCAATCTCTTTCCCGCGGAGGCCATCTGCTCGTCGATGTAACGACGCCAACATCGATTGTGAGCTGAAATGTCCTGATCATCTCCATGATCCACGGTGGGATGTGGTCTATACGCAGCCCTCGAAATCTTCGTCTTTTGGGAATCTAGTCTACATGTTCCAGAGCCGTCTGGGGCTCCGGGACGATACTCCGTCATATGACGACACATTCCTGTGCCAGAAATCGTAACGGTGTCTTTCGGGACTTGGCTTCCGTTCTTCGCCTGTAGCAGAGAAAGCTTTAGGCGGTCAGGTTACCGCGCCATTTGGACCCTATTGGGGCCACTTCGAAATCAACCGGTTTGAGAGTCCGTCCAACAATGCTTTTGCTTTCTGTGGGAGAGCGGAGGCCACGTTGTGTTTAGCCCGTTAGACCGTGTGTATGCTTTTGCTCTCTGCGCTAATACCATCTCTTGCGTCGGACAAAATATGCCCAGTCTCTCGGGCTGGGCATGCACGTCGCTAGAGTGCGTGCCACATAATACCTGTTGTTGGCTTCGGGTAGATCGGGTGAGACTTGTGTGCTCAGACTCGACGCCACGTCGTAGACGGTGTTTCTTCTGGGTCTGAGATGAACAAGATGTTGTATCTTTTTTTAGGCTACTCAGCTGCTGGAAGCCAACATGCATTGTCCGGTGGGCTTGGCCTGCGGACAGAAGGTCATCGAAAGCCGAGTGGTGGTATCTCTCTGCATGGCCAATTCATAAGTATACACTTTGGCTTTTTGGGTCCCCCAGGCCAGGTGGTTTCCTACTCGTTCTGACCGTTTGCTTCTCTTCCTCCTTGAAGAGCAGCACCTTTCCTGTTTCTCGCGATAGTTGAATGATACTAAAGTCATGGTGGGCCTAGTACTGGTCGTGGCAGGCGTTCTATGCCTTGGCCTCTACCAGCTATACGTCTCGATCACCACCAAGAAAAAGCTCCCGGATGGCGCAAAGCCCCTTCCCGGGCCGATGAGTAAATTTCTTCCCACGGACCTTCTGTCGCTCATCACAGACACTGACAAGCCCAGACTTACCGTTCATCGGCCGCGTCCATGATGTCCCAGGCGAAGGTAGCTGGCTCAAGTTTCACGAATGGGGCCAAAAGTACGGCCCCATCTACACAATGGACATGTTCGGCTCAACCCACATCTGGATCTCCTCCGAGTCGGTCGCCACAGATCTCCTCGCCCGCCGCAGCACAATCTACTCGGACCGCCCCGTCATCCCGAACCTGCCCGACAACCGCTACAGCGGCAACTACCTCGCCCTCGCCGGCCGCAACGACACGTGGAAGCGCCAGCGCAAGCTCGCCCACGGCCTGATGTCCGTCTCGGCGGCCCAAGACCTGCACGCCTACCCAACGCGCGAGCGCGACCGTCTGCTATGGCTCATGGCGACGCAGCCCGCCGAGTACAGGGAGTGGATCGAGCAGTTCACGTCGCGGACCGTGGCGAGGCTGTCGTGGGGCAGCGCGGCGCCGGCCGACACGCTGCGCGTCACGACACAGGGGTTGCTCGAGACTATCAGCCCCGCCGGTGCGCTGCCGAATGTAGTCTCCTTCCTTGCCGGCCTGCCGAGGTGGGCTTCACCCTGGAAGCGGAGGGAGGCGGCACGACACGCCGTCGAAGAAAAGCTGTTCACGCGGTGCGTTGCTTCAGTGCGGGAGGGCATGGAGGGCGGCGGGGCGCGGCCGAGCTTTGTGCAGACCTTCCTGTCCGATCGAAGCCCCGGCGGGAAGTATGCTGATGTAGAGGTGTGGGATGCCATGTACACTGTCGGCCAGATGGCTATCGCTGGGGCTCTTACGATTGGGAGCCCCATTCAGACTTTCTTGTTGGCAATGCTGCACTTCCCCGAGTGGCAGAGAAAGCTCCAAGAGAGATAGAACCGTCTCGAAGGACCGTGTCCCCAATGGTCTGACCGGGAAAGGCTACCCATGGTAAGAGCTGTGGTCAAAGAGGTGCTGCGGTGGAGGCCACCCGTGCCAACGGGCATTCCTCACGCGGTGGAAAAGGATGATGTGTACGAAGGGTACTTCATCCCCAAGGGCGCAACCATCCATGCCCTCGAGTGGTAAGTTTTGACTAGAATATAACGCGGGATACAAAGCTAACAACGTAGGTCCATCACTCGCGATCCCGTCACGTATCCCGACCCTGAAATTTTCAATCCCGCCCGCTGGCTGGAGGAATCCTACCCGACGTACAGAGCACCACTCACCACATACCCTAATCTCGCAAACTACAGTCAGTTTGGCTTCGGTAGGCGGACCTGCCAAGGCGTCTCCATTGTGGAGCAGGACTTGTTCCTGACAATGGGCGGGTTGGCGTGGGCAATGGATATAACTCCAAAGAGGCGGCCCGATGGCAGTGCTGTGCCAGTCCACTGGAACGACTTCACGCCACTCCTGATTGCGAAGCCCGCCGCATTTGAGTTTGATGTCAAAATCCGGAAGGGAAGAGAGACTGTTTTGCGGCAAATGCATGAAGAGGCAGCGAGCGGGGATGATTTGGAGGAACAAGCGTTCAATGGGCAGGCCACTAAGGAGGGTATGTTCGCGAAGGAGGCCAGTGGTCTGTCTGAGGTCGAGGGCCAGTATCACGACTTTGAGAAGGGTGATGCTCACATGCAACACACACAGTGCTGAGGATTAGGGCTGATGTAGTTTTCGCAAGCTTCCAATAATAAACCCTATAGACTAAACAAAGGGTTCAACGGCAAATCACGAGGTGTGGTCGAAAAAGTGAACAGAAGTTTGCTTTACTCTCCTCCAGCTACCTACAATGATCCTGCGCTGCAACGAACCCTTCTTTCATGCTGAACCTCCGAGTAAACTGTCCCTTAATGTTCTGGCTCAGTTGGCTCGGCTTGCGTTTCTGTTCATTCCGCCTGGCAGGTGATTGAAAGGTAGTCAAAATCGACGATATCAGTCAGAATTGCTACAACCGAGGAGGTATGATAAGCGAGGTCAAAGTCTTTCGCAGGCACCGAATGCCGGCTTAGTGTCAAACGAGAATTGATGCCCCGAATTGGGTAGTCAAGCAAACTGATCGATCAATTCTACGACTAAGCTATGACCCCGAGACTTTAGCAACTTGAGTAGGCGGGCCTCATGGCCCTGATACTCCATCATTTAAAGGGGATTTGGGGACCACTAGATTATGATGCCGAGCCAGTTTACAGAACACGTATAGGGTCTTTCAAGTGTTTGCAGTTTGATACACCGTCTGAGATAGGGTTTGCAGCCCAGCCACCTGCAGGGTGCTGGAAGCCGAATCCATGATTTGTTGCTTCTTCTGTACATCGCAACGTGAGCTGGCATCGAGACTTACTTCCAAAAGAGTGTGTTGCATCTGGGGAAGGGGGTCACCCTCCAGGGCCTACAGCTGGCTAGTTCCTGGTGAAATAGTGTTTGAAGTTATATAATACCGGCTTGTTCAAGACGTCGGTTCGTCTATCCATGACAGGCGAACAAAACAGTTCCATCAAGTTCACGGCTTGGCCGGTTTCCCTTGACAGAAAGGTCAAAGCTGAATACAAAGCTATAGCGATAGATAGTGCTCGATCTGGCTTAGCAAATGATAGCTTGAAGTGAATCGCGCGGCTTTATACTTACAAGACATGGGTAAACTCTCTCCGAAGATTCATGATAGGACCAAAGAGCTGTTGTTTGTGACGGCCTGCCTCCGGAGACGCGCTGGGACCCCTGGTCGTATTTTGGCGTTGTCAGCGATCTTCGAAGAAAAGCTGGATCTTTCGTGGTGGCTGTGGCCGATTTCTTCGAAGGCCGTTCCTCCTTTTGGTTGGCTAACTTGTCCAAATTGAGATGAGATGGGAAGAATCTCCATGGAAAAATACCTCTCCCTTTCCCTAGACAACCTCAGCGCCCTTTTCGCGGGGACATCCGTCATGCACCCCACAGACCAGTCCTGGGGTACATGTCCCCATTCGATTTGGGTGAATCTGACAGGTTATCCACCCCAGCCTCCAGAAACCACTGACGCCAACGGGCTCCCCATTCAGCTCGAACCCCAGAAGCTGTTTCAGAACCTTGGCAGTATCCCCCGCTTCTCCAGAGAATTAGGGAACGGATGGGCGGATGATTCACGCATCACAACGAGTTGTCATCGCCAAACAGGCTTTGGGTATCTATCTAAGCGTTATGGCTTGCCCGGCATGATCGTCCGACATCTGCATCTCCAGCGCTAAATTTCAAGTCCTCCTCACGCCACGTAGCTCTTCATCCCATCATGCCAAGAATGGAGATTCGCGTTTCTGAGGATGAGGTTCGGGCCGCGGATGTCGGCAAGGTCGATATTATCCACGATGAAAAGGCCCAAGATATCACCGCGATCACATCGGCATTCGCCAATTTGACGTGAGGCCAAGCCATCAGGAAGTTCTGGCGCCTCTATGGCACGATACTTTTGACCTCTATCGGAGCCATGTGAATGCGTCCAAAGATGCTCCGCACGCAACAGTCCAATTGACCTGTCTCGGAACAGGTACGCTGGTTATGCAGCCTCCGTCATTGGTAGCATCATCGCCAATGAGGGGTTCATCAGGCAATTTGCGACTGTCACTGACTCGGAAACGGGGGCGCGAGTCCTCGCCTCGACGCATGTGTAGTTGTGGCAGGCCATCAACTTTGTTGCTCAAATTTTAATACAAATGATCGCCCCCATCACTGCTGACCGCTTTGGACGCAAGTTCAACATGTGGGCTTTGACAGTTTTCCTTACAGCTGTTAGGATTACCCTCGATTGGTCTCAATATTGAACTCTTGCTGACAGTCAGCCCTCAGTCAATCATAATTTCGATCGTCCCCAAGACTTGGGAGGTCATCCTAGTTTCCCGCATTAGCAGTGGTATGGCGGGAGGTCTTCTTGGATCATCAATCATGATATACATGTCAGAGACAGCCATGCCACAATTTAGAGGCGCTCTCCTTGCTAGCTTCTCTCTCTTCTTCGCTGTCGGTCAGCTGTTCCTTGCTGTTGGGCTCAAGATCCTTGAGGATACTGCACCACTTGAATTTCGGAACATATTTTACTCCGAGTTCGTCCTGTTTGGTCTCTGGCTGATTCCCATGGTCTACCTTCCAGAGTCTCCCGGTTCGTATATCCTCTATTATTCCGATGATAAGGAGTCTGACAAGCGAATTCAGTATGGTACGCCCTACATGACCGCCCGGACGACGCCAAGAAAGCTCTCTGCCGTCTTGTCGGGAATGTGGAAGGCTACGATGTCGACCACGAGTACGACGTGATCAAATATGAAGCCGACGAGTCCACCCGCATACAACTTCAGAGCGGCAACACTGAGTGGCGCGCTTTCTTCACAAGGACAAACATGAAGCGCACCATCATCTCCACGCTGCCTTTCACCATGCAGAACTTTGTCGGCGCGCCCCTGTTCTTCAAATATGCGACCTACTTCTTCTCGCTCGCTCAGCTCGACGATCCTTTCCTCGGCAACCTTATCATCCAGCTTGTATTAGTTGCAGGCATTATCTCCTCGTTCTATCTCGTTGACAAGACCGGCCGCCGCACCCTTGTGCTCATTGGAGGCGCATTCATGTCTTTGTTGTGCTTCATAGTTGGCGGGCTCAGTTTCTTGACGCCGAACGCGGCTACTGGGTCAGCTCTGGTGGCTTTGTCTTCAGTCTGGGCCTTCACCTATGCCGTTTCTGTTGCCCCAATAGGTATGTTTCACCCTTCATCTCGTCAACTCAGGTTCTAACAAGGCGGCAGGATGGATCAGTCTTGTCGAAGTGTCGAGTCCGCTTTTCCGCGCCAAGACCACAGCGCTGGCATCGATAATTCAGTCCGCATCGGGCGTGCTTTTCGTAAGCTTTCACTCACAGCTTCGTTCCGATGATCAAAAAAGATTGGCTAATATGTTGAGTGAGTAGAACTATACTGTTCCTCTTATGTTGTCCAACCAGAACGCCGGCTGGGGCCAGAAAATCGGTCTCTTCTTTGGAGGCATCTCTGTTATCTATATGATCCCGGTGTTTTTGATGTTTCCTGAGACGAAGGGTAGGACATATCAGGAGCTGGATGAGTTGTTTGAGAGGCGTGTTAAGGCCTGGAACTTTGCTGAGACCGAGACTTCCCACCAAAGGAGCGTTGATGCGAGGCTTGGTCACGCAAGCTAGTGGAGTTACCTAAACGCAAGAGAGAGGTCAGTTCGAAAGATATGACCGGCAGATATTGGTGAATCATGAATAAATGGTTACAAAGTTGATCAAATCAAGTCGGTCCGTGGCCCGTGGAGGTCAACCAAAGCGCCTAGAGATCTCCAGGCAGCGCCTCTCTTATCTCGAGGACCGCTCAAGGGAATTACATATGATATTGACAGGCAAAAGGCTGTGTGGATAAAAAGCGAATACCACGTCGACTTCTCATTGCGAGATATCGTTTGGGCGCATTGGGCCATAGCCTTTGAATATCCCCCGCCTGTTGAGAGACAAGGTGTCCTCGATGTCATAAAGCTAAGATCCCAGCCAATTCTTCTGAAACCTTGGAGTTTAACGAAGTGATGACATCAAGCAACTGCGAGAAAAGTGCATTGGCACGAGCAGCTAAGACCTGATCATCCGTCTGGTGGGCAATGCCAAACAACTCCACACCGGCCTGGCGCAGCTTCTCTGCCTGCCGAGTTCTCAGCCAAAATCAATGGGTACGGGGCTCATTTTAAAGTCGGTGCAACTTACGCCTGGTTCACCGTTGGCCTGCAAGCTTTCGAATGGGACCGACTTGACTGCTAACAGCATGTCATTGCTGATTTTCAACCTGCGCATGGCGAGCATGGAGCCGTCATTTGTCAAACCAAACAGATGACACAAGCCGTGTTTCTCTGCTTGTCGAATAATGGCGAGCCGAAAGCAGTGGTATGTGACTATAAGGTTCGTCTTCTGGGCCCAAAAGGAGCGACGGTACTGCAGCGCAACAGCTTCATCAGGCGCGGAGTAGGAGTCAGGATTCGCCAGCCATGGCGGCAAGTCGTCAAGAAGCGCACAGAAGGTGAGATAGGCGTGCATGATGGCGTTGGCGCGCGTCACCGGCGTCCCGGCTTCGCTCTGTGGTGCTCGCGCACGCGCGTGGGCGATTATCTTCATGTCAAGGAGGATGTCCGTGCCTGATCTCCAGAGTTGGGTCGACATGTGAAAAGCGGTCATCGTCTTCTCTTCGAATTGAAAGGAAGATTCTCCGTGGAGTAGCCTGCGTGCGACGGGCCCTCGATGGCCAGGGTAATGGGCTGCTCGAGGCAGAGATCCATTATCATGGAGGGGACGCCGTTCAAGACCGACGCTGACTTGTCGCCCTGGTACATACACCAAAACATGCGCCGTAATCGCTGTGCCTCTATGTCGTCGACCCCGGTTAGAGACGTCTCGTCATATAGTCGAAGGGTGATGGCCAGAAACCAGGCGGAACGAAGTAGATGCATGGCAGCGCGGATCTTCCCAAAGAAGTGAAGAGTGTTTGACTGGAAATACCGGAGGAGAAGAGAGCTCGAGTTTGGATGCTCTATATCAAAGTCTTCATAGCAGGAGAGCATGTTTCTTGATGCCGAGAGAAAGCTCTTTGCGAGGTCAGAAGCGTCATAAGGGGTGACTGGATGTGGTTCCGCCAGGGTGCACATTACGGCGCAGAGAGCAGTGAGTAAAGTGTACGATCTCATCTCTTCGAGAGTGAATCCACCATCATCTTCTCCGCCTTTTACCGATGTCGTGGATGGTGAAACGGGATGCTGCTGTGATGGAGTCAAAAGAGGGATGGCACTGTACAGACTCTTGATATGGACTGCGGGACAAAAGGGAAACCTGTACATGACAAACTTGTCGATCCATTTGCTGGCAAGGTCCTGGGGTTGTCCGAATTTGCAGATGGCTGTTGAGAAGTTTCTATGGGTTTGAAGAGCTACCGACTGAACGCCAAGGGTGGATTGGCGAGGCGTGCAAGCGTGTTGGCCAGCTCCGATGAAGCTGGCTGTTAGTCCTGGTGTTGTTATGGAGCGAGCATGTACTGATTCTGGTGAGTGAGACGATATGACATCGTTAGAATGTCTAGCCTCGCTTTCTGGCGTGCCATGGCCATGAGGTGGTGCATAGATTGTGATCGCATCATTGAAGCTCGGCTCGTGTGCTGCTAGTGATGTCGCGAGGGTGTCATTGCCAGAAGGAGGAACTTTGGAGGACTTCTGGGCGATAGGCTTTGGCCCTCCTCTTCGTCGGGGTGCCTTGTACTTGCATGCGGTCCCATAAAGCTGGCAATTCCCGCACAGGGGCGCCTTGGATTCGCATTTGATCTTGCGAACGCGACAGGCGTCACACGCCATGGTCGACACGCTGCGTCTCATCGCCCGAAATAACCTGGACGATGCGACTTGCATACGTTGACTTGAACGTGTGGTACCTTGTTCGTTTGTTGTTGTGCAGGCACCAGTACCTGGACGATGGACTGCCTTTAAAACTCCACGGAGAAACCAGCCATCAGCCGTGGTCGGCCTGATAGCCTCAACTGTGTGGGGTGGGAGGTTGATCATGGGGAACATTCGGACTGGCGCGGCATGAAACATACAACTACAGGACTGTGGCGCTCCTTTTGCCTGGATGACTGGTAATCTTTTAGGAAAGGCATGTTGGGGTGTTGTCGATTTGCCTGCGACATCCGTAAATGTGTATGGCCAAGCAAGCAACGCTCGCCAAGAAGCATGACGCCCGGCGGTACTTTGCCAATCTCAGTATGAAGAAAGCCCAAGAAGAGATCGTGTGCCTATTGCCAGGTTCGGGGCATCATGAGCAGTTTCACAGACATGTCGGACGTCTTCGAGCCTAGAAAGAGTCACAGGCAGTCAACCATGGCCCTGTTCGCTCAGTGGGCGAGAATCGGTCTTCGGGTTCGGAGCTAACCAGCCCACAAAAGACCCCTCACAAATGTCATGACGTGTAACGACATGGACGTTCGCTGACAAACGGCCACCCTCTCTAATCTCATCGTCACGCGGCTCAGTACCATAACCTTTAGTCCAACAGGCAAACTTCCTTCGATCAGGAATTATTCAATAAACCACATTTGCGTCCAACACCCTTCACAGAATCTCAAAATGGCTCCTGCGAGAATCGGCGTCGTCACCGGCGCAAACAAAGGCATCGGCTTGGCCGTTGGTAAGCGCCCCCGTCTGCGATCCGGCGTCGTAGACCTATCCTGCTTACTCTCGTTATAGTCCGTCAACTGGCGCTTCAGTACCCCACGTCACACATTGAGAACGGCTCCTTTTTGGTCTATCTTACCTCCCGCGACGACACCCGCGGCAAAGAAGCTGTCGCATCTCTGGAACAGGAACTCCAGAAATCCAAGGTTCTTGCGACAGATGGGGGAGCCACTGAAGTCAAGCATCATCAACTGGATATCTCCGATTCAAAGAGCATTAAGACCCTTGCAGACTATCTGAAAAAGGAGCACCCAGATGGCATTGACTTCGTCATCAATAATGCCGGTATTGCCCTAGAGGGCTTCGGTAAGTCCGAGATGATCGAGACGGCGAGGACACCAGACTGACGGCCGCCAAGACAATGATGTGGTGAAGAAGACGATCGCGTGCAATTACTACAGCACTCTGGAGGCCACGCGCGCCTGGATCCCCACCCTCAAGGCCGATGGCCGCATCGTCAACGTGGCCTCCATCTCCGGCGCGCTAAACAAGTACTCTCGCAGCATCAGGGACCGTTTCATCAACGCAGAGGCCGTCGATGATGTCACGGATCTCATGGAAGAGTTCACAGCCGCCGTTGCGAAAGGCACGCATGAGGCTGACGGATGGCCCAGTGCTGCGTATGCCGTGTCGAAAGCTGGCGAGATCGCACAGACGAGGGCCATTGCAAAGGAATTGAAGGACGACGGCAGCAAGATTCTCATCAACTCTTGCCATCCCGGCTGGGTCGTGACTGATATGACCAAGGGCAAGGGGACGAAGACGGCCGATCAGGGAGCGCAGACGCCGGTTCAACTGGCGATTGAGGATATTGGCGGCAAGTCGGGCACGTACTGGTCTGACGAGAAAGAGGTCGACTGGACTGCTTGAGGGGATTTGGCTGGCTTGGACCGATGTCCCAAAGTAGTGAGGCGAGGTTGCCATCATGTTGGCTGATATCTTAAGCTTCTTCTAGAAACAATGAATCAGATCTACTGCTGCAGGCCTGCAGCATAGCGAAATTCACCGAAGGAAAGCCTAGTTTTCATGTATGAGCTACCCCGTATATACACCTATCCTTCATTCATGAAATGTCACCAGTGCATGCTACGCCCGACAACGCCGCGCTCCATGTTGCCCCATCCTGGAAAGCGAAAGGGTATCGTGCACAAGCCTCCTCAGACAAGGACATACTTCTCCGTCTTCACCTTGCCGTCATTCAAATCATCAACCAGTTGCACGTGAGCCCTCTCCTCCTCCTCAGTGAAGGCCATGAAAATTCCGTTGAGCAGTACATAATCACCCCGATCGCTAAACTTGCGTATCGCAAACAAGGAATCCTCCGTCGCACCCTTGAAAGACACAATCGGGTCACCAACGCGGACGCCCGTCACGCGTTCGGCGACACCGAGGATGCCGGCATCAGTAAGGAAGTACTGCGCCTCGTGCAGCCACTTGAGCAGTTTTGCGTTGTAGAGCGACCAGATCTCACGCTCCTCGGTGGGCAGCGCGTCCGTCGTGCGCGTCACGATGGCGTCGTACCACGTCGTCCACTGTTCGGGGGTGAAGCGGACATCCTGACCGCCGGTGAAGGCGGCGCGGAGGGACTCGACAAATTCGACGCGGCGTTCTTGACGGGACTGGCCGGGTCGCGGGTGGTAGGTGACGAGGTATTCGGTCTGTATCAAAACGCGAGCAAGCTGGACGTAACAGTCGGCATCAGTGATGGAGCTGTCTGGGTCTTCGGGAATGGTCGATGGATCTTGAACGTAGGCAATGGTGTAACGATGAGCGCCTTTGACCGCGAGGCGACGCAGATCTTCCGAGAAGACGACATCATCACTACCAGGATTGATGCCACCGCGTTCTTTGGGAGGATAACCTTTGAACCGCAGCGAACGGATTTGCCAGGATCCGGCCCAAATGTGAGTCCAGTTTGGTGACCACGATGGCAGCCCCTCATCGCGGGATCGATGGTCGGAGAGACGTAGGAAATCGAGATCGCGTGTGCGCAGGATGGTGGCAGCCGTCACCTCGCGATAAAGCGCGTGGACAGGCTTTCGATAATCAATGTCGACATCCTGGCTCTTAGGGCCGCAAATACCGAGCAACGAGTAGATCATGTCGCGGGGATCCGTTAGCTCGCGGCCACGACAGGTTCGCAGCAAGTCGATCAGGTCGTTGGCAAAAACGCCATGATCGGTGCGCTCGCGACAAAAGTTCATGGCTCTGATACCGAAAAGGTCGAAGATGCGATTCGAACCCGGGAACAGGAGACTTGCTCGGTGGTCCTGGCCGAATTTGGCGATGCCGTCGGCGGCGGCGGCTATTGCGCTCCAGGACAGCTGATGCTCACCGACTTGAAGAGTCACACTTTCAGAGAGGCAGACCTCCTGAATTACCCACTGTCGACGAAAGTATGAACGTTCGGTTAGCTTGAGGAGGGTGAAAAGAGCGACAGGTGGATGGCGGGCGACAACTTCAGGATAGGCGTCAGATCCAGCCTCTTCAATTGCGCGGGCAAGGTCAAAAGCAGCGCCAATGTCCATATGCTCGCCTGGCTTGAGTTCGTCTTCATCCTCCTCCGGAACGCCGACCCAGCAAATGACAGCCTCGCTGCGCAAGTAGATCTTGTTCATGAGGCGAACCTGGTAGTTCTTCTCAATAACATTGCGCTGATCGATGCAAATCGAGTCGAGCCAAACAGTACGAGGCTTGTCTTCGTAGCGCAGGTGGTCGAGCGCCTTTTCGACATTTTCGGTGACGAGAAAGGGAGCGCCGTTGATTGTGATGGGCTGCGTAAACGTTGCCTTTTTCCAGGTGTAGGAGAGAGCTAGGTAGCTGGGACAATCGTCGGCAAAATGACGCGTCAGATGGCCAACAAGGGGTTCGCCTTGTTTTCCAGGTTCAATGGTCAACAGTCGGATGGTGTTGAGGCCGTGAATGGCAGGCAGGGCTTCCAGGGTCTCGACGTAATTGTTGACATGGTAGCCATCAAGCAATGGCGCATGGCTGTAGGCCTTTAAGGAGCCCATGATACTGTGCAATGTCGCGAGCGATAAAGCGCGAGGCGAGGAACGAGTGACGGTGACGGTCCGACTCGAGCAAGTGGCGATAGGAACAACTGTAAACGTCCATGACAACTTGGCAAGCGGCGATTCTGGGCTTTAGTACCGAAAGCTCCCCGTCGAGTGATGATTGTCTGATGTCTGCGACCGTCAGGCGGCCTCAAATCCCTATTGGGTCATGATCCATGCTTCTGCCCTACAGGGGGAAGGATTTTATGCAATGGTACGTTGCTGTGACTGCATCGCTGGCTGCATTTACTGGACGAAGGGACTTTGGTAGGTGCCCCCCTAAGACCTCCCTCGTCTCAGCCTACCAGGACCAGGAGGTGATCGTAACCTCACGTCGCACAAAGTGGAAAATGACCTTGGCGTCAGCGTTCTCGCCCCCACGACATAAGCTGCGCGGGGTCAAAAGCTTGTGCGTGACCTGCGCGTCGGTGTCCCTTCGTGGTCCATGTCGAAGGATCGCTGACATGGAACTTGGGTGAAGTGCCTACCTGCAGGAGCAGGGATGCAGTGAAAATGGCGAAGACCGCTAGCTTCAGGGAGGGCAACCCCGCTTCGACGCTGGGGGGTTGTCGAGGCTCATATTTGCGGGAGAGCGAGAAAGTTGATGGAAAAAGAACGAGGTTGACACACTGAAGACTTTCTCCCCTGGAAATCGATACCGTTGCTGGCAGAAATTCTGGCCCAAACCCCTCCGACGTAGCCCTGGAAGCTGGCGAGCCCTTGCCGCAGCAACGCGGCTGGTCTATTGGGCACGTCCGCCCCTTTAGTGTATCACAACGTTCCGAAGCTCTCGCCAGTGTGTTCAGAGGCGCTGCGGCATCTACAAAACCACCTGCAGTTCTTCGAGGTCCTGTGGTCAAAGTCGAACCTTCTTTCCGTCAAGACACTAGTCGAAAATGTTCTTCTCTCCTAGTCAAAGAGAAACCAGAGCCCTTGACATCGCTGTCGGTTGTATGTTTCGGTTTCGGGAGCACGATCATCCTCATTCTGAGTGCCCATGATGAATGGTGTGCGGGTACTAAGCTGTAGAGACAACCAGAGGAATCAAGTTGCTCCTCAAACCAAATATCTGTTTCTTTCAATGAGGTATTGGTTGCAAAATTCATGGAATCCTGGCAAGAGTCGCTGTGTGCCCGTCCACAGAGGTCTGCAGAATACGGGCCAGGTTCTGTCGAATTCATGCTTGATCGCAACAGGCAAGTCAACCAGCATCGGACGAAGAAACAACAAGGCTTGATTATTTTATTTACTCTTCAGCTTTTTTTGTTTTCAAAGGCAGATGTTCTATGAGCAGCGACGACCACGGCATTCGACTTGACAGTATCGGTCGCTGGTCCCCGCCCTACTGGGTCTTATACACGTCCTGTGGCGGGGTAATCGTAACCACACGCCCTGTCCCATCTGAAGCGCCAAGGCCCCGGTATGAAAGGATACCAGCCCAAGTCTATCGAATGACTTTTCAGAATAGCTGGATATATCAAAAGATAATCTATGACAATACCTCAATCTACCGTCCTGTTGACTCCCCTTTTCTCAACGTAGCTCCAAAGCGTCCCAGAGATCGCACAACCATGGCAAGCCCCAAGGGCTAGCATCGCCCCTTGACCTATCATGACTTGTCTTCTCGAGATCTACTACCAAGCGTGATGTGCCCCTACCTGGCTCATCTGAGCTGTGGGCCCAGAATTTATGTTGCGACCACATGCTGACTTGTCGATCGACCGTTGAATGAGGCTGAGAAACGCCTGAAATCAAACCATACGGAGACCTCAGCATTTCTCCGATTGCATCCTGTCATCATTATGCCACTCAGTGCTTCATAGGCATGAAAGTGTTTCGAGGATTTGACGGAAGGCTGAGGCTGTTCAGACCCGACTTAACGCGAAACGTCTCAACATGAGCGCGCAGAGGGTCGCTCTGCCTCAGGAACAAGAGCTAGCCATTAGTGGCAGCATCGTCGTCGCTCGTATTGCAACAGCTGAGGATGTTCTCACAGTCCTGAAGGAGGATATCTATTCTCACCCATGGGTCTGGGACCTGAAGAACGTTCTGATCTACCCAGTTCTTGCTCGGAGGCTTCTTTCCACATTGACAAGCACACTGTTGATGAGAGCGTGCATCCGTACTTCAAATGTGTGTACCAAAAGGCGCTAGAGTGATGTCAGGCTCGTGGGGTACCGGGGATCGGTTGAGTAGCCCCTCAGTACACGACCTGACCAACTTTCTTAGGTAGCTTGTAGCTCATTCCTACCTTTAAAGGCACAAATACCCCCGAAGACATGGCCTGTACAGTAAAACAATTGCCGATTTTGAAAGAGGTCACCACCACATTGCGAACTCCAGAATTCCTTGCGCCATGAGCGTCATCACGGGATCTGGTGTTGTCCAGCGGGGGAATCAATTAGCTACAGAGCAGATCGAACTCCCATCCCTCGGAGACCATCATGTACTCGTCAAGGTTGAATGGGCAGCTTTCAATCCAACAGATCGTGAGTTTCAAAATCCAGCATATCACATATCGAGCCCACGTCTCACACTCTGAAGTCGCATTCGATCTCAACGCATTCGGGGACGGCGCTGTGCTGGGCTGTGACTTTTGGGCGTCGTTGTAGAAACACACCCGTCCGTCACCAGACTGGCTGTCGGCGACGAATTGCTGCCCTTGTATGGGGTGGTAAGTGTTTGAACCGTCTTTGCGTAACAGGCAAAAGACATCTGACAATAACGGTTCGCTAGGCGAGATCAAGGGGCTCGGGGCATATTCGTACGCAGCATCTCTACTCATTCCCCGAAATGGTCGTTGACTTGCTAGGACACACTGCCACGCCGACGAACGCATCTCCTTCAGGGTCCCCGACACTTTAAGCCACTCGAGCGCATGCTCCATCCCTCTTGCTGCGAACACTGCCTGGCTTGCGCTGTTTTCTCAGGGCTGCCTGGCGCTGGCCAGAGAGACTACCGCAATAAGGCCACCCATCCTAATCTGGGGAGGAAGCTGTAAGCCATCTTTCTTGAACCTACAGAAGAAGCGGCCTGCTGAACGTCGCGGCAAGCCACTGTCGGCTACTTCGCCATCCAAATGGCGAGGCTACACGGCCACGAAGTCATCACGACATGCAGTCCCTGCAACTTCGAGTTGGCAAGACGAGCGGGAGTGACTCACGTCTTCGACTATAACGACCCAGAAGTCACGGCCAAGACTCGCTCCGCGGCCCCGGACTTGGCCCACGTTTTCGACACCATCGGTTCGGCGACGTCCTCGGCTACGGCATGCGAGGCGATGGACGGCCGGCCTGGAGTCTTGTGCACCGTCCGGCCGGGCAAGGCCAACAAGGGGGACGTGCCGCCTAACGTCAAAGTCACGGATGTTTTCGTATTCACTGCCTTTCCGAAGCCGCATTCCTACAGGGGGACGGCACACTGGCCCGTACGTATCGAAGACGTTGTTCTTGTACCTACGTTGTGCTCTCGTTGCTGACGGTTCAGGTGACGCAGATTAACATGACGGACCACGAACTGAGCGTTGAGCTGTACGATCAACTGCCGACGCTCCTGGCAGATGGCAAACTCGTGCCTCCGACGGTGAAGGTTGTGGGAGCGCTTGGTCCAGAGACCGTTGCTGAGGCCATGAATCTCAACCGCAGTGGCAAGATATCGGGGGAGAAGCTGTGCTTCAGGGTGTCGGCGGATGCTGCTGCCGAGACCGAGGGTGCAAAGTAGTGGGGTCATCATCCAGAGGTCACTTGAGCCACTCAATGCTTGCAATAGGGGGTTGCCTACGCCGGTGATCCTTCTATGCTCCCTCATTTTCTTGCTGTGATTTCCGACACTACTGATGGACGTTTGCCCCCCGAAATTTGTGTCCGTTCTCAGCTCTTATGATCTCGCCAAAACTCGAAATATTAGATTAATAAAAGGTCCTCAAGCAGTAAGAATGCAGTGACATACAGGTGAGTATGTATCCCAGGTGAGAGGAATCGAAACACAAGAGGGACGGAATGTTTTCTACCCTCGCCCTTTGCACTCCCATGGCAAATCAAGCATCCAGAGCATAGAAACTGGTCTCAAGACACAGCCAAATCGTTAACATGTTGCTGGCAAGCGGGAGCCCATGGCAACCATCTGGCTCAGTGTAGAAAACAGCAGACAGGAGGTTATCAATCTAGGTAGGCTAATCAAGAATCACGTGTGACGCATGCAGTCCTCATGTGAAATCGTGATGTGAACCCCTCCCCATCTGGTCTCGGGAATTCGCGGGCGTCTCAGACACAGGGCCTGGTGACCGATGAGGCAACCACCCGACCTCGTGCCAGGCATCCCGACCCCCTAACTCTAGGCAAGACTGTTGAACTTGAGTCATCTTTCACTGTGTCGGGCAAATTGATGTCATGTCTCACACGAACATTGTCCAATGCTGCAATACTCCAAATTGCCCTCAGTACCTATGGAAAGTCTGACCCAGAGCTCTCTCGATGACGCGACAATAAACAATGGTACAAAGACTAAAATGCTATTCGTCTCAGCATACAGAGCCGCCGGCTGCCATGATTTCAGAAAGGACAAAGGAAAACAAAATGCTACGTTCTCGCACAGAGTCCCTCACACACCATTCCATCATCGCCAGATGGCCAGGATAAGAGGGCCAGTCCGCAGCGGGCGCTTTGCCCGCCTCAAAAAGCGTCAGAGGCGTCCCTTCCCCGCTCCGGCGAGATGAAGAGGCAGAAAAAAAATGTACAAGCCTCTCCAGTCAAGCAAAGAGAAAGGGAAAGAAGCATCCTCCACAGCGGACCTGTTACGAGCCGTCTCCCAACACGATCCAAACTCCGGTGGCAGCGTCCTCCATCACGGTCGTCGTCGCCACATCGTCTGCGTCTCGCTCGCGTGGCAGGACAGCCCACTCCGTCTCGTCGTCAAGCTCGTTGTCCTCGTCACGCTCAGCCCTCTCGTCACTCTCCTCCTCCTCCTCCTCAGCCTCGTCGGGGATCAGGTCGGGCGTGTGTCCGGCAGGCGGCTCATCGACGGCAGGCAGGGACCGCCAGACGGTGCGGTAGCCCCGCCTGTGACGACCCTCGGCTGCGGCAGCGGCGGCCATCTCGCGCGATTCGGAGAGCAGATAGCGCGCCACATCGTCGTCGTCCTCGAGCCCCGTGAAGTCCCAGTCCATCTGCAGCGCCAGGCTCTCGGTCGTGGACGCCCTGCTGCGTGTGGCCGCGGCACCGCGATGGTTGCGCTTGGTGGTCCGGCGGTGCGAGGCAGCGCGCGTTGTGATGGAGTAGACGGGCTCGTCGCGGACAATGGCGTCTAGGCCGAAGCCCGCACCCCGCGTGTGGTCGTCATCGTAGAGAAGACCGAGCCTGTAGAGCTCGGCGACGTCAGCATCGTCATCGTCGCCGGCAAGCCTCGCGGCAGCGGCAGCGGCAACGGCCACAGGGGAGCGCTTCGTGGTGCGGGGGTCCCAGAAGGCGTTCTGGCGCTCGAGCGAGGGGACGCGGTCGCGCGAGCCGTCGCTCGGTAGGGGAACGGTGCTGCGGGCAAGGCGGATGCCGTCGTGGTCCGAGTCGGGGGCGGCACCGTGGTGACGGCGGGCGCGGTGGTCGTTGCGGCGAGGGACGTGGACGTGGGCTTCGCGGGAGAGGACAGGGAGGTCTTCGGGGGCGAAGCCACGCTCGAGGAGGGCGCGGGCGACAGCCTTGGGGTGAGCGGATCGGGGCTTGCGGATGGCGCTGGGACGGGGGCAGGTGATGGGGAAGTGCTTGGCCGCAAAGGCCAGGTCGACAGGCGAGTTGTGAAGAGCAAGGCCCATTGTGTCGTGTGGGTTGGGTGGGTTAAGTAGGTGCGTTGTCAGGCAGATGTGATGAGTTGTCTCAGGCAGTCGTCTTCGGCAGGGTGTAGGAAGTTGATGCTGTGTCGAGATGTGTTCTGATGAAAAGTTGACAGATGCGCAAGGGCGCAGAAGGGCGCGGTGGTGGTGGTTGTGCTAGGTAACAGATGGAAGGGGAGAGATCTGGGGGGAAGGGGTGCGAAGGTTCGAGGATGGGCTTATATGTCATCTGACGAACAAGCAAGACAGCCGGGCTGTTACGGATGCGATAAGGCTTTGTTGTGTCGTATCCAGGTTGGAAGAGCCATGGCCACGGTCAGCATGGCCAGGCGAGAGCGAGGGTCGAGAGTAGCCAGGAAGCGGCGGGCATCGAAGAGTCACCGGCCGGCGGCGCGCAACGACAACGACGCCATGGTGGTGACATTGACGTGATGGCTCATTGGAGGATAAGGGAGGTCATGTTGCCCGTGGGGTGTGTCTTTAGCGTGTGTAGGAGGATGGATGGCGATGGTGAAGGTGGTGATGGTGATGGACGTAGATAGTGTAGTGGATAAAGGGAAGAGGCTGAGGCTCAGACGTCGATGCACAGTGACTCAACAGACCCGAGGGGTGTCCCCGAGCGAGCCAAGGGGTGCCCCCAAGAGAGCAGAGCCAGGTGACTCATGACGGCCACTGACAGCCCGTCGTGCCTGGCCTTTGTTGGGCCCTGACGCCTGGTGTTGGGGGTGTTGGGGGGTCCTGGGGGTCCTGGGGTCCCTGGGGGTGGCCTTTCCCCCTCTGGCCATGGGCGCAGCTCCAGCGCGCATTGCCTCACCATGCCGTCCCCGAAGGCCCTGTCATTGGCGCGATCTGCTGCTGGGGGCGTGCTGAAGAGGTGCACGGGGCTGGAATGCAGCCCCGTCATTGGGGAGGCCTGCGAGGTTGCCTGGGCGGATGATGCCATTGCTGTTTTCTGCCTTGACCGCGGTGCCTCGACCTACCTGCTTGTCCTGCTTTGTGGGTGGTACAGGTGCCTCTTCGTCCGTGTCATCCATCTGCCACATGACAATGGTCGTCCATCTCGATCAGTGGCCTGGTCCTAGGTCGGTTGCTGTCCCGGCTGGCTGTCTCGTTCTCTTGGTGTCCCACTGTCTGATAACTGAGTCGGCTGCTTTCGTCCCACATGACGATTCCTTATCTTCTCTGCTTTGGAATACCCCAAACTAAACGCCTGCAGCCTGCCGCCGCCCGCTGCCACTGGCCCAACGCGGAAATGCGCCCTGGTATTTCGGGCTTGGTAGCCTGGAGCTGGGCTAGGCGGCTGACTGTCGGCGTCTGGGAACCCACGCCCTGAATTGCGCGACCCATGCTGAGCCCTCCAAGTACCCAGTTGCTGAACGAATGGCGGCGCGGGGAGTGACTTCTTCTGCTTTGCATTCAATGGTCCCACATCAAGCGCCATGCTACCGTTTCTCCAATCCTCCGGAAGCGCATATTTGGCCTCAGTACACAAGCCCGACCATGTGAAGGCGCACACTGCGGCTGCGTCGTAGCTTCGCTCGGGCATGAAGTGCCTTCCTCATGCAGTGATCATCACAGGGTCGTCGTTGGGTGAGAGATAGCACATGCGAGACCTGGCGATCGGCGTTTGGATGGTCCATGGCATCCCGATCTCGTGCTGAGGCCATTTCGAGCTACACGCGATGGAGCCGGTGGGAAAAGAACAGCCCTCGGGTGACATATCCCAAAGGCTCAGACGAAGAAATACCTGTACATATGCATCGCTTGTCAGCACAGGCTCGCCATAAGCTTGCCAGCGCGCACCTGCCGTGTGGGAGAATGAGGGACCGCAGGGGCTAGATTCAGAGCCTGAGACCACGGAACGCGTGTAGAAGAGTTGGGCAGGTCACTCCTTGCTGTGGAAGAGCTAGGCAGCAACATGTCTTCTAACCCTCTACAGAGCAATTGACTGCGAATGCGAATATTTCGTTCACAGAAGAGCTCTTCATAAAGTTAGCTGCCAATCGTGAGTAAAATTGACTTCAACCCATGTTATCGAGGTCAAGCACATATTAGACGTGGTCAAGCACTCGAATGTTACAACCCTAGGTATATAGGAGACCTACTTACTTTATTCAACTTCCATCACCTATACTACTTCGCCACTCCTCGACTAAGGGTTAAGCTCTAAACCCTGGGTATCTGGATGTGTAGGACCAAACTTCTTCTGTTGTAAGGAAACGTAGTCCTGCAGCAGAATAAGAGCATCCTGGTGCCGGCCTATTTTTCTCCAGGTAACCGCTAGATCATGCATACTAGCTAGCGTAACGGGATGATCGGGTGCCAACTTCGCCTTATGAGCCTCTAATACCTCTTGCTGTAGCTTCCCGGCCTCCTCGTACCGGCTTTGCCTATAGATCGTTACGGCTAGATCATGCATACTAGCTAGCATAGCGGGATGATCGGGTGCCAACTTCGCCTTATGAGCCTCTAATACCTCTTGCTGTAGCTTCCCGGCCTCCTCGTACCGGCTTTGCCTATAGATCGTTACGGCTAGATCATGCATACTAGCTAGCATAGCGGGATGATCGGGTGCCAACTTCGCCTTATGAGCCTCTAATACCTCTTGCTGTAGCTTCCCGGCCTCCTCGTACCGGCTTTGCCTATAGATCGTTACGGCTAGATCATGCATACTAGCTAGCATAGCGGGATGATCGGGTGCCAACTTCGCCTTATGAGCCTCTAATACCTCTTGCTGTAGCTTCCCGGCCTCCTCGTACCGGTCTTGTCCAAAGAACGTTACGGCTAGAGCATACATACTAGCTAGCGTAGCGGGATGATCGATTCCCAACTTCGCCTTCTGAGTCTTTAGTACCTTTAGGTCTAGCCTCTCAGCCTCATCGTACCGCCTTTGAAATCTAAAGCTTTTTGATAGCATGGCTTGACTTTCAAGGGTGGAGGGATGGCCAGCCTCCAAGGCATCTTCTAGTACCTGGATAGCTTTCTTCAACATCTCTTCCGCTCTGGCAAAGTCACCTATGTCTATCATATAATCCGAAACTTTCGTTAGTAATCTGCTCCACGCCGGGAGGTCACCTTCCAGCTTGGGTTTACTCTCCACGACAGCCTCAACGTGGGGCAGCAGCCGTTGACACTCTCTAAATTTCTCATATCCACCATCAGGGAAATGTTCAGCTGCCACCTGGATGAAGAGCTTCGCCCACCGCCTCCGGTCCCCGAATTCTGAGATCCACAAACGGGTGCAGAACTGGACCAGAGAGTGCATCTCGTAGAGCCCTGGCGCTGTTGGTGCAATGAGTGAGTAGCCCCGCAGTACATCAATGTCGTTTTCGAAGTTTCCTCGTGTGTCGACTTCGTCTGTGTTGGCGTCGGTGTCGGTATAGGTGTCCAGACGTTTGCCGCTTCCCTTGCTACCGACTTCCCCTTCGCTTGCAATGTCCTCATAGCCATGTAGCATGTTCTCCGGTATGTTCTGGGCTTGAAAGCAGCTCATGAGAGACAGGAGGTTGGCTGCCCTGGGCTTCTCCCGCCTGATCTGCTCGAGGGTCACCTGCCACGTCAAGACGATGGAATTAGACGCGTCATCGGGCCGTCCGAGATCCCCTCCATCAATGCGAAGCAACCCGTCTCTTTGTTTTTCGCTCCGGCGAAATTTGTCCAGGTACGACTCGGGGGTCTCTAGCGGGCTCCGCCTGTTGATGTAGGCTGCGGCTTGGTTCACTGCCAAGGGGATATAGTTAAGGGCGCGCATAAGGTTGCTCGCAGTAGCCTCGTCCACCTCTTGATGAAGCTTCTTTCGCAAAAGGTGTAGCGCCTGCTCTTCCTCCATATATGGGATCCGGAGTATTGTGCTGTCGCCACCGGTAAGTTTCTCTGCGGCGTCTAGACTGCGCGATGTGATCAGGATCTTGCCCTTGGCTGTCTTGGGCAGGTATGAAGCCAGTGGTTCCTGATCTTGGTCGTCCTTTGCAAAGAAAACGCTAACGTCATCGGCGTTGTCGACAACCATGAACCATGCGCTGACATCACTGCTTTGTAGACAATCGCGGACCAGCGCCATCACATTGATCTGGGGTTCGTGTCGGCGAGGCAGCGCAAGAACGTCTGCAAGGGTGCGCTAGGACTGTTCAAATGTCTCCTTGTTGTTGCCACGCACCCAGAATATGCTGGTGTCGGGTGAGTCAGAGTGAACCTGGTGTGCGAAATGGATTGCTAATTGGGATTTCCTATTGCTCTGTTAGCCTTCGTCTCGGAAATGAGAGTAGGAGAAGTACCCGAAGCCTCCCATGCCGAGTAGGGCCATCCGTCGGGCGGGCTGTGTGTATTGATGTCTGATCCAATCCCATAGAGCGGATCGGTGAATGTAATCTGGATTAAGCGTAAATGGCAACACATGATGAGGCTTGCGGGAAATCGAAACGTCTTCCGTCGCTTGGGAAGCTAGATTCCTGACACCCTCGTGAATTTCAGAGATCATAGTCCTGATAGAACAGTCAGTCTCGGTCATATGAAGCAGAGTGAGACATCGTGGTCCGTACGTCTGATCTAGCTGGAGCCCGAGCAGAACGGTTTTCTCATAGCGCTCAAGACTGGAGAGAATTCGATTGACCTCTTGGCTCATGAAGGGCCACTTCAAAGCTCGAAAGCCTACACGCCGCATGAACCGACGTGCGGGGTTGGGGGAAAGCTTCTTCTCCAGTTCCCGAAGGTCGCCAGTACATTCGGCAATTGTGCTGGTAAGCTTCCGAGATACCACGAGCAATTCCGCTCTGGGCCCCTCTGCGAGGCGCTTTTCCTTTGCATGCTGAAGGACGACTCCTAGTTGGCTGACCTGGTTTTGAAGACGGCGGATGTCCTCTCGGGCGTTAGCCACGGCCTCGGCGTATTGAACACACAGCGTTGCGACTTTTGCGGAAAGGTCAATGACGGCACCAAGGCTGGCAGCGGCTCCGAGGACCTCCATGATGTCTTCAGATTCGAAGTGATGTTTCTGGGTTGAAATGATGTCTTCTGAGACCAAGGTGCCTGCGATGGTTGATCGGGAGAAGTTTCTGGAGTTGGGATTCGGTACGACCCCTCATTTGGTACATCAGGCTCCTGTCCATGGGAGGGAGCCTGCCAGCGTAAGGCTGCTTCGTGGATGCTTGCCATTGGCACGTGGAAGTGAGGAGGGTCAGGCCAGTCTTTGCCCGTCTGGCTTGGTCTTTCTCTGCCTCGCCTTTCGCCGTCCTATGAGGGAGTGTTGTTATATGTAGTACAACCACACAGCGCCGGTATCACCGAACCAGTAGGATTAGTCTATCTGGACTTGCTCGACACGGGATTCATTCGAATTAGCCAGTAACAGCACTGATGGACTCGCGATGATGCAAGGTCTTGATGAGTCCGGTGATTTGTTTGCGTTTTTTTTTTTGGGGGGGGGGGGTTCGCTGAAGATACGATCTTCTGCTAAGCTACTGGCTTAAGAAGGAGGAGCATCGTCAGGGTGGCTAGGTTATCGATTTGGCAGCTACCACAACACTCGAGTCGCCATCATCGCCACAGGCATCTTCGGCACGGCTTATGCCCCGTCAACGCACCACGGCTTTTTATCAATCGAAATCAGATTCGCTAACTATGAGGGCCTACTATCGGCAGTGATGACAGACAAAGAAAACGCTATACTGTATCCATCCCGCCCGAGTCCCCATGATGGTGCCAAACGGCTAACCAGGCCCAGCCTCGTCTGACCCTGTCTCCGTCTCTTCGAAATTATCCGCGCGCCAGGCATCCTCCAGCCAAGCTCTATATTATTCTCCTTCCTCAAGACAAAAAACCTCCTTCCAGACAAAAGAAACAGCCCCGAACACGTTACCTCAACGGCTTATTCGCGAACCCAACCCTCGGCTGCACCTCGCGGTCGGCCTCCACATAGTCGAAAACGGCAAACTGTGCCTTCAGTAGCGCAGCGCCAAAGATGGCGAACGGGATACCAGCCGAGCTCTGGATGCCGCCGAAGCAATGCGTCTCGTTAACCTGGTTATACCGCACATACCGGCCCGGCAGTTTGCCACGATAGTCGCCGAGGCCAAACGTCCAGTCGGGCAGCGTGGCGTCGCAGGGGAACAGATACGCCGCCCACGACGGGCTGAACCGCGCCCCCTCGACCTGGTCGTAGTAGGCGTCGACGTGCTCGTCCGGCAGCATGAGCAGCGTCGTGCCCGTGTCGACAATGACGCGGTCGAGCGTCGTCGTCCTGTTGTACTCGCCGCCGCCAATCTGCGTGCCGTCGACCTTGATCTCCCAGTACGGGTTGCGCTTTGTCACTGGCGTGTACCCGATGCGTCCCGTGTACTCATTGCGCGCGACGAACCCAAAGTTGTAGTTGCCCGGCCGCCCCGCCTGCAGGTTGGACGTGAAGACGGGCGATGCGAGCGCCGGCATGACATTCTCAAAGTACGTCTTGACCGGCCGCGGCTTGACCGTGTTACCACGCCCAAACCCGAGGCCCAGGATGCCCGACGCGAACGAGTCGCGCGTGAACGACGGTGACACTTGCGACGCCGACTCGATCGCCTGCGCCGCGAACGACGTCTTGCCCAGCGCCACGCGGTCGTTGTACACGTTGCCCGAGGCGCCCGACCCGTCGCCGTATGTGATGCGCCACGTGAGTCCGTCTTGCAGCACCGACGTGTTGGACAGCTCAGGGCTGTAGATGCGGTGATCGCCGCGCTGCCACTCTGGTGTCTCGGACGAGAATGTCCAGAGATCGCCGGACCCTGTGTCGAGGTTCAGGAACACCGTCTGCGGCGGCGACCCGATCTGCACCGGCACGACGTACTGAATGTCCACGTTGCGCGGCGGGAACGCCTGCACCGTACCGAACGACGCTGATTTGTCGTCTGTTGTTCCTGCTTCTGTTAGGAAGAGTATTTTTTTGCCTTGTGGGTTTCGAGATGCTCACCTCGTTGTACGAGCCCCTTGAACCGAGCGTTGACGTGCTTGCCGATGACAATGGCCTCGCGCACCTTGGCAGGCAGCTCGGCGTTGTACTTGATATACGCCCACACCAACTCGTCGAGACCCGTCTGTCCGGCAAAGTCCTTGTTTTCGACCTGTCGTAGCGTGAAGGTGCTGCCGTCGATGTTGGCCGGCTCGGCGACGGCCAGAGGTGACGCCGCCGCTACCGCCGCGAGGCAGTTGAGGTACGTGAGATAATGCATCTCGACGAAAGAACGCAGCCGGCTGCGTGAATCTTGAGACGGAAGAAAAGTGGTAACAGGGTTGCAGTAGGTTGCTTGTGCACAAGTCTTTTCCCCTCCCTCCTTCTCTGAGGACTGTCGCTGCATTTAAACACCATGGACCTCTACCGACCTGGAATGATTCTCATCGCGAGGGCAACTGCGCTCTCGTGCGCCGGCCACTTTACACGGTCCAGAGCGTGGGAGCGCAGGCGCGCGAACAGAGGGAGAGCTCAGGTCTCAGGCTTAAACGGGACTACCGATGGTGAAGAATGGATGAGCCGCGATCGCTCAGGGGAACAGCATCTCATCTCAGCGGCTATGCGTGAGATGTGAGACATTGGGGGTTATTCGTCATCCATGGCCCGAGGAACCATTATTGAACAATGCCAGCGGTCGCGCGCGCGAGTGGGATTGTCCAGGGGGTGAGATATTCGGGAGGATCGATTGGCGATATATTGGGGCCATACCTGATGTTTTGACCAGGTTCGTCTTATGGCACCAGATCGACTTAAGCCCCGGCGGGTTGAGTTCGACGAACGATTTCCCCAGGGAGCTCTAGAGACGGCAATGCAACCCCTTCATTCCAGCGGCTCTTTTACCACGACTCGGCGTCATGACGTCCAATTGTAGTCCACTGTGTACTCCACTGAGGGAAAAGATCCAGCAGGCTGTAAATGGCCAAGAGGGCAAATCACCGAACCGCATCGCCAGGTTCTCCCCCGTCCGTCTGTCATGCTGGACAACCACCACGTGTGACGACGTCGAATATCCCCTGACTATCACTCCCTGGATAGCAGTGCAGTTTCATGTCCCTTGGCTTCAGCTGCGCCCTTCATCCGTCTGGTTGCCAATTACTCCCTTGGCATTATCTTGATCAGATCTACCCAACATAGCTGAAGAACCTGCCCCATCTCCTCCACCATTTACCCTGCTACTTTCGGCGTAGTTGGCCCAGATACCTGTACATTCAATCTGCTACGAGCAGTCTCTTGTGCGAAGATGGCTACCGGCGCTATCGAGAGGAAGTGCCGGCCTGCTCGAGTGCCCGTCCCGCTAACATTCCATCCAGCACCCAAGGTTGCATGGCAGAGTAGCACAGAGCCTAGGGTACCTGCTAATCACCAATACACGACAGCGCATGCCACGATGATAGTCTCCTGCCATACATGTACTCATCTTAAGTAACGTCGGACTCCAGGCTCAGCTTGTTGCGCAGACCAGCAACGGTGTCAACGCTGGGCCTGGCTGCGACGATATTAGACGTCAGTGGTTGGGGATGCATCACTGTGCACTCGTTGGGAATGTGACATCGTAATGTCACTTGACAATCTCGACTGCTAATCGGGAAAGGTCGTGGCTAATCAAGCAACCGGCCTTTCGGAGGGTTTTGACGGAGCGCACGAGCTGGGCCTATACTTTTGCCTCACTATTGCGCTCTGTTTGCCGTGCATGGCGTTATCGTGTTCAAATCCCTAGGTGGAAACAGTCATGTTTTAGTTTTACAACGAGGAGGTTGACTGTGCTCATGCTGGTGGTGACGCCTTCATGTTGGTACGAATGCTCCCAAACGACCACGGCTTGCAAGTGCTGAGAAATTCTGCCAGCAACGAAATTTCCCCTTGAGCCTACTCTGCCGCGACTACTGAAAGTGTGCTGCATTTTTTTTAACGGTTGATCTTAAAAACTTGAAGACAGCAGGGTTGACTTGCAAACGTGCCGCCTCCCCAGAGGTACCTATTTATCGTCAAGTTCGCGATGCAGCGTGGAACACCAACACGCTCGATGTAGGAAGCTTGGCCTTCTCCACAGGGGCACCATAGCCTAAACGCGGATTGAGACAGGCTGGCCCCTTCTGTAACACGACCGTCCGTGCCATGCGGCCCTCATGGCTCCGAAGACCAACTTCTGCACTATTTGTCGTAGCCGCTAGCTGTCCTAATGTTTGTTCACGTAGCAAGTCTTCGAATGATCGACTTCAGATGGCCTGAAGAATGACATCAAGATGATCGATCGACTGCGCTCCATCTCCACGTCGACCGCTCTGCTCCTGGCCGGCATGGGGCTCCTCGTCAGTGTAACCGATACTGGCGGGCCTCCTGGCGGGCCATCACGGCTGGGCGAATGCCTGGCGCATCTTCCCGGCTCCATACAATGGGCGTCACGAAACACATCGCCGCTTGCCGTCGATGATACGGCCGGCCCTCGACCTGAGAGCTGGGCGCCATGGACTCATCGACCGTCTTGCGTCGAGGCTGCCAACGACCCAAAGGTAAAGTTCTGCACGTACACGGACGCCGGCCACGGTCCGCACGGCTTCAGTCTGATCACAACGCCCGAGATAGCGGCTGCCAACATCGACACGCTCCAAGATCCATCCTTCTCCTCCGTCGGCGCTCCCAACTTGGAGCATTGGCAAAAGCTGGAGGACGACCCCCCCTATGAAGTTGTGGATCTGCCAGGCAAAGGGAAAGGCGTGGTGGCGACGCGGCTCATCAAGAAGTACGATGTCTTCATGAGCGACTACGCTGTCCTGTTTGTCAACTTCCAGTTCACCGCCTCGGTGAGGCAGCACGACGGCTACGACCAGCTTCACACGGCTGCCGAGAGGCTTCGAAACCCGCATGCTTTGCTGTCGCTGGGTCGAAGCAACCCGGGTCACCAGTCTGACATTGTCGAGGATGTCATGAGGACGAACTCTTTCAACCTCGACATTTCCGGGGTGCCGCATATGGGCATGTTCCCCAAGATATCGGTCAGTATCAAGGAAATCTTGTTTCAAACCTTATTCGAACTAATCCAACGTAGAGAGTTAATCATGCCTGCAAACCTAAGTTAGCCTCTCGTGTTAATCGTTCTCCCAGATGGACTGACAGTGGCAATGTAGCTCTTTCATGAGATTTTCTAAGAGGAGTTTCGGAGCGACCATAGTGGCATTCCGCGACATTCATCCAGCGGAAGAGATCACCATAAGCTGTGCGTCCCTTCCCGAGACGCATCTCTTGAAAACACAACTGACAGCGCGAAAACTCGCAGACGCCCCATTTGGTCTGACGCACAGTCAGCGGCAGAGCACGCTGGCCGACTGGGGCTTCAAATGCACCTGCGAAATGTGCACTGCCGCGCCCGACGTCATCGCGGCATCGGACGCGCGTCGCAGCAAAGTCGAAGATCTCCAGGCCCAAGTCCTCGACTTTCTGGGGCGAGGCAAGATCCACGGCGCCATCAAGCTCATCGAGTCCATCCTCGAGCTCCTCGAGACAGAAGGGCTGCAGCCGCTCATGACAGAGCACTACGATTCGCTGGCGAGGATCTACTGGTACCTGAACGAGCGCGGCAAGTCGCGGGCGAATGCGAGGTCGGCTGTCGAGCTGCTGGCCGTGCATGGGTTCATCGACCTCAAGGACGTGGATCTCTACGTGGGCGCGGTCCTGGACAAATATGCTTCAGGGGCAGATTAGGTAGCAATCTGGAGCAATCAAAGGCCGCGAAATGCCAATACTGCCCGCCCGCAATGGACACCTAGCCTAATCTCATCGGGGACGTGGCCTGGAAGCCAATCTGGACACTAACAGAGCACAGCCCGGCTCAGTGGAGATGCTACCCTCGTTCGTGCTAAATGAGTGGTCATACGCATGCCTCATCTGTCCTCCCACGGAGTCATGCTCGTCATGGCCTGTGCAGCTTCACTTCTTCAACCAGGTCCTGTTCGTCGTCCGGACTGACAGCCGGATCGCCCGGTTTGAACCTCTCACACATCCCACCCGTGGACGAACGACGCCTCATGAGAACGTCAGTGAAGAAGAGCATCGCAGCCGTCTTTTGGCTGTCAGTCTTCATCTGCGCCTTCTTGGCGATCAGGAACATGGCGGCGTTTGCGGGTCCTCGCTATCACTTCACGATCCAGCCTGATTATTTTGTCGATTACGAGCAAGTGGCCGCCCAGGATCCCTCAGGCAAGGCGACAACGCAACCGAATCTGGGTATCCTCGACCGCGAGTACCCCGAGATTGAAATTCCGGGCACGCCTTGGGAGCGTCTCGTCACAAACGTCACACGTCTCAACGCCGAGAGCAAAGGCGACGTCAAGTACAAAGTGCTGTTCCTCACAAGGCACGGCCTAGGTTACCACAATGTCCAGCAGGCCAAGGTCGGCACCCCAGAGTGGGATGTAAGTCGAGCACTGAAAGGGGGAAAATATCAGGACAGAGCTCTGATGACTGACTGATGATAGCGCTACTGGTCGCGGCTCGACGGCGACGGTGCAGTCATCTGGCGTGACGCCCCCCTTGTCGAGGAGGGCATCAACCAGGCCAAGCAACTGAGTCTCATCTGGCAAGACGCTGTTGCCAACGGCAGGATGCCTCTGCCGCATTCTTTCTACACGAGCCCCTTGACTCGATGCCTGCAAACCAGCAAGCTTGTCATGGGCCCTCTCCTCGAGAGTCGCGGACACGCATTCCGCCCTATTGTCAAGGAGCTGCTGAGAGAGCGCATGACGGACCACACGTGCGACGCCAGGAGTACGCGCACCTCGATCCAGGAGGCGTACCCAGAGTACATCATTGAGCCAAGCCTCACAGAGACGGATGAGCTCTGGAAGGCCGATCGGTTCGAGTCGGATGAGGAGCACATTGCACGGAAGCAGCGCGTGCTCGAAGACATCTTTTCGACAGACCACAGCCAATACATTTCGCTGACGGTGCACTCACAAGCTATACAGGCCATCATGCAGGTGGGAGGTGCCACGCCGTTCAAGATTCGGGAGGGGACCTCATTTGCCGTGGTCATGCGGGCAGACGTGCTGCATACATAGCGACAAACACCGCATGCGGTTGGAGAGGATACAAATATTGGCACAGCGTAAATCATGTCGATATTGAGAATTACCAATTATGTAGGAGTTTCGTGATGACTCCGCTCAAAGCTCGCTCAAAATGTCCTCAGCCGCCTTCTCCGCCGCCATGAACGTCGAAACGGCTGTGAACGTGCCCGGGATCCGGGGATAGACAGACGCGTCGACGACACGAAGCCCCTGCACACCACGCACGCGGAACTTGGAATCCAAGACCGCCATAGGATCGCCGTCAGCACCGATGGGGCAGGTGCTCGACGCATGGTGGCCCCAAGCTGTGTCCTTGATGTAGGTAGCGACCTCCTCGGCCGTGTTGACATCCTTGCCTGGCAGCCTCTCCTCAACGGGAACAAGCTGCCTCTTAAAGGCGTCGCGGGCGACTCCGATAGCCTCCGAGATGGCCTGGATGTCGGCGTCGGCATCACCACTGCCGGTGTCGAAATAGTTGTAGACAATTTCTGGGACGTCTAGGGGGTCGGCGGAGAGGAGCTTCACCGTGCCAGCCGTGTTGCGGGGGTGGCTCTTGAGGATCGCCCATGTGTAAAGGGCAGGGTCGGACGTCGTATTGAAACTGTACCCTGGGAAGTATCCCTGGAAGTTCACAGGCCCTCCAAAGATGAAGGTGTCCCAGTCGTCGCCAGCCACCACTGAAGACTTGTATAACATGGCTACGCCAAGGCCTGACGAGGCATATGTCCCGCGGTTTCCGAGGACAGGCTTATTCCACCTCTCGAGGCAGGGGTCATCCTGGCCACCCCGACCAAATGTGCATCCCTCCAGCGCCGCGAAATCCGTCGGCGCTCTGCCAACGACACCAACCTCGTAATGATCTTGAAGGTTCGTGCCGACACCGGGTAGATCCGCGACGACCGGAATGCCGAACCTCTTGAGCTCGTCGGCGGGACCGACACCGCTGAGCTTCAGGATTTGAGGCGAATTGTAAGTCCCGCCGGCAATGATAACCTCCCTCGTGGCATTCACCGACCCGGGCTTGCCGGCGCCGGCGGTGCGAGAACGCGGGCTTGCCTTGTAGAGGTACTGCCCGTCCAGGAACTCGACACCCGTCGCACGCGGTGGGTCCTCAGCCTCGTCGAATACAACCTTGGTGACGTGACAGTTCATGCGGACATCAAGGGGATATCGTTTGCTCCCATCGCCGTTCTTGGCGTCACGCACAGCGACGATGAAGTCTCGAGGCCCGATGCGCTTGCCGTTGTCAGAGGAGATTGGGGTCTGGTAGTACCCGGGCCCTGTATCTCTACGGAGATTGTCCGCGTTCGCGTCGCCCAGGAGTAGACTGCCAATGTTGAAGACGGACTTTGTCAGGTTGCCGAGGGCGAATGCCCCGCCGAGGAAGAGGCTCAAAAGTTGGGGATCGGCCAACGGAATGGTCAGTGGTGCCATTTCCGTGTCGAGCCACCCGTCATAGCCGTGTCCAGGAATCAGGGGTAGAAGATAGCCGTTGTTTTCCATCTTGACAAAGTGTTTGCGCATGTTCTTCGCCGACCATGATTGATCACCCGTCAAACGAGCGATGTAGTCAAAGTCGGACTGGAACGGGTACAGCGCGATGAGGGCGTTGTGGGCAGTACAACCGCCTAGGGTACCTGTCCGTGGGTATAGGGTACCCTTGATCTTGGACCCTGGAGGAGGGTCGAGTCCAGTGTAGAGGCTGCCATCTGGCGTCTCATAAGTGGTCTTGAAGTCCCTCGCTTGCCTCTCGTCGTCCGCATAGTGCCGTACGAAGAAGTCCCAGGCCATAGCTCCGTCTTCCGATGCCCTCGCCGAGTACGATGGCACGGTATAGTTTGTGCTGAGACCTTGATCATCTCCGGCCTCGATCAGCAAGGTCTTATGTCCTGCCAAGGCAAGCCGGGCGGCCAGCGGCCCTCCTCCAGCCCCAGATCCGACAACAACGTACTCGTAGTCATCGAGAGTTTGCGCGAGCACCAACGAGGTGCCCATAAGCGGGAGGAGACGTCTGAGCCTCATGATGACAGGCGGTCGAAAAGCGAAATTTAAAGTATAGAGGAGTGGGAGATCTGGGACGAATATCCTGCCTTCTTGCTTCAAATCACCACAACTTAAATATGTTCTCTACTACGGGGCCAATCTGTTGAGAACGAAATGACCATGTCGATCTTCGGTGCCACTAACGCCCATGCACGATGTGACGTCTGGTGCGAGGGAAAACCTGGAGTTCAGGGGTGCTAGCTCGCGGCTTCTTGACTGCCGTGTGCTGGCGTTGGGGATATTGGGTCTTGGCAAGCAAGGCTCACGGCTGTCGGGAATGTCAAATTGTCAGAAAAATTGATGTCTCTGACTCGACCTTTACCTCCCTCGGCGTTCCGAAAGGAGTGTGTCAACGCAAGACGCAGAACAGGTTAAGGGCATGACGATGCTGTTTTCAGGTGAACGAGACGTTGATGTTGTCATTGAACGCCATCTGCGCAAAATGCCTAAGGCATCTGTCTGAGGTAATGCTGGCGTCACGTATTGCTTTTGATCGTGTCCCCGGGCCTCACGTGTTGTCCAATCATCCCATGTCCTTCATCCAAACTTTTAGACAAACAATGAGATTCGGAAGCCATCAGCCTCAGAGCTCAAACTTGGATGGGGGCCAGGGATCGAATTGCTTGTGTCAACTGATTCATTGTGACCAAGTCGTAGCTTAGAATGTTGCTTGGTAGTCATCCGTCTTAGTGCGTACCACCGATCAGATGGCCGTTATTCAGCTGGCGATCTTACCTCTAAAATGATCAACACGCGCCCCTGAGCCCCCTGGGGAAACTGGGTAGCGTTACCCCGCATTTGTCGAAAGACAGGTGCCCGAAGCGCTGAGCCGAGGCCTGAGCGATTCGAGCTGCTGTGCCTGCGATCTTGTCGACGCTGGACATCAAAAGCATGTGCTCACGCTCAAACTATTGGCAGTTAGCTCGATAACATGAGGCTTGAACAGAAATTACCAAATCATTACTTTCCCTTCGGCCGATCCCTTGGGGAGCGCCTTGGGGACGGAAAGTCCATTGCCAGTGACCCAATCTAGTGTCATTAAAAAGGCAGCACGCAGCATGGTGTACGGTCATGTGCCACAGGTAACCTTCATTTGCCTTGTTGAAACTGCCCACTCGTCCACCAATGTGATGAATACCGTCGACTACCTACCTTAATATAGAGATCTGTCTGGAGGGAGGCGAGTGATGGTGCTGATTCGGAGACTGAGACAACTTGGTCGATGATGTAATTGTGGCCCACAGTTGACTGCATTTCCACACAAAACACCAGATCCCTGAAGCCCACCACATTAACGCCGTTCCCCTCATTATCAACACTGAGAACGACACTCCAGGCTCACCATTGTCTCAAAAAGAGAAGCTATTCACTCGGAATCATGCTCAAAGCTGGAATCGTGGTCGTGGCAATTTTGGCCACACTCTTCCAGGTCTTCCTGAAGGATGCCGTCTGGATGGGCCTTGGCATCGGCAAGACCATCCAACCTCTCTCCGACTTTCCATACACCTGCCGACGCATCGAAGACCCTCGACTGGAAGCATGTGAGGATATGTGGCTGTCCGAGACAACCCGGCAACTGTTTCTTGCCTGCTCGGACTCAGACAGCCGGTCTAAATGGATCCCGAAGTACGTATTTGCTGCGTTTCTCATACTTACCATTCCTCAAGTCCGTGATTGGGGCTAGGCTGCCTTCAATACCGTTCAACAGCTGTTCTAAAGCCCACTGACCGGAATCTAGCGGTGGGAAGTATGATCCCTCTGGACAATCCCAGCGGGATGCTATAGTTGCCCTAGATCTTGATCTTCCACACCTCGACGCGTCCAGCGTTCGCGTTCTCAGGACTGAGGGATACACCGGCACCGCTGGAGACCGCCTGCTGAACCTTGTTGGTTTTACCGGCTTCGAGTCGACTGAGCAGGGCGAGGAAACAATCACATTGTTCGCTGTGAATAACCGCCCTCCCATTGATCCGCGTACGGGAAAACCGAATATCAGCCCAGGTCAAATTGGAGCCAATTCCACAATCGAGGTCTTTGAGACTGGCGCCGGCGCCACTTCGATGAAGCACATCCGCACCTACGCCAATGATGCCGTCGCGACGCCCAACCGCGTGGCCGCTCTCGCTAGAGACCTGTTTTACTTCACGAACGACCACGGACAGGACAAGGTTGGAATCGTAAGTGTTTCTTTCTTTCTTTTTTTTTTGGAGACATAGAGCCAAGGGCAATACTGAAGTCTCTATCCTTAGAAGCACCAGTTGGGGTTCATCCTCAAGACAGGCGACGTCAATGTTTGCACCGCATCTGGAGGCTGCAGAAAGATCGCCGACCAACTTAAGTTTCCCAACGGCCTCGCTCTCGGTCGCGATGGACTTCTCTACGTCCCAAGCGTAGGTACAGGTGGAATTCATGTCTACCGGATCCTCGAAGACCACAGCATCAAGCATGTTCAAGAGATCAAAACCGGATACAGCATCGACAACCTCTCTGTTGATCAAAATGGCGACATTTTCGTTGCTGCGTTTCCAGTCGCTTTCGACATGGTGAAGGCTTTCGATGACCCACGCAACTCTTCTCCAGCCGCCGCTGTACTGCGCGTGAGCAAGGGTGAGAAGGGATATACTGTCGACAAAGTGCTTGAAGATGCGCGCGGTGAGGTACTTCCTGCGGCTACGACGGCTCTTCATGATGTCAAGACGGGCAGGCTTTTTCTGAGCAGTGAGTGTTTGGCCACAAGCACTGCTTACTTTCGCTTGCTGACGTCTTCAGGTGTCCTTTCGCCCTTCATCGCCGTTTGCGAGCCAAAGCAGTAAGATCAGCGGGCTCCAAAAACTCAATTGGTCGTGGTTGTGTATCAAACACCGAACCAAAGGAACTGTTCGCAAGATGAAATCGGGTGTCAGCTATCGACCTGGCTGTGGAAATGACGTGAAGATCGCCGCATCGTTGGCCAGCACGATATCTATATTTAGAATAGAAATTTCGGAGCAGCTAAGAATTTCTGCTGGCCAGGCAAATCCATGAAATCCTATCAGCTCACGGCGAACTCGATCAACAAGGGATGCTGGCCCCGACTGTAGCCGCAATAGACGCCCTGCCAGCTTGGTCGTGTGCCTACAGCATTGTTGCGTGCGTTGTGTCGCGTGCCTGTGTCGATTGACAAGATTCTTTACCCGCTACGGCCTGGTAAAGCCCTGAAGGATTTGAAGGCTGAAAGCGGGCTGTAGCTGGTTATGACGTTTTGGTGAATCCTCCCAGCTGGTGGCTGCGGATGATGCAGATCGACACTCAATCGGCGCTGCAGGGTCCCGGTCCCGAAGCAGGGCAGTGCTTTGCAATCGCCACGATCCTTCAACTGCAACGCTACGGGAGATTTAATTGGCGTTCATCTGCGTATCATGCGGTTGGCCCTGAAAGCTTAGGTTTTTGATCTCCGAACCTTAACTCTGCTTGGCTGAACTAACTACAAGGCTCGAGATCTGCATCGGCAGCTTGGTAGGAAGCTCGATAATAATAGCGACAGTTCGAATGATCTCGGTGACCAGTGGGTTCAGTGCGCCCCCAAGCGACGTCAGTTGCATAGCTGGCTCACAAGACATGGTGAACACCCATGTTTTGTGACTACAAAGTAAAGACGCATCGCTTTTGGTGTCTGAGCAGATATATAAAAGCATGCGTCCTCGTCTCTCCTATGGTTGAAGGTCCATACCGCAACAACAAAAATAATTCTCAAACCAAAATCTATTCGGACAATCAAGATTCATTACTCCATTTTCAAATACCCTTAAAGCACTTACCATTATCATGAAGTCCGCCTCCATCCTTGCTTTGGCCTCAACGGCCTCAGGCGCAGTCATTTCGCTCAATGCTCGAGATGATGCCACCCACATCCAAACCCGCCAGGCTCAAAACGTACAGGAGGGCCTCAATGCATGCACCGATAAAGCCATTCCTTGCACAGTAAGACGCCTTTCCATGAGTAAAGCTTTTGAAGTGGCGCTAAACGAGAGACGCTAGATTGTTTCAGCATCCACGGAGAAAGTGAACTACGGATCGAAGAATCCTCGCGACATCGCAGATCAGTACATACTACCCTTGACTGCCATGAAAAAGTACGATGAATCTAACCAACTTCCAGACTCTGGGAGAAGTGTCTTGAAGGAGGCTGCAATGTCGAGGGATGGGACGAAGACACGGAAGTTGTCTCTGGTCTTGGGCCTACGGGGGATACACTCAACGTTCTAGCTCACGGCAACTGGCCACCAGAGTTCCGTCACGGTCTTGTGTGGGGCATGACCGAGCTGGTTGGTGGACTCTCAGAGCCTTACCGTATGACAGCGGATCGACCGCCTGTCAGGGGAGAAGGTGGCAAGGTGGGTATTGACGCCTTCAAGGCCCCCAAGAACTTCCATATCAGCCGATATGCCTGGGATGACGATCATTGGGAGAGTCAGGCATTCATCAGTCTTTCAGCCTCCATGGAGGATGCTGGCTCGTCTACTTGCGAGGCACTTGTTGGTGCTCTGGAGACTGTCATTGGAGCTTTCAACGACAACATTGGGTCTCTCATTGGTGCCGCCGAGCCCGCTTGCGGTGCTACTGGCTAAGAAGCATGATGTATGCCTGTCTTGGCGTCTTTTCTGTTTTGTAATAAGAATACTTCGCGATTAAACCATTTTAACGAGTTGTAGTTGATCGCTATGGAAATCGTACTTGACGTCAACTGCACCATTCAGATTTCTCCAGCTTTGGTTAGTTGATCCATTGCCTCTTTATCCAGCCTGAGCGTCATCCAGTGTTCCATTCGCTTCGCTCCAAGGCTGTCGTAGAATTTCAAAGCGGACTCGTTGCTTCTATAGCAGTTCCATTCCAACTTGGTGCCACCCAGCTCCTGAGCTTCAGTGGCCAATCTCTTGATTAAAAGACCTGCGTATCCCCGACGCCGGTATCTTTTGGATACAAAGAGTTCCTCAAGGCAAATCCCTGGCTCGGCCGACCACGTAGAGTAGTTGTAGAAGAACATAGCCATTCCAGCTATGTCTCCTTCGGGAGAGATAAGTAAGAGAGTCTTTGCGAAGCCTGGCGTGAATGAAAGTCCTCTTCTTACATCTTTGCTGGACTCTACGAAGCTCAGCGTCTCAAGAAGTTTCGCCTCTGTGACCTTCGGTGTACTTTCAGGGTCCTGTTCACTGGACCCTTCGTGAAGGAAAGTGTAGATTATTGGGACATCTACATATGATAGAATTGATCAGTACTAAAAGCATTTCGTCTTTGGTTCTTAACCATCAGTAAGAGCTAATTACCTTCTCGAGTGGCGAAGCGGTAGCTACATGGGGCAGCCATGCTTCTAATTAGTCGACAATACAGGAATTATGAGCTGTTCTGGAACTTTTGAGGCTGACTCGACCGACGAATGTTCATTGCATGTTGAAAGCACGTCCACAAAAACCCATGTCATCATCGGCCCTGTCATCGACATACCCCGCTCGGGCTGAGTGGCTGACGTACCCCGCACATGGCAAGGCACTTTGAGTTAACGAGCTAGTATCAAGTCTGCCTTGCTGCCACAGCTGTCCTCTCTGGTGGTATCATTACCGGCACGCGCGACGTGGTTTTGCTAAGCCACACAAGGCAGGCTGAACGCCAGCAATCTAAGCAGTTTGGGCCACCGGTCTTCTCGGGCTGTCAGCAAGGAATTTCTTGCTCTCATCATAATCCTCGATGCGATCTCCAGCAACCCATAATGCAGCAAGAACCTGCCTTTCACTCTTAGAGGCGCAGATTAGGGGTTTGCACGGCGAGGATTGGCGTCGCTGCACAATTCTGACAGTGATCTTTCGGACTACGTCGATGAGAAGGATATCACCCTTCTCCCATTTTACCAAAACTTGGGATGAGTCAGCAAGCGACAATGCTACCTAGGTCCAGGTACTTCTTTGAAATCTGTTCTCCGTCGCCGTATGACGGCGGCACGTGATAGAGCTTTTGTCACCTCGAAACGGCGGCTCCGTCGCTCCACGTTGCGTGCTGCGGCCCCAGGCACTTGACACGTTACCGAAACACGTCTCGAGCCCCGTCTCCTTGTGAATACGCACCACTGCCGTGAGATTAAGGATTAGCCTAGTCTGTTTTCAATGACGAGGAACACATGCATACGAGTTGACGTGCCACCGTTGGACTGCCAACGTCGTTCCATCTGGGAACATTACTGTGGCGCCGAATCTCGTCCTCAATCTTTCTTCGAGCGGTTTATTCATCATCAGTTGGCAGTACATGCTGGCCACTCGCGCCAAAGACACTTGTGCCCGTCGATGAAACCAAACTTTGCGTCCCGTACCGATAAACACAACGAAAACTCCTGACCTAATACTTTGTCGAACAAGTCAGGCACAGAGTGCTTGATCTCGGTGGAGAGGCCGATGCTCGATACCACGGGCGTTCCTCCTTCATTTCCTGCATGAAGTATAGCTGAGAATGTAAGCCATGCTGGATTGATGAAACAGCCGTACATGTTGTGCGGCCAAATGGGCAACAAAGGGGAACTATACTAAAGTAAAATTCAAGCGGAAAACACGCGGCAGAGAATTTAGTGACACTTAGGAGCGGTCTCAATGTTTTTGGCCAGTATCGTTAAAAGGGCAGTCTTCCGACCTCTTCGTGAGTTTTGAGTCTGAAAGTAGCTTACGATTGCCGGTGACATCAACTTCGCCCTTTGTGGCGTGTCTTTAATTCCTGCGTTTCTGGTGGTCAAAAAACTTGAAATGGAGTATTCAGATGGGGTCAAATCCACGCGAGGTGTGAAGATGCGATAATCTTTGGACCGAACGGAAAAAAAGTCTCCCCCTCAATGGAGGGTCGGAGGTGGTGCTAATCATATGAGCCATGATTAGTAGAACATCTATGCCAGCCCATCGTCGGTTGACATGTGGGCTTGACCGGCAATATACCGGCATACCGGCTACTAAAACCAGACGCCGGCCCGGGTCGGGACCCACACGGCCGCGCCTCCGTTGTGAGGGGTAAAGAATGATATTGATTGCGGGGAAAGGGCGCGCCGTCGACATGCCTTCAACAAGAGTCTCGAATCTTCGAATCAACTGAGCCTTGTCACGAGCAATGATCCTAAAATCATTGAGAAATTGATAAATAAGACCAAACACTCACACGTTCGATCGTTCCCGGACTTGCACCAAAGCTGGAAAATCCATTCACCTTACACTTTACGACCACCATTAGCAACAATAATTCGTCCAAGCATCATGTCGAAGATCTCCGACTACAAACTACTTGCTTTTGACGTCTATGGCACGCTTATTGACTGGGAGCAAGGTGCGCTCACCGCTCTTCAGCCTCTCCTAGACAAGAACTCTGCTTCATTCTCTCGATCGCATCTCCTCAATGTATTCCATGAATGCGAGGCTGCCCAGCAAGCCAAGACACCGGAGCTAAAGTATGCTCAACTGCTTGCCACAATTCATCCCCAGATTGCGACCAAACTCGGGCTTGCAGCCCCGAATGCGGCCGAGAGCGAGGCTTTCGGCAACTCTGTTAGCTCTTGGCCCGCTTTTCCCGATACTGTCGACGCCCTGCGACGACTCTCGTCCCACTTCAAGCTCGTTGTCTTGTCCAATGTCGACCGCGAATCGTTCAAGGGGTCGAATGAGGGACCGCTGCAGGGCGTGCCTTTCGACCTTATCATCACCGCTCAGGATGTTGGTAGTTACAAGCCGAACCTGCAAAACTTCGTGCATATGCTACGGGAAGTCAAAGAAAGATTTGGAGTGGACAAGGAGCATGTTATTCAGACTGCACAGAGCCAATTCCACGACCACCACCCGGCAAAGGAGATAGGCATCAAGTCATCATGGATCATCCGCCCAGGTGCCGTCATGGGCAACAGAGATCAGGAGATTTGGGATTGGAAGTACGACACTCTCGGAGAAATGGCTGATGCTTTGGAAGCCGAGCTGGGAAGAGTCGACGATTGAAGGAGCACTGCTGCTGTGTCGCCACAACACTCGCCTACCTAGGTAGTTTGATATGCTAGATTACTTCTGACGAACTCTAAAGAGCTCTGTTAATAAATGGATCATGAACCAAGGTCCCATTCTCGTCCGGACTGATGTTCTCAGTACATGAATTTGAGTCCGGTTTTGCGCAGCTGTTGCCCATTCAAGAAGTAATACTGGACGTTGGCCACAATCGACAGAACAAAAGCAGCGGCAGACAGGCCCGCAATCACCGAGAATCCAGTCCTGTAAAGAGGGGCATCCTCGGAGCGGAACAGCTGTTTGCCGATGATTCCGGAACAGTTTGCAGCCATGATGTGAAGTGCCATTGTGATGGACCGTTCACCGGCAGTCTTGGCATTGAGGGCCAGCCAAGATCCGTTGATAGCATCTTTACACAAAGAATGTCAGTGAGATCTGAGGTTTCATCAAGAAGCATTGGATCACTTACGCCAGGGCCAGGAGAAAGCGATCGAACAAATGAGGATGCCGAATTTGAGATTTGAGTTTGTCGATTCGACGAGGATGCGATTTCCGATCTATGATAACGTCAATATGAGGACCACAGCCCAATTTGGAGGGGACCTTACGTTAAAGGCGAAGCCTAAAAGGAAACCGAGAGACACAAAGGGACCGCGGACTCCAAGCTTGTCACTGCGTTGCCAAATTCAGTCCTAGCCGTACGCTACGGTTGAAAAGTGAATCATGCTTACGCCGACCACCCGAATAACAGGTTGACAAACATCAGCCCCCAAGATCCGATCGAAACAAGCGCATTAGACTCCAGTCTCCCAAAGCCGAAGCTGACGACCAAGCTCGGGGCATATGAACCGAATGCCTGAGGAGGGGCCAGGCCAGCGATCGTGAACCCGAGATGGGGCAACAGACGCCAGTTTGTCAACTATTATCATCAATTAGCCAATCTGTGGATAGGAGCGGAGGTCGGTAAGATACAGACTGTGCTCTTGATTTCGGCCCACGTGACGTGGCGCTTTGGTTGGGCCTTGGTAGGGTCATCGCGCAGCACTCTCTCATATATAATTTGGGCTTCACGCTCAGTAAAGTAGCGATACCCCAAATTAGAGACGGGATCACTAATCTTGTTCGGAAATGTGGTCAAAAATCCAATACCGATTAAGACTGTGAAAATGCCCTCAAGCTGAAGGATTGTGTTAGCATCGGAGCACAGAAGATACGCGCTGGTGGAAAGGGTGTTGCTTACAATGAACAGCCATTGCCAGCCGGCCAAACGAGCAATGCCTCGCATGTGGAGACTAACATGGTGATCAGTGATTATGAGAATGAGCGGGAATTGTCATACTCACACTCCATAGGCAATAATGCCGGTCATAGCTAATGCGAACAGGTTACCGACAAAAAACCAAGAGAATCGGCGGCTTATTTCATCCCGCTTATACCATCGTGTGAGAGTGAAAAGCGCCGCAGGGATGAAACCAGCTTCACATAGTCTATGCATGTTAGTTCTGGCGGAGCAAAACATTGGCGACCAACGTACCCAAGAAGGAGTCGCGTTACCATGAATGAAGTGAGCCCATTCTGGAAAGCCTGGAAGGTAGCAACAAGTCCCCTACGGATCTCAGCTCATGGAAATATCACGGAAGAATACGAGGCATACCAGGCTACTATCTGGCCACCGATCCAAAGAGTTGGCCCAACACGGTATAAAATCAGGTTGGAAGGGATCTTGGAAGTGGTTAGCCGAAACTATAGATTCGGAGGTCGATCCACAAACCTCAAGCAGAATGATACCGACGGACAAGAGCTGTTGGCCAACATTGAACTGGTTCTGTGTGATGCCAACATCGACGAAAAAGTTATCCGTCAAAGCATTGCCGCTATGTTGATGATCAGTATTGGAGAATGAAATGACCAATCTTTGACCAACATGTTTCCCCGGTCTAGCTGCAAAGCGAAGAACCCCGCAATCAACAGTGGCATAACAACGAAGTCGATTCTGTGTGGAAGTTAGCATGGATGCGACAACGAGCATTAGCTTCACGAATGACGTACTTCCTCAGCAACTTCTTCTCTTCTTCTTCTGACCATTGGAAATCCGACGCGGCACCCTTCTTGAGAAGTTCATCCGGCGGAGAGTTGGGGCGTTTTTCGTCGGCAGTAATATCCATTGTGAAATTGGATTTCAGATCAGCTGTGCGACAACACAACTGCAAAAGATACGATTACAATCGAAGGCCAGGTGGACTTGCAAAAGGCAAAGGGTCTTTATATCCGAAGTTTCCACTTGGATTTCACAATTCCAGTCTACAGCCTCCGCATATTATCCCGATCAAAATCTTCCTGGATCACACTATGGAGCCTTCCACGCGGGTGGATTCAACATTTCTCCGGCCCCTCAGGGCCCATCAGATATTCCGAAGATATTCAGGTCTCATAGGATGATGCATGGATTGTCCGGCATCCGGAACCGCTTCGCCAGCACTGTAATAAAAGCTGGCCGTGAAGAAAACTCCTCTTGGGGCACATGGTGATTCGCAGGAAAATAATTGTGCAATCATCAGCGCGGATTGCGATGAAGAAATGGGCCGGAACCAGGTATCAAATGGCTCTCTCCTGCTGCAGGAACCTGGTATTGCATGCTGTATCGAGCGAAGAAGGCCAGGAGGGTGGGTGTTGCGGGTATTTGACCGTTGCGCGATGAGGATACATCAGCACGCCATCCGGGTGTCGGTTCGATCACCCCGACTTCCGAATCGCTCCAGTCTTCAAAGGCGACTACTTGTGTCAAACTTATGTGGCAACCCATATTCCAATGGAATATTGGGATTCAACGAACCCCTTTCAATCGAAAAGACACACACGGCATCGCCTGGGGAGATATACTAACGCGACCACAAATGCGTCTTCTACAATCAGCTCTGGCCACGACGGCGCTCATGGCGACGCGCCAGGTCGTCACTGCGAGCCAAGACCAGACTCCGCTCCTGGGGCCGACCACTGAGCATGGAGCGACAAGCCGACCGAATATTGTTTTCGTCTTGACTGACGACCAAGACCTGCATATGAACTCCCTCGCACATATCCCCCTGATTCAAGACCTCCTTGTCAAGCAGGGTACCTCGTATAAACGGCACTTCTGCACCACAGCCATTTGTTGTCCGTCTCGTGCAAGTCTCTGGACTGGCAAACTGGCTCACAACACAAACGTCACTGACCTGAATCCTCCCTATGGTATGTACGCCTGGAGATCGTCAGATCTTCTGGGTGCTAACCTGTGGCAGGTGGATTTCCCATCTTCGTGAAGAATGGACATAACGAGAACTACTTGCCAGTTTGGCTGCAAAATGCAGGCTACAGTACCTACTATACGGGGAAAATGTTCAATGCTCACACCATCTGGAACTATGACTCCCCTCACCTCAATGGCTGGAATGGATCTGTAAGTGGTGGAATATCATGATCAAGGTCCTACTCTGACACGACCCAAGGATTTCCTTCTCGATCCGAACACTTATGCATATTGGAACGCAACCTTCCAGAGGAACAAGGATTCCCCGGTCAATCATCTCGGGCAGTATTCTACAGACCTCGTGGCACAAAAGGCGTACGGGTTCCTTGACGATGCTGTCGCCGCTGGAGAACCTTTCTTCCTCGGCATTGCACCCATTGCACCCCACAGCAATGTAAACGCCTCAACGCTGAACCCAGTCAAAGGTCCCGATGAGAATGTACCCGTGTCTGACGACGAGTTCAGGGTTAGCTTTCCTCAGCCAGCCAAGAGACATGAGCACCTGTTTCCAGATGCTAAGGTTCCTCGTACGGAAAATTTCAACCCAGATAAACCCTCGGGTGCCGACTGGATTCGTCGTCAGCCTAAGCTCAGCGACGAAAATGTGGCATATAACGACCTCCACTATCGTGGACGCCTGCAAGCCCTTCAAGCTGTTGATGAATTAGTTGATGGCCTCATTGACAAGCTGGAGGAGCATGGCGTCTTAGACAACACCTACATATTCTTCACTACGGACAACGGTTTTCATATCAGTCAGCACAGACTCCAGCCCGGAAAGGAGTGCGGCTACGAAGAAGATATCAACATTCCTCTCATCGTGCGAGGCCCTGGTGTACCTAAGGGCGCCATCTCCGAGGCTGTGACAGCACATATCGACCTCGTGCCCACGATTCTCAACCTAGCCAACGCTCCTTTGCGGGCAGACTTCGACGGTGCCCCTATCCCACTGTCTTTGAAAGAGCAAGAGGAAGCCCCTCTAAGCCGCGAGCATGTGAACATCGAATATTGGGGTTGGGCCATTTCCGAGGGGAAATGGGGCTTCAACGGGGGTGATGATAAGCGAGTATTCAACAACACCTACAAGGCCATTCGCGTCATTGGCGAAGACTACAACCTGTACTACTCAATTTGGTGCACCAATGAGCATGAGCTATACGACTTGAACGTAAGTGCTTCTACCTGGTAGAGAGTATGGATTTGGAGCTGATGCATTATAGACTGATCCTGGCCAACTTCGGAACCTGCTGCACCCAGAAGAAACCGAATTGGCTGCCAAGTCTACCATCCTCGGTCATTCTCTGCAAAGTTTACTTCCACGGCTTGATGCGCTCCTTTTCGTGCTCAAATCTTGCAAGGGCGTGACCTGTTCCCAGCCCTGGCGGTCGCTGCACCCTCAAGGAGGTGTTACTACGTTACGCGAAGCCCTTTCACCACAGTTCGACAATTTCTATGCCCAGCAAGTGAAGGTCGAATACAATCGCTGCGAGCTGGGGCATATAGTCGCTGCTGAGGGCCCGCAGTTCGAGGCCGAGGGCGATGTGTACTGGAAGGGTCAGAGTTGGAGCGAATGGACCTGATTCTGCACTTCATAATTGATATGAGATATTCGTGTATCACTTCTTGACGTCTGTCACTGAATCTTATGTAGGCTCATATCCAAAAATACTGTCTTAGATAGAGAGAAGAAAAATAGTTATGCAGGTCAACCCATATTGAGTGAAGACTACAGACTTCATCCCGGCTGAAATGAGATCCTCTTCCGCAACTTCAGTCGCGCTGCAACCAACTCCCCACTGACCTGGTGCAGATATCCAATCTCTTGCGTCTGCTTCCTTTATGGCAGCGTAATACTCGTTCGCCATCTTGATGTAGCCGATATCGTTCTGGTAAAGGTTGTCCGCCAAGTCTTTTGTCGAAACAGCTTTGTTCATGGGTACCACGACAACTTTTTTCCCAGACGAACTAAAACCAGAGACCAAGTCGGGAATCGCAGCATTGAAAGTGTCGATCCGAGGGAGTGCGTCGCGGTACTTATTATGACCCGCCGGAATAATTTGACACACAAACACCACAGCCTCGGGACTATTTTCAAAGATGATGTCGATTAGGCTCTTGAGTCGCATAGGGCCGTTGAGAGGATCCACCTCGTTTCTCATGTCTTTGGTTCCTGCATGCAACAGGACAATATTGGCCGCTGCGTGGAGACCGACTGTACTGGAATTCGATATCTGGTCAATGACAAAGGCTCGATGTCCTTCATGACTATTGTCGGCCATGCTTCCAGTTGCCAGGCCACCTACGAAGTTGACTTTGTTTCCTCGTTGCACTAAAAGGTCATGGAGCTCGCCACGGTAGCCAATTCCGTGTGTGCTTTGGACACCAAAGGTGATCGAGCTGGGTATGACACATTAGCATGATAACATGAGTAGATTGACTCAGGGGACTAAGACGAGAGCACATCGATGGACTGCCGCAAACGACAACGCAACTCATCTCGAATTCCATGTCAAAAACGTACTCTCCAATGGGTAGGACTTGCAACTCCACTCCGTTGGCGATCTGTGTACGGGCCTGTACATTGAGGACTGTGGATTTGTCCGCAGAAACTGCTTTCGACAAAATCGAGACCAAGAAGGTGAGCGTCACCAACGTCGCCCAAGGGCTTCTGGGTTGTCGTGCATCGTGCCGCTGACCTAGCGAACTCTTCAGCATTTCGAAATAAAGCCTAGCGGCAATCTCACACTGGTGAATATCGAGGCCAACCATGCCAAGCTGTGAGAAGAAGCATGGATTGGATCGAAGCGCCTGGGCAACCTCGAGTGATGGATGCCTTATCAAAGGGGTGGACAGATTTAGCCGCAATCCAAATCCGCCAAGCACGGGTATCATCCAGACAGACCCATAACTTCAGAGCCCTCTCGGCACCCTTCTCTCTGTTTAATGCCCTGGAATTCTATGTACTAGGTCATCGGCGACATAATTAAGTAACATCTTACTTTTATCAGTTTCGAGCTGGTTTGAAGTATAGTATAACGGTTCAAAGGGAGCTTACGTTTTAGGAGTGTGGCCTTCTTGTCCACCCCTGTTGTTTTGGTCACGGCATACATCGGCTGGGACGGCGTGATGGACCTTGGCACAGGATCCCATCGTGGCTTGGGCTACTCAAACTTGCAGTGGCCAAGTTGCTTCGCTACATTTAGATGCTACGTGCGCATGTACGGATGAGCAAACCCACAAACAATTACTGTAAACATGAGAATGCATCTAATTCTGCCACGTGCCCAAATCTCAACCTCAATGACAAGCGCTCTGAGCGGTGCAGTAGTCTACCATCCCGGTTTTTAAAAGGGCGGCCTTGATCGAAAAAGACACCTGAACCTGGAAAATATGCTGTATCAACGCCACATGACTTGATCGCCAGCCGTGCGCGAAACTGACTTGGGGCTGTGAAGCCTTTGTCTGAAGCCTGGACAGGCACTGATAGCGATGTATCTTATGTAATGTAGACGTAGGATTGTAGGTCTGGATCCAGCGAGTGGCTCGAAATAACGAGTTGATGCTGAAGAAAGTATATTCGTTGGTGCTTGCGAACTGACAGCATAACTGAAGAGTGGCAAAAATGTCACCGTCTTAAGTTTTGTGTCCAGAATGGGATCTTATCACCTGACAGAGATACTGGTAGACGCAAGATCACCTGCCAGCGTGGGATGCCTGATGGCCTCGAGTACGCCAAGTCCATCATCTAGCAGGGATGATAACACAAAAGACCCGACCCTTTCGAATGCCTTGCATGACGAAGAAATATGTTTGACGGCTGATGTGCCACCAAACTGTCTCAAAATAATGCCGTGCAATGATGCCCGTTCCATTTTCGCCATGCTTTCCTCCTCTAACAACGGAAATCTTGTCATGTTGAGTACCGGAAGGCAGAACAGATCGTCATATCCTCGAACCTCAGAGGAAAGTGTGTCCATGACGCACTCAGCCCACGTGCCTGATAGCAACAGCCTGCCCTGGCCGGTAGCCTCGTTGACGTCTAGTTGTGACACTGGGCATAGAACACCGCGAAGCTCAAGCAATCCGGTCCCGATTGGGGCCGTGGCATCAGTAGCTTCCTCTCCTGTTTTCGCGTCAAGCACCTGCACGGCGACAACTTTCGCCAGCATATCCACTTCGCACCGACGGGCCTCGTTGGCGAGCGTGAAAGGCAGGAGTCGCTGAGAGACCGCCCCATCAACAGAGATCCAGGACCACGAGGGTGCCCGATACGGCGACGGTCGGCATTTCGGAGATCCTTCCAAGCTCCACAGGAGATCAAATTCAAGATGTCGCCGCCACAAGCCTGCGAGATAGTCCGCGTTGGTCCCCGGCCCCTGGATAGCACGCGCCACGCCGGCAGCAGCCATGTGGCGGTACCCCGCAACAGTCAATTGGCTGCGTGTGTATTTGCTCACGAGCTCAAACCACCTCTGGTGTAGACGTAGCTGATCTCGCGGCGCGATATCGCGTGAAGACCCTGCAGCGGCGGCGGCGGCGAGGAAATCGAATGCACCACGGTACCCCGTGACGCTGTTGTCCGAGAGGGATGCAACAACCTCCGGAGCTTTGTATGCGGGGTTAGGTGCCCGGGGAATCTGCAGTGCTTGCTCTGATTTCCGCAGGTGTGCTTGTTCCGCGCTCTCCTGGCGCGCCCGTTCGCGTGCGGCGTGACGCCGCCCACGAGCTGCGTTCTCTTCGAGTCTGTGGCGCTTGCGCGCTCGATAAAGGTTCCAGGCCTTATTGTAACGGGCGCGGGCCTGGCGCTCGTGTTTGGAAGGAAAGACGCCATACGTGTTTGGAAGCTTGATAGATACCGAAGGCTTCGAGGGTGCCGAGTCTTCTGGAGGAGTAAAGTCCTCTGGCTCAAGCGCAGGGGGCGCTGATGGTTGTGGTGGAGGGAGGAAAGGATCAAGCATCTCTGCCCATCTGTCAAGGTCAGGGAATTCGTGTTTGGTGCCATCACGTGTCAGGACATCGACTCCATCGTATATGCCCTCGGGCTGCAGCTCCGACGCGAAAAGGGTGCTGCATTCGAAGAATATGAGGGAGGCACCAAAGTGGATGATGCGCTGGGAGAGGAGGCGTTCCTGGAAGGCCCAGGCTCGCGTGTTCAGTGGACCACCGTCAACCTCAGTGTGGAACATGTTGGTCTTGAAGGCCGTGTTGGCCGCCTTGACCGTCAGACTCTGTCGGCTTGAAGGATCGGCGAGGATGTGACACGGAAAGTATGGCAGAGGGTTCCTCTTCTTGAAGCAGCCGCCAGAAGATTCGGCCGAGCCAGTAGCAGATATCGTGCAGGATGCTTGAGCATAGACGTTGGCCATTTGCCTGGATTCCGTCTCCCAGTCATGTAGACTTCGCTGATTGCAGACTGAGGATGCGTCGTGATTGAAACATTTTTGCATGATGCAGAGCGAATCAATCCATAAGTAAGAGAAGCCCAGTTTCTGCGTTATGTGAATGGCATCGATGAAATTTTGAGACAGCTTGGCGGGCTCAATTTGCCGACAAAGTTCGTCGAGATTATGGTCAGTTAGTGTCTCGTTTACACTGGAGCCCCAGCAGTGACTGAGGGCAAGATAATCGACATGACTACCCCAGCCTTTAGTTTGCACCAGATGAGCTCGGTATCCAACATCGTCAGAAGTCCTTTCGATGAAGATAAGTCGACTGGGCAGCACTCTCTGAGAGGCCTTTCTAGCACGGCACCTGGGATGATTCGACTGGCAATCGTGTAACCAATTGCGCGCCAAATCTAGACATAAAGATGAGTCTGTAGAGAGACTGAGTTCTCGCTCCAAAGGCGCTTAAGCCATGATTAGGGATCGTCCGATCTCGGCAAGGAAGCGGTCACTCACAGTTAGGATCGTCCTCAATGAGGATTTCATGCCCAAGGGAAACGGATCCCATGAATAATTGCATGAATAGATGCGACTCGTCATGCACGTTCTTCCTCAGTTGCTTCCTAATTGCCAGTCTCAGTCCCGGCTGACCCGAGCTTAGGAGGGGTTGTCTCTCGGCAGCATTCGTAGTAACCCCCATCGGCCCCTGGGCGGGCAGAGAAAGCTCCCTGAGGCCTTTCGCACCATTCAACTCGCTGTTTGACATGGAGAACCAGAGGACCGTGCACAAGTGGCAACACTTGCTTGACGCAGATGTCTCCAGGGCGTCCAAGGTCAAGCCGAGATGATGCATCTCCCGTCTGCGCGTTAACGGCCAGGAGGAACCCACGAGCAGATAAGAGGCTCGTACCAACCGCTGACAGCCTTTGCAGACGCCGCTCGTTACGCACATGTCAAGAGCTTGCACTTGAGGTGTCGCCTGTGAAATCCATGTTTGCCGCGACGAACTCAATGTCCATCGATTGCTCACATAACTCAAAGGCGGGACGTGGTAGACGACAAGGTGTAAACCGCAACTGACCGCTTGTTGCAGGTCATGTTTCCGAGTTCGAATGAAGGCGTGTAGGCAAGCCGTTCGGCGCAAGTGCCATAACGCTAGGCAGTGGGATGAACGGCGCAGGGCATGTGTTGTCCTGAAGTAGACGTAGTCGCTGAGATTCCAGATGTGGTAAAAAAGCACAACGACATGGTAGATGATGAGAGGCGACAGAGCGAAAATGACATAAGCTAATTCGAAGTAGGCGAACGTCTCGTCAAACCTCGACGTGAAGGATGTGACTATGCCATACGGGATGATGAACAAATGTGCAATCGCCACATTGATGACGAAAATATTGAAGGCCGTGTCATGAGCGCCCTCCAGGGCGACAGGTGTACGCCAAGACATCGCACACCGACGCGGGCGCTGTGTTCTCGTTCAGTGGTCCAGCTTGCTCCAAGGTCGATGTGATGAGTTCGCCGACAACAAAGGGTTCGCCGATCGTCTGCCTGACGCTCGACTCTTCAATTGACGAGCTTGAGAGGTGATGCTCTTTATGAGACACTCACACACAATCACAGTGAAGGGGAAATGGTGCGGCTGAGCACCAGACGAGGCCTCTGGATGTTGTCTAGCTTAATCGAGACCGCAGCCTAGCAGTGCCACCGTATCTAGCGCGCAACAGGATGTAGCCAAGCAACAAAGTAGATCATTGTGTCATCCGCCTACCAATGTCTTTTTTTCCTTCCTCTTGGTCGTTTGGGAACTTGTCGAGCCATCGGCAGCAGCTGGCGCAAAAGGGGGCCCCAAGCTCGTTCTACTTACCATACACGAACCCTGAACCCATGCACAGCCAATGCTCAAGCAACCCGCCAACTGTGCCCAACCAGCCCAGGAACCCGGTCGTGGGGGGACCCTTACAGGGAAAGTGCTCCAGAGCCATTCGTGTCATGACTGGGCCCATGGGGCCCGGCCCGCCGGGAACCGCGCCCACTACTGAAGATCAGACCATGTGGTCACTGGCTTGCAGGTGCTCCAGTCGAGGGGGGGGGGGGGGGGGACAGAAGCCAGGTAGGCGGAAAGAAATTGTGATGATGCATACGATTCCTGGCACAAACGAGACACCACGTAGAGGTACTAGGCCCAAGACACCTAGGGTCATCGGGCATGAACGAATGGCACATCCCTGCGTGTCTGGGCATTCCCACCCTCTCATGAGCGTGCCCCAGCTTTGGGCCCTCAGGGTCGCGAAGAGCATCTACTTCGAGCAACGCCCGCCGGGCTGAGTTATGGCTGGTTCGTGATTGGAAAGACAACCGCCAGGTTATGGGCCCGAACGCCCTCCAAGTCCCACGCCGTCTGCGAGGACCGCTAATAAGAGACATGAATGAGGTCTAGTCGATGTGTGGAAAGGTGGCTTACCAGAAACTAAGTAGGTAGCATCATGTGAATTGTGCGGGGCCACCCATTTCGCCTCCCCCCTTCCGGCATCGATATAAGATGAACATGGGACGTCCCGGTTCGACCCCCTCCAGCGGTGGACCTAGGGTTGTGTTACCAGTTTTCCGGTCGGTCGAATCCTGTTCTTTGCCTTCAGTCTTCTTCTTTGCTGACATTTCAGCAGTCATGATCACAAAGCTCTTCTCAGAACAGGTGACGGCGGTGCCGCTGGTCGCGGCGCTGTTTGTGCTTTATCTGGCACGCACAGTGATCGCCTGGGCCAGACTGAGACAGTTTACTGGTCCACGCTGGACCGGGGTCAGCAACATCCCGCACGGCAAGGCCGCACTGTCGGAAAAGTGCCATGAGTGGTATGCTAAGGTTAGCAAGGAACACGGTACGTGTGGTTCACGAGATGACGGTCTTTTTTCCCCTCGTTCTTGTACATGTACTTGATTGTGATAGCAGAAAAAGATTGCGATCCACGTAGCTGACAACGAAAGGTCCCATTGCGCGAATCGCACCTGGAATCCTATTGACCTCGTCGCCCGAGGTCTGGGCGCACGTCAACCGACAGGCTGGGTACAAACGATCCGAGTGGTACTACAATGCTTGCCGGGTCGAGTATCGCCGCGACAACGTCTTTACTCAATCTGACAATGTGAAGCACGAGCAGCGGAGGAAGCAGATGGCCCCTGGCGTGAGTGATTTGGCTCACCCCATGAACGCATCTCAATCGTACTGACACTTGAAATAGTACTCAGGGCGAGAGAACCCGGGCCTCGAGGCGTCCATTGACGAGCGCCTTGAGGACTTGCTCAACCTCGTGAGGACCAAGTACATTTCGACGCCAGACCGCATTGTGCCCATGGACCTAGCCAAGAAAGTGCAATTCTTCACGCTCGATGTCATCAGTGCCGTCGGCTTGGGCAAGACTTTTGGCATGCTGGCAGCCGATAAAGATGTGGACTCGTATCTTCAATCGAGTGAAGAAGGTCTCGCTGCTGCCAATACTGCCTGGGCCCTCGGTGCATCGTGGCTCGCGCAGTCGCCTGTGCTTGGTCGCTTCATTGCGCCCTCGCCCCGCGACAACAATGGATTTGGCAAGATGATGGCGACTTGCTTCCGCTTTGTCGACGAGCGCGTCGCTCGGGGCGACACCGATAAGCGCTCCGACATGCTGGCATCATTTATCCGCCACGGTCTGCGCGACGATGAGCTGAAGTCTGAGGCACTCGAGCAGATTATCGCTGGCTCTGACACAACGGCCGGTGCCATACGCGGCGCGCTGCTACTGGTTATGACGAACCCACGCGTTTACGCACTGTTGCAGAAGGAGATTGATGCGGCGGTGCGCGACGGCAGGGCGCCGGCTGTCGGGAACGGCCTCATTTCTCAGGCTCAGGCAAAGGAATTGCCTCTTCTGCAGGCTGTCGTCCGCGAGTCACTGCGTGTGCGAACACCTGTGGCTAACCTGTTCCCGCGCGACGTGCCGGCAGGCGGCGACACCGTTGTCGTCGACGGCGAGAGAATCGCGCTGCCCGGGGGCGTGTGCATTGGATATTCCGCCTACGCCATGCACCGCGACGAGGCCCTCTACGGCGACGACGCTCAGGCTTTCAGGCCAGAGCGCTGGTTTGAGGACGATAAAGACAAGCTGGCGGCTATGGTGCGGACGAATGACATGGTCTTTGGCGACGGCAGATTCACGTGCCTCGGCAAGCCCGTCGCGCAAATGGAGATGGCCAAGACCATTTTTGAGGTACGTCTGCTGTTTTTCTGCTTCTCCCCCTGTCGTATCCCCTCCTCTTTGGCCCAGTTTCCTGCTCGGCGGCATCGTTCCTACTGGGTGGAAACTGTTGGGTCTGCATCCGTGATGCCCTCTTGCTGACTCTCGTTCGATATACGCAGCTGTTGCGGCATTTCGACGTTGCTCTCATCGATCCGATTAAGCCGTGGAAGACACGCAATCTGTTAGGATTATTTGCGATTTCCGACATGTGGGTGCAAGTAATGGAGCGATCGTAATCATTTCGAGGCCACCTTTTGATCAATGCTCATCAAGCTCGGGAGGGGCCAGGACGGCACGAGAAGCCACATCAGCAGAGAGGAGAAGACGGGCCTAGGCAGTTGGTTGGGGGTCGTGGCGCCAGTAACCGTGACACCGTCATTCGATGGCTCAGATCCCTCATCAGGACACGCATGGCCCGTTAACGTGGATCTGGAAACCGGAAATCCTTTTTCGCTGTTTAAGTTACCCTCGTGGCCAACCGTTGATTCGGGCCACAGAACAATGGGGGCTGGTATTCTCTCATTAACCTCATGCGGCCTGGATGAGCATGCTCTCTGTGAGCGCCATGCCCAGGACGTTTCTCAGATTCGGCCTAGGGCGAACGGGGGGAGCGGAAAGACAAGCCCTACCCTAGCTTGCCCGGCTAGACATGGCGCAAAAGCCAATCACGTCAGTATCGCTCATTGATTTCGAGCCACTGTTCCAGACAAGCCACGCATGATAGGACGATCAGGCGAGGGCAGAGGCTGGACCCGGGGGGGACGGCTCGAGGGCGGGGTTTGCTTTCCTTTGGTATGTTGGTACTTCATAAGTCATGGCAAGGCTTCTGCCCTCTCGCAGCTAGATTCGCACTCGCATCCCCCCTTGACCCTACGCTCGCGCGCCTGACACTGAGCTGGACCTGACTCTTGACTCTCTCGCCGTTACTGGATTCATCTGGTTCTAACATCGATGTTCGTCCCGTTCCGTCGAACCCAGTGAATTCCCGCTGGAGAAACCTCACACAGCTAAACCACACTTGGAATTCCCGTACCATGTCGACAAGTCAGGAGGCTTCGGCCGCCTCCCCGCCCCCCGGTCCATCGTACAAGAAGTCTCCCTCACCGAGGTCTCCTCGGTCGCCCAAATCTCCACGATCGCCCGGTTCCAACGCCCCAGGAAGCCCAGCGAACCTGGAGCAGGTTATCGAGCAAACCAACGAACAGCAGCACGTTACGGCGGATCAAGTCCCTTTTGTGAGGCCTCAATGGACACCCTAGCACTGCGAACATACTAATTGTTCGATGCAGGACGAATCGGATATCGACAGTGATGAAGGCATCGATAATGAAAGGTAGCACGCACAGTCTCCATCTTACCGAGTCCATAGCTCATACTCGCTACAGTTTCGTCTCATCGACGGCCTCGTTGACGAGCAGCATGCTCGAGTACCGCCAGCTCCATGGCCGTACGTTCCAGAGCTACAAGTCGACAGAGTACTGGGGCCCCAACGACGACCGCCAGAATGACGGTCTTGATATAGCTCACCACTTCATTACGCTGCTTCTCGGCGACAAACTCTACGAGGCACCGATTGACGAGCCCAAACGCGTGCTTGACGTTGGTACCGGCACCGGCATCTGGGCCATTGATGTCGCCGATGCTCACCCAGCCGCCGAAGTGACCGGCTTCGACATCAGCCCTATCCAGCCTTCCTGGGTGCCGCCCAACTGCAAGTTTCACATTGATGACGCCCAGCTCGAGTGGACGTACCCGCCCGCGAGTTTCGACCTGATCCACATCCGTGCTCTTTACGGCAGCATAGCCGACTGGCCTAAGCTCTACGGGGAGGCCTTCAAGGCTCTCGAGCCCGGTGGTTATCTGGAAAATTTTGAATTCACCATCAACCTGCGGAGCGATATACCTTCGGTGCGCGATGACCCGAAACACGTCTTCAAGCAATGGGGCCAAGTCTTCACCGAGGCCATGGATCGGCTCGGCAAGACGGCTGAGATCGGTCTCGATGGACGCATGAAGCGCTACATGGAGCAGGCCGGCTTCGAGGACATTGTCGTCAAGGATTACCATCTCCCCTGTGGCGGCTGGAGCAGTGATCCCCGCCTGAAGGAGGTTGGCATCTACAACCTCGCTTTCCTAGAGGAGAGCCTCGAGGGATTCGCCCTGTTCCTGTTGAAGGAGATCATGGGCTGGGAATACATCGAGATTCAGCTTCTGGTCGCCAATATGAGGAAGGCCATTCGTGATATGAAACTACGACCCTACTACATCGTGTAAGTCTTCATTCTCTTCACACATTCGTATTACGGTTTAATTGACACCCCTTCCCAGACCAAATGTTTACGGTCGGAAACCCCTGACGGCCGAGTAGCTGGCTGCCTCTATGCCTGATCCAATAATTCTCAAGAGCTCCCCAAAGCAATATTGTTCTCACGCAGGATTCGGGTTGCTGGCGACAGCTTGCGATGTTGCGTATTTGCATTCTCGTTAAGCGTATCAATCTTTAAGATCGAAAGCGATACATCATGACATTTCCTACACTCTATTACGCTTTTTTACTGCTTGATTGACCCTTTTGAGATGAATGGCGTTCTGCCACATAAATGCCTATCGCAATCCAAGGGCCGGCGTGAGCATCTGGGCGTACGACTAAGTTAAGGCTTCCGAATCCTTTCAATATGCTGTCCCGCCCTTGGTGAAGGAAACGCCTCTGTTTCTACTATACGTCTGGATTGTCAACTGAACAGACTCTTGCCAACTCCCATGTCGAGGAAGACATTTCCCCAGAGCTGGACATTAAAATCTGAGAACAGTGCCTTTTTTCGATTGAGGTCTGTCAAGCAGGTACGGGAGTTGAACCTGGGTCCTGGACAACGTTTGTTGTCGCGAAACACAGCAAGCTCTTAGGACAGAGTTCTAGATTCGGTCTTGGTTACGTTGATGTGTAGGACGAACCGAATATTCACTGGCTTCGCTGCAAAACTTTTTGCTGGATAGTACATCTTTGGTTAGGACCAACGAAAGTCTTGTGACTATCTCAGAGATTTTAGATCCGAGAAATGTATGTTTGTTGGACAAAGATTTGCCGCGTATTCAACAGGAGTGTCGACTCCTGCATCAGCCTCTGCGCGTTAAAGTGTCCAGAAAATGAATAGACAGAGGTTTACGACGCGGAGAACGAGATGAACGATATGACAATGCTCCGCTTAAGCCTCAAGCTCGGAATCCTCCTCATTTCGGGCATCATCAAGATATGTGGGTAGATGTCACTCGACCAAGGCCACTACATCAGTCTAAGAACTCAAAACCCTTAAAGGTCACCTCTGCCGCCTCTGCCTCACCGTCTCCAGCATGTGCAAACACGCCGAGGATAGGTCCCGTGAAGTCTCTGGCATCGAGAGCCAGGGCGCCCATTGACCCAACTTCCAACTAGTCTTTTTCACTCCTCGTACAAGGCTCTGTCAACCGGACCTTTGCCGCATAGCTGTACCTTAACGGAGCCCCCTAGATGCGCAACTCCACCTCCTCCACTTTACCGAAAATCTTGCGGGAGATGCGGCCGCTGAGACCTGACGCCGAGTTGTGGATAGAATAGACTAGTGAATTCGTGGCAAAATCGAAGGCGATGTATGCGGATCGTATCGAGTCCTTGTACAGTGCGAGACCAGCCTGCACATTCTTGCCAAGAGGACCCTCGATCGCCGTGATACGAGTAGAGGCTGTACTATCAAGGGATCGCTGACGGCGGCCAAGGAACGTGCATGTATCGACGGGGGACGTAAAATCCGTCCGACTGGGGGTGAGCGTTATGGTCTTCCCGTCGTTGGTATGGCGGTATTTGGACGGATCGTAGTCACGGATGTAGAGATCCTCAACAAACGGAGGCGCCGTGAGCGGAGGACGACTGACCATGGACAGCGACGCCTCCCTCGAGAAGCTCATCCTGGGTTGGCGAACCACAGGCCAACCGCCACGGGGCCAGTCAACGGGGGACAGGAATGATTCGCGGCCGAGGCCAAGGTACCCGTCTTCCTGCTTTCTGACGCCAAGGACAGCGGCCCACCATCGACCGTCGCGGTCTTGGAACAGATCGCCGTGGCCAATATTTTCAATGTACTCATCCTTGCCATCTGCCGTCATGATAGGGTTGGTGTCCGCGCTTTCATATGGGCCCCAGATGTTGGTGGACCGTGCTATCGTGAGCATGTGGTGCTCAAAGGTGCCGCCTTCTGCAGCCAGCAGGTAGTAATATCCGTCTACCTTGTAAATGTGCGGGCCTTCCGTGTCGTATTTGGCCCACCCAGTCCAAATTTCTATGGCTTCTGAAAGGGCCTTGCCCGTGGTAACGTTAATTTCGATCTGCTTAATGGTGGCGGTGGGTTGTTTGTCGCGACGCAACATTCAGCTCCCCTGTACGTAGACACGGTCATTGTCATCGAAGAAGAGGCTGGTGTCAATACCGTTGAAATCAAAGTACACAGGGTCACTCCATCTGTTACCCCAGATGTTCTCTGTGCTGATGATGAAGTTTGCGCATTTGTATGACCCGCTGTGATGCGTGTTGGTTGTCACGATGTAGAAGGTTCCCTTGTGACGGTGGATACTTGGGGCAACAATGCTCAGTGTTCCTACAAGTGGAAATCCGGTGTCAAGCGTGACATGAATGGTCCCAGCTTTCTTCAGACTGAGCTGTGATTGCCTACTCAGCGCATTTCCTAGGTCATGTGAGCTAGAGCTCTGTAAGGTTTTGGGCCTCTGAATGTCGAAGCGAGGTCCATCTCAAGGTATACCGATATGCGTCTATTCCTTCAAGTCCTTCGATGCGTATATGGGTAGTCCTGGGAAGACGTGAAACGACGACGTGCAGAGGAAGAACGTTCCGTCGACGAATACCACGGAAGGATCAGGTGAGAAGCCTGGCACAATGGGATTCGAGTAGTCGACGGCGCGGCCGAGCGAACCCATGGCGTCTTTTTGGTACCGTATCAAGTTTTCCAACCCCTCTTTGGGGACTTCGTGGACCAGAAACGTGAACAGGCGCGGAAAGCAGATGTGCCAGTGACGTGAAGATGGCTATTGAATGGTTTCCAGCTTTGGCACTGAGTTGAAATACTAATGATCACAACGGCCGGCCCCTCACGTACTTCGCCATACCCGGAATGTGGGTGGCCCAATCCCGCCGCGGGGGGAAGTGCCCGGCGGTAGCGAGTGGGTGGGAAGAATGTCCGCGGAGAAATGTGTCACACGGGGCTCGCGTTCGCCAAGCCTTGTTCAATTTGGGAATCCCGTGCTCAACTCATTCGAGACCTTCGAATTCAACGTCGCGATCAGATCCAAGAGGGTCGAGAAAATAGTTTTGGCGCGTGCACAGAGTGCCTGGTTAGTGGTTTTGTGGGTGATCTGCAGCAGGTCGACCCCAGCCTGTCGGAGTTTTTCGACCTAGCAGCAACAGTCAACAACCGGTTGACGAGTAGGGCGATCTCTCGTGTGAGGAGGAACTTACGCAAGGCTCGCTGTTAGCCCTCAAGGCCTCGAATGGCACAGCGGTCGCCGCTGCTACAAGATCACTAGCAATCTCTGTCTTTCGAAGGGCCAGCATACCCTCATCGTTAATTAAACCAAGAAGATGGCAGCAACCGTGAGCTTCTGCTCGTCGCAGAATGGTGAGTCGCAGACAGTGAAAGGTGATCACGAGGTTTGCCTTTTGAGCCCAGAAAGCAAGTTTCTGAAATGAAGTTGCCGCAGGAATATTCGTTGTGTGGGATTCGGGATCTCTTAACCAAGGAGGGAGTGAATCCAGAACAGCGCAGAAATTCAAGTAAGCCTGCATGATGCCGGACGCGGGCACGTCCAAAGCCTGTAGTTCTGTGGTCACCCCAGATCGACTGTACATCCTAGCCAGGACTTTTAGATCGAGTATGATGTCGGCCCCATCTTTCCACAGCTTATTGCTCAACGTGAAACCAGCTTGCAACCGGGATTCATATGAGCAGGTGAATAGTGGCATGTCCGGGCTCAATAATCCAAAGTCGCCCTCTCGTTCATACGCCAGAGTGAGCGGCTCCTGCAGACAGACTTCTTGAACGGTGGAACGGACATGATTCAAAACTGAGGCAGATTTGTCGGCCACGTACAGCGTCCAAACTACGGCACGCATGATTGTTGCCTCTGGCTGTGGCATGTCATCGAACGATCGCTCGTCGTAAAGCCTCATCAGAAGTGCCAGATGATGAGCGGTACTCAAAACGTATAGAGCTATGTGCGTTTTGCCAAGACAGTGAAATGCGCTGGACTGCAGTACTCTAATGACGAGGGATGAAGAGGTTGGGTGTTCAATGTCTCGCTCCTCAAAGTGCGCGAACATGCCGCGAGAGGCACGCAAGAAGCAGCGGGGCATGTCGGGGTTGTCGAGACTGCATATCATATTGGAGTTCGTTCCTGCACAGATGCTAGCGCACAAAGCCGTCAAGAGAGTGAACGCCCTAAACTCTTCCAAGCTCTTCATAGACAGCCCAGATGAGTGTCTGGACCGCGATGTGGTTTCGTCGGGTAACAGTGGGCGGGATAGTAGGGCGATCGAGGCGATGAGGTTCGTCGGCTGCACTATCGGAATGAGAGGGTAGGAATATTGCATGAAAACATCAATGCATTTCCTCGCTGCATGATCAACCGATGACCCAAGAGTCATGAGGTCTTTGGCCAGCGCATCCTGGATTTCTGTGGGTGTGGGAAGCCTTTCCTCGGAAAGTAATGTCAATTCGACGGAAGCCCTGTCCTGGCGGTGATGTGGTTCAATTCGAGAAGCAATCGTGGGGGACAGGTGCGCTGGGAAGCGACCGACATGAGAAAGCTCTGCTAACGGCAGAGTCGGTGTTATCTTGACGGGTGATACGATGTCAGATAGTCCGTTGATTGGAGAATCGGGAATCGTTCCTCGCGGAGACTCCCCTATGGGCGATTGCCTTGGCTCTGCGGAGGCCCGAACTTGCCGACTGCGAGCTTTTGGGCCTCGCTTTCTCCTCGGAAGCTCATATTTGCAGTCAATGCCAGATGAGCGGCAGTTGCTGCAGCAAGGCGTACGGGCGTCGCATTTGACCTTGCGTACCCTGCAGCTATCGCATGCCAGTGTCAAGAGCCTGCCGCCAGCCATGCTGATGAGCCAAGGCAGGGACCCGGCGGCACGGAGCGGCCTGGCGTGGTCTCGGACTTTCGTCGTGCAGCGCGAGTGATACTGTGGATCGTGTTCGGTGCGCTGTGCCAATTGATGACTCGGGAGAGAAAGTCCGTATGTGTGGGATTGGCGTGACTCGTAGTCCTAATGCCTTGGTTTTGAATAGAGATGTAATGAAATAATCGAACTGGAACGGAGAAAACAAATGAACAGGAGAAACAGGGCAGATTGGAGGAACCATGAAGTAGGTACTTGAAAGTGCGAGGATGTGGCCTTAAGACTGATTTCTCCGAGAACGGACATAATCATCCTATTACAGAGGCACTAACAAATCCCCCCTCCCCCCCCTGACCAGGACTCTATGGGGGCCAGGATGGCTTCGGACAAAACCAATCAGACTTTCATCCAGCGCTAGCTTAGAACATCCCCAGGTAAGAGATGAAGAATGGCGTTTGGATGTTTAAATGGTTTCCGAGGAAAAGATTCTGGAATTCTTTCCCGTCGTATTCACGCGAGAATGCAGGCAGCGGGCGACATGCGTAAGATTCACCATCTGCCGCAGTTTCATGATTGATCCTTGCCTCGTCGAACACAAAGTTTACAAATCATCACCGTAAGCTCGACCCTGTTCATCCTAAGCTAAGCATTTATCCAGAGAGTTGATGTCCCTACAAACTCCAGCTCTTGAACCAGTTTAGGTCCCCTTCCATACCTTATCCCGTGGGACTCTCGAACAGCTCTCGGGAACCCTCGAACATACGACGTCAGTCAACGCTTGATCGTACGGAAGCAAAACACGGGTGTCAAAATCGGATGATGGGCTGGTGGCCCTTCCAACCTTGCTCTACACTGAATCACCACCAGGTTTCTGGGTACATCCAGAGCCTCACGAACGCAACCCTTCTATGGAAGGCTAAGGATCCCTATGAACATCTCCTCAAGCACTGCATTTCGCTGCTCTGCGCCCGCACCCTCTCTCTGTGCAGGGCTGAGGTCGAAAGTTCAGGATGGCATCTTCTTTGTCGGGGACATTGGCTGCGTCCTTTGCATCTTAGGTGTCATCATCCAGAGCTTGGCCGAATCTGCCATGGCCATCCTTGGTTGCAAGCTCGTCAGCACCCTGGGTTTAGGCCTCGGCCACGTTCTCGCTCCTGTCTTTGTCGCCGAGATCGCACCTGACGAACTACGCGGTGTCTGCTTCACCCTCACCAACACCATGATTGTCTCGGGCCAGTGGGGATGTGCCCTTGTAGCCTACGGAGGGTCTTTTATCGCCAGTGACTAGGGGTAGAGAATGCCTTTTCTATAACATAACCAGTGCCGTCTGCATATTTTCATAGTAAAAGTCTTCCTGCTGCAGCAGATCAAACCTTGGCTCTGCATGTAAGACCAGTAGCGAGTGCCATACTGAGGTTGCGTTGCAGGGCTCTAGTTATGCACTGACGAATATCCTGATAAAATAGAATCGAAACGAGATCTGGACAACTTTGACGACTTCGCAGTAAGCCGCCTTTTGTATTCCTTCTCGTTCAGTCGGCTTTATAATTTTGATGAGAACTGGGCAATTTGGACGGAGCTGGTTTCGCTATCGGTGGAGGAACTCTGATATTGAGGTACAACAAAGTCGATCCAAACCTCCGCATGTCGCTGTGCCAGCCTACTCAAAATTCCAGTTGGCAAGACATACACTAGCCTAGAGCATTGCCCGAGCCTTGAGACTTGTCATGTTGTTTGTGACGGCTAAAGTACCTTGGGCGCTACGAAATATATCGCCAACCCAAATGCGAACAAGCCAACAGGGTCCTGGCGCTTCAGTCAGAAGGAACGCAATGGTGGGGGCGCACGAATACTTCCGGAGGTCTAAGGACGAGTGGGCTCATTCAACTACGGCTAAACCGGGATCTTCATCAATTCATGACGCCCTTTCTACCAGATACGGATTGCTGCTTCCTGAGCAAGGCGGGGCTTCCTGATTTATCATGCTGGCTGAATCCTTCGAAATCCTTTCCAGTGAGGAGTGGCATGACATGCTTGTCATACATGAGCCGACAAGCGAAAGGATCAACATGCAGGAGAGAATCACCTTGCTGAGCGTTAGCTCGATACCTGTTAAGAGAATTTCACCAGGCCTCACTGGGATACAGATCACAATATCAGAACTAGCCATGTTGGAACACTGAAGAAAGAAACCAAAAGGGCAAAGCTTGGAGACGCCATTCAACAGACATACCTTTGAGCTTGTAGGTTGAGACTTTGTGGTATTTTCGTTATGCTGTGTTGGTTACCAGATTAGGTCAACACATTTCTCAGGTTCTATAGGGGCCACTTGTCCGATGAGGAGGATCCTAGCAGTTGGTATTCCGCATGTATACCCCCCCATCGAATCCTGCTTTCTGCCGAGTTTGCTGTTCATTGGTCTGCTTAGCGGTGTTTCATTGCGTTGAACGAAATCAAATCCCGTTGAACTCCGTCAAATAGATTGCACCATCAGCCTTGATGGTGTTGTGACACTGCGCATACGTTGAGCTCCAACATCGCCCGCATTCTGCCTGATATTTAGCCGCTCAGCTTGATTCGCCTATCAAGAGAGTCAACGAAGCCTCAACACACTCACCACTTCTCTCCGACCCAAAGCTACCCGGGTCCTCAGGCTCCGTTCTTACAACACTGGAAAGAGTTGACGGCCTTCAGCTGCGGCGACAAGTATCAGGTCTGGTTGTGATAGTAGAGAACGCTGCAATGGAAGTCTCCTGAAAACTATAAGAGGGCTGAAAGCTCGCCTCGACAATGAGCAACGTCCCCATCTCTTCATCAGCTCAGACCTTCACACGCAAAGATCACAATTATCCAACCTCAACCACACAGCCGCTCACAGCAACGCTTTCAAGATGAAATTCTCCGTCGCCACCCTCGCCCTCGTCTTCGGCCTTGTCGCCGCTGCGCCTGCCCCCGAGGCCAACAGCGCCAGCATCACCGAGGTTCTCGACGCTCTCGTTGCGCGTGATGTGGTCCAGCGCCGCGCCTGCAGCGGCGGTAAGCTATACGGTGTTGCAGAGCACTCCAAAAAGCTATGCTGACTCTTTGTAAGCCTCCATCTGCCAGAGCGGTTTCTGCCACTATGTCTTCTGCCCCGGTATGGGTGGGTGCTTCCTCCAGAAGACTAGCGAGAGGTGCTAGATCCTTAGTCCGAGTGAGGCCTCATCAATGGGATAGAATGACCCCAGTGCATGTGGAACTCATCAAACGGCCTGAAAGGATTGGATGGCACGAAGTACTGCTGGCGGGATCTGTGGGTACAGCACAAGGCCTCCCAAAACATGTGCCGGACAGTATCTTAATCGCAATCAAATTATACGCTTCACATGGATCATGATGTGCTGGCGGTTGAACTTTGATTTCGCATCATGCTGAGGGCTTGCCGGATACTACGATAGTACTAAGTTACCTCAGACCACAAACATGACAGGATGTTCGCTTCCCAGGAGGGGTGAATCACAATTCCTCCTACCAATCCGAGTCTCCTTTTCATCGACCCTCAGTACACGTAGATAAAATCCTCATTCTTCAGATCCGTCATATCGTGTAGCGCGTTATCCTCCTGCAAGGTCCTCTGCTGCCTCTGTTGCCCGTCCTCTTCGAGCTCGATATCGACAGCCTTGCTCCGCTCCATGTTACGGTTGCGCATCATTGACTCATCGACAATGACGGCATTCTTTCCGAGTTCCTCGCGGCGCTTAGCGTGACGCCTGTTCAGAAACATCAGATAGAATGGAATCGTGATGCCCAGAGCCGCAACGAGAACAAACATAATCAGGTTGGAGATGAGACCAGGACGGTACAAGGGCGCGTCACTCGGCTGGTAGATCAAGGGTCCTGTATCGGTCAGCATGCTATTTGGGTGATGGGCTTTTTCTGGGGCATTGCTCATACCAACGATATTGCCGGCGCACATGAAAGCGAACACCATGCCGCTTGTCGTCTTCTTCTTGGTGTCCCCCGCTGTGTTCTGCGCCTGCCACGAGTAGACGAGCGGCGTGATGGCCGCCATGCAGCTGACGAGATAATAGCCGAAGAGCAGCACGGCCTTCTGTTCGCGCGGCACCGTGAGCATGAGAACCGAGCCGATGATGGGCAAGACTGCAGTTCCGGCGATGACAAGCCCCTTGCGTTGAAAGCGTGTTGCAATCCAACCAGTACCCATGATGGCGATGATCTGGATGACCCCAAAGGGAATGTTGAACAGGATGGTCTGAAACTCGGTGTAGCCAAAGGAGCGAACAATCAGGTTGCCAAACGTTCCGATGCCGCCACTGGCGATGGAAATGGCCAATATCAATATGGACCAGCACCAAGTCTTGACGTCAAGGAGGGTTTCGATGGCATGGTCCCAGCGCCACTGGCGAGAGGCGACACCCATCTGGTTGGCACGCAGTCGTTCGACGGCGATGAGCTTTTCACTTTGCTTTAGATACTTGGTCTCCATCGGGGAATCGGGCATGAGTATGAGCACAATGACGGCCCACACAATGGTGAGAAGGCCACAGAAGAGGAAGATGACCTGATAGCGGTACAGGCTATCGCTCTTGATATGGCCGAGGCCGTAGGTCGCCAGACTCCCAATGATGAAGGTGAGACCATTCATGGCGCTCCAAGCTGACGTGACCTGCCGCGATCGTCAGTCTCGAGTGGACATATGTGCAAGGGCAGTCCTCTCACCATTGTCTGCTCCTGTCTCCTCCACCACATCTGCGTGACAGCAACGCAGCTCGGTGCAATCATGGCCTCAAAGGTGCCCAAACAGAACCTCATGCCGAGCAGACCGGCAAAGTTTGTGGGCGCTGCCATGATAGCCTGCGATACGCCCCAAAGGAACACGGCGCCGGCGATGACCTTTCCGTAGGGCAGCTTGACAAGGATGAAGGCCGCAGCAGGTTGCCACACGAGCTGGGCGAAATACAGGATACTGCTGAGCCAGGAGTACTGACGGCCGACGAGATTGGCATCTTCAATGATGCCAAAGATGGACACATAGCTGAGCGAGCTCTTGTCGAGCTGCTGGAAGAAGTAACTGCCGAGAAGAATGGGCAGAACACGCCAGTTGATGCGACGCAGCACGGCGCGTTCCTCTTCGTAGGTGTAGGAGATTTCACCATGGGCAGCGAGGAACTCGGCAGCCTTTTCGCGCAAGGCATTGGGGCCAGCCGGCGTCGGCGTGACAGAGTTGCTGGGCGTCGCTTCGTTGTTGGATGTAGCCATGTTGGTGAGTCTTTGAAAGCAACCTTGAAGCTGATGGTAGTTCCTTCTGCTGCTGATATTCGTCTCTATTCAGTCCTATCCAGCGTCTTTATTCTCTCATGGTCCGTCGAGATCGTCGAGATCGTCGCTTTGCACTGTCATGCTTCCCCGCAAAGAGACGTTACCAGCGATGCTTGACTTGAGTCAACTGCCATAGAACGTCACACGGCATGCGCAAGCATCTCAGCGGCACTGGCTTTTAGCCGTACCACAACCCCGGACTCGGAAGTGCGGCATGCCTGGCGGCTCACACATAGCAGTGGCCGGGGTAACGAGCTTGTCTCTGACGAAGTGTAGGAGAACGACATGGCGTCTCAACGCGAATGAGCCGCAGGATCGACTCCACGAGACTAAATACCGTAGACAGCTGGTCATTGGGGGAAAAACATGCCCGAAGGAGAAATGTTCGGTCCAAGATGGGGACGAGATGAGTGGGAACGCTATTCAAGATGTGAGGATCCTCTCTGAGTAGACGACCGACAGCGGAAAGGTCTGGGACTGAGTGGGCGCTACATCGGGGCATTTTCAACGGCCCTGTTGGCTGGAACTGGCGTCCGCAGTGACTATGACAGCGGCAGAAAGGCTAAGCTCGTAAGAGGCCCAGCGGCCCACACAAGTGCCCCACCTGATGCCACTCTGTGGGGGAGGGGTTGAGGGGGAAGGGGCAAGGGGGAAGGGGGAAGGAAACAGGGAGAAGGAGGGGTCATGAAAGTGTTGCACCTTCTGCCTGATTTCGGCTGCTGGGAGAAAGCCCGCCGAAGGCTTCTGCTAGCTCTGTCCACCATTGGCCATGATGGCATTGTTTCGGTGGCGGGGGCCGAGCTCTGTACTGGATTGACGCTCCAGGAGCTGGTCACTTCATCGGAGAGGGAAGGAATAACTTGAGCGATCCTGCTGCTGCTACTTCCTGCTAGCCTTCTGTTGGACTGACAGGACACTAATCAATCCCAACAGTTCCGAACAGCCTTCATCGCCTCTGTCCACGTACGTTACCACCGACCCGACACCATGTCTGACGGAAGGAAAAAGTACGCCGTCGTCGGCACCGGTGGCCGCTCTGGCTTCTTCTACTCTGCCATCGCCAAGGACTACAGCGCAACATCCTGCATCGTTGCCCTCTGCGATACCAACCAGACGCGCATGAACTATGCAAACGCCAGGCTCGCCTCTCTCGGTCATGGCGAGGTGCCGACCTTCCTCGCCGCCGACTTTGACAAGATGATTCAGGAGACCAAGCCCGACGAGGTCATCGTCACGACCATGGACCGCACCCACAACAAGTACATCGTGCGAGCGATGGAGCTCGGCTGCAACGTCATCACCGAGAAGCCCATGACCATCGACGCCCCTAGGTGTCGCGAGATCTTCTCCGCCGTCGAGCGCACCAAGCAAAACGTCCGCGTCACGTTCAACTACCGCTACGCCCCGCACAACACCAAGATTTTCGAAATCATCCGATCGGGTGCCATTGGCAAGGTGACGAGCGTCCACTTTGAGTGGATGCTGAACACGAGCCACGGCGCCGACTACTTCCGCCGCTGGCACCGCGACAAGCGCAACAGCGGCGGCCTCCTCGTCCACAAGTCGACCCACCACTTCGACCTCGTCAACTTCTGGCTGCAGTCCCGTCCCCAGACCGTCTACGCCACTGGCGACCTCGCCTTTTACGGCCGCGAGAACGCAGAGGCCCGCGGCGTCACCGAGTTCTACACACGCACACACGGCAGCGACGTCGCCAAGAAGGACCCCTTTGCCCTGCATCTCGAGAACAGCGAGGCCCTGAAGGGCATGTACCTGGACGCCGAGCACGAGGACGCCTACTACCGCGACCAGAGCGTATTCGGCGACGGCATCAGCATCGAGGACACGATGAACGTCCTCGTCAAGTACCGCAGCGGCGCGAGTCTGACCTACTCCTTGACGGCCTACGCCCCATGGGAGGGCTTCCGTGTCAACTTCAACGGCACTGGCGGCAGGCTCGAGGTGGAGGTTGTCGAGAACAGCTACGTCAACTCTGGTGGTGACCAGGCCGACGAGGGGTCGCTCGAGAAGAGATCCATCGTGCTGAGAAAACTGTTCGAGAAGCCCCAGGAGATTGAGCTCGGTGAGAGTGTTGGTGCCCACGGTGGTGGCGACACGGTGCTGCTGAACGACCTCTTCGGCGAGCCCGTGTCGGACGAATACATGCGGGCTGCAAGTCACGTTGACGGCGCCGCGTCTATCCTGACGGGCATTGCGGCGAACCGCTCCATCGCGACAGGGCAGGTCGTTAATGTCGATGACATCCTGCAGGTGCCGGAGAAATAGGGGAGGGTTGGCCACAAATGATACACCACGTTAGAATATAGACACACGTTTGACTTGCATGGCTGGATGATTATATATGACTGCTTGAATTCCCTGGACTGCTTGAATTAGAGAGTGTGAAAATTAGATCATAATGCCCCGTTACTGATAATCCCCTGCATCGCTACCCCAAAGCCTTTGCGAAGCCAGCATCACCAATGTAATCGGCGAAATCCCGCCCGCGCTGCCGTGCCGCCAGCCTCTGGCCCTGCGATATCTTGCCCTTCTCCAGGTACTCTATGTAGGCGCAGAGCACAATGTACGTCGCGTGGGGGTTCTTGGAGAAGTCCCACTCATCCGTGACGGCCTCTTTGAAGCTGCCGTCGTAGGCCTTGGAAAACCACTCGCTTCGGAGGAGGACGGATCGATCGGCTTCGAAACTGATGCCGTCCTTGGACGTTATTCTGACCATCCTGCCGTCTGATGAGTATTTTGGTTTATATGGTGTTTCGCTTGTTTGAATAGGAAGGGGGGGTCCTACTTGGGGGACGTGAGGCGAGCACGGAGTGTATTTGCCCTTGGGGATGAACCAGAGTGCCAACAAGTCAGAGCTGGGTAGGAATGGAGGACATATTTATAGTCTCACGATACAATATGCTCAATCGAGGTCTACCGTATAAACATGTACATGGCATCGAGTGGAATTCTTCGGGCACGCTGACTGCACTTTGAGTGACAACCATCGCGTCCAAAGACCTAGTCGGGACCAGGGTCGCGCCGAAGCCCGGGGCTCATGCACTTCAGACCTGCGCATTGGCCGCAAGTATACCCGAAAGTGCACTTTCGGGCAGCCTCACTGCGTGCTTACCTGCAGGCTGGTCAGGCAGTGACGCAAACATATCTACATTACCTCACTCCGCACGGGTTCATTGCATGTTGAGAAAAACGATGACGGGATCACTGGCTCACCTGCCATTAATAAGGTGGACAGAAAGACGATTACTGACGTGCTCTACCTCAAAGATCTGCCGCCACCAAGAAAACCGAGCAGAGCTGCTGAGACGCGATGTAGCGGTGCACGGGATATCTAATAGGTTACAGCCGCCACCGTCGAGCACGGCCATTGAATCTCTTGCGACTGCTTGGGGGGGGGGGGCTACCTAAGTAGGTGCGAAAAAGCAAAAACTGTCCCCGAGGCCGGGATTCGAACCCGGATCCCTCCCCTCCCCCCGGAAGGGCCCGCTTCAGCGCAACTGGCGTCCACGGTCGTCAAGGTTGGAATGCTGAACCAATTACACCACCTCGGGTTTGAAGGCGGCTGCACTCGTTCTGGGCTGGGCGGGCCGTGACGTGCGTTGATAGAAGATATGCACCGTTGAATGCGTTCCGTTGGCGATTTCGAGCAGGACACGGAATGCTGCCTGTCGGCCTAAGAATTCCGACGTGTAGTATACTAGACCCCTGTGAAGTGCTTTCTCATTGTTTGCTTCCTCTGTAAGAGGAAAATCAGCGCAAAGGATGCAGCTGCAATGATTTCGAGTCAGCCATGGCTGTTGAATCCATCCGTGGAAAAAGCAAAGTTGAGCATATATTAAAAAGGCTGCCGATTGGATCGAACCCCCGCCCACCGAATGAACAGAGATTCATTTGACGTTACGGTGTCATGCCACTAGACCACACGGAGTGATCTTTGTTGACGTGTAGGTAACTGATTTGTGGGTTGTGGGAGGCCTGGCGGCGGGAAGTACTGCAGGAGCACAGTCGAAGGCAGGAGCAGGCATTGTGTCAGAGCGTTGGTTAGAGCAGAGTGAAGAGGTCTTCCACACGTGGTGCGCAACAGGTAGAAGATAGGTCGGGGGTCGTAATACATCTGAATTCTGGCCCTCCGCAGCTTGAAGGGCCCTCCGCAGCCTATATATATATACGTGTCTCGTAGCCCTAACCTCTGGCCGACCCCTGCTTGGCGGCTCCGCAGGGAACCCGCAGGGTCCCCTGACACATTGGCAGGAGTGGTTGTCGGTAGGAGCGATCGTCAGCTCAAGGGACAGTTGGTAGATATCTAGGTAGGCAAAATGTCACCATTTGTTGATAGTAAGTTACCTTCTCCGGCATTATTGTAATATTGGTTTCTGTTCTGGTTGTTCCGGCCGCCATACCCATTCCTGTTGTAGGAGTCGTTCCTGTTGAAGGAGTTATGTCTACTGTCGGGCTGGTTATCATACTTGTGTCCATTCTGACCACGTCCTCGGCGAGGATCGGCCTCGCGGCGGTCGTCGTCACGCCTCCGCTGGTCTGGGCGGTATCCGTAGCAGGATGAGTGAATGGGAAAACGAGTGAATGAGACCGACTGAAAAGAGGAACGAAGGAAGGAACGTAATGCAAAGATGTGTCTGCCCTAATGCCCATACCTACCAACTCTTCTATGCCCATCCCTATCACCAACTTCATTACCATCTCCGTCACCGATTCCGCTATCACAGTCACCATCACAACATCTTTCAAGACAACGAGCTCTCCGCTACCACAGTCACCATCGCGATACCATTCAAGTCACTGAGCCCGCTCTTTCACGAACAATAAGTCTTACAGCATTCCTGACTCTAAGCCGAGCCCGCTCCTTCACAAACGATACTCGACGATACTCAAACTACACTCACAACTCTGAGCCAAGCAATATCCCAGCCATGTCGAGACCCCACTCACCGGCGAAGTTGACTCTCAACGCTGAGGAGATGCGAGAGTACGCCCTGGTGGCAAAGCAGTGCGCCGAGAACACAGCAGCCAGGAGGTAAGCAGGAAAGGGAGATTAGCTCTAATCTTGTAACTCTGCACACTCGGAACTCAAGGGAACTCTAAGGAAAAAGAAAAGAAAAATCGTGTGATATCGATGAAATAGAGGCGGGATGTCTTTGCGAGGGGGTAAGCTATACTCTACTATATACTGCGTCTCCGATGGCGATTCGGCTTCGCTCGACCCATAGGTAACCCAAAAACCTATGTGGGTAGTGTAGTTGGGTAGCTGGGGCTTTGGGTTCTTACGCTAAGTCTCTGGGTACCCACTGGGTCAAAATCTTTGAGTATTCCCAAGTCTACGGTAGCATTTATGAGGTGGTTGAAAAGATTCAATCGGTTTGGGAGAGCTCTCTTAGCATATAGACACAGCAGTAAGAACCTGGGTACTTGAAGACCTTCGTCGGTGATCATCTTGGCCAAACTTCATTCGTGTGGGAAGCCCGACCGTTGCTCCTATATTCGCCCTCCCAGCTGTCATCAGTTATACAAGTCAACACAACTGACCCCCCCAGGCAGTTGGAGTCATCGTCTAGAGGCCTCTGATTCATCGTAGAGTATAATAACACAAGAATCGCTCTGATTCTGTGCCGCAGATTGGCCTCGTACTTCCTCACCAGCATACTAAAGCGTGCCGCATCTGCCAAGTATCAAAAGTCCCCAACGCTTGACTTTGAACACGACAAGCCAGAACACCACAACCAGCTTGACACGAAACAACACATCCATCAACCAAGCAACAGTAGAAACACCGACTCAGTCCCTAGGCAACCGCGCCGCCTCCCGAGCCCACCTCCTCCGCACCGCAGCCCCCGTCGTGCCATTCGAAGCCCCCGCCCCAACACTCGCAACCACAAACTCCACCGCCTCAGCCACGTACGCCGCGTTGCCGAAGTAGCTCAGATGGACAGGGATGCTGTCGCCGCCGGCGCAGAAGCGGTCGTTTGTGTCGCAGAACGAGAGCGTCTTGGCCGGCACGTCGCCGCACTGCGTCATGTCGCGCGTCTGGAAGATCTGTTCACCACGTCGGTCAGCAGCAGCTCCGCTCATCATGTTATTCGAAAAGGCCACGGGCTCGGGGGTGGAATGGGCAGACGTACACCTGCATCTTGACTCGTGCCGCGGTTCGAGGGCAGGCCCGGCACGAAAGTCGGGTCTCCGGCCAGAATGACCGCCGCAACTGCAACGCTATCAGCACAGTTGACTACACAACCAAAGCATCTCGATCTTGAAGATCGCAAGGGTAGGGTCGGCCACGTACTGCTCGCCCCCACAGCGGAAGCCTGCGCCGCACTAGGCGTGAAGCCGTTGAGGCTTGACCCGCACAGCGTGTCGAGCGCGACATGGGCGCCCTGCGAGTAGCCCATGACGACGAGTCTCGTCTGCGGACAGGCGGCGGTTTGCTGTGTCAGGAGGTCCGTCATGGAGACGACGCCGGCGGCGACAGAGGGCGGGTACGGGTTCAGCTGGGCCGGGTAGTCGAGGGGCGTGACGACTGCGCCGGGGATCTGCTGCGCGGCTGCTGATGAGATGCTCCCCATGAGGCCGACGCCGGGCTGTTCTGTCGAGCCGCGGGCCACGATGATGTTGACCGGCGCGCAGGCTTGTTGGGCCAGGGCTTGGGGGAGGGCGAGGGCTAGAGCCCATGGGGTCAACAATGTACGCATTGTCGGCCGAGGCGTTTTCCAAATGCCGGTTGATACTTGAAGCTGCTTCGAAACTGGATCCTGATATGAACCGGCTTGGACACTGATGGCATCTAATGTTGGGGGCTCTACAGCCTTTTATCTCTTCAAGTGCCCCTTGACAATGCTGCATCACGGCGACGATGGGCGACAACAGGACACATCGTATCGCTAGACCGCCTCGCGGTTGCCCCTTGCGCCCCCTCTCTCTCGCTCGCCAACTCACCCTGCAGCCATGCTTGCGAGAACTGATACTGAACAGGCTTGCCTTTCTATGGCCTGAATTGCTGTGCAGTGGTAGATGCATCCCGCAACTTCTTCCCCTTTAGGCTTGGGCTGATGGATCCCGCCTAGCAGCGAAACCTCCACCGGATTACGCCCCTTTGAGCGCTCACCGAACCCAGAGCTCAATCTAAGAAAAGCCGAGGCACGGCGCGTGTGACGGGGCCGCTCAGCGCATCGAAAGACTCCGGCTGTGTTCGTTCATTCCTTCCGTCCATTGTTTCATTACGTCTATATTAGCAGGGCCAATCGCATTCACTTGTTTCGGATGTAATGTTGAGGCGAAACGCCACCCATGAGGATCTTCTCTTCATCGCCAAATTCGTCCCATGTTGCGACAGCATCTGGACAAGCAGCGCCAGCGTTCTATGTTTCCAACTTCCACACCCTCCTGCCCCCGAAATATGTCTCCTTCATCTGAGCCTTCAGTAGGCTCTCAGCTTTCCACTCCATGTCAACAACGACAAAATCGGCCATCTTGCCCACCTCCAAGCTTCCTGTCCTCTCCTCAGCGAACACACTGGCCGCCGCGCCCTTGGTGCCAGCCACGATCGCCTCGCACACGCCTAGTCGGAAGTTCTCGTTCACCGTCACCTCATACTCGGGTTCCCTCGCTGATCGCCTCGTCGATGCCACGTACACGTTCTGTAGCGGCGCCCACGGCGCCGTCGGGCTGTCACTTCCCAGGGCCATCAACGCGCCCGCATCTGCCATCTCTCGATACGCAAAGGCCCTCTTGCACCGCTCCGAGCCGATGAGGCGCGGCCATGCCCGCAGGATGGCCGGGTCGGCGTGGACAGGCTGGATGGACGCTGTCAAGTTGAGGTCACCCAGCCGCTTGGCGTCCTCCGGCGATGCAAGCTCAAGATGCTCGATACGGTGACGCCGACCAGGCGTAGTATGCTTCTCGAGAACGTCGACGGCCATCTTGATGGCACCGTCGCCGATCGCGTGCAGAGCAATCTGCAGACCTGCAGCGTCTGCTTGCGCGACGATGGGCTCAAGGTCGGCTTGGGCCCAGATCGGCGGCGGGGAATCTGCGGGTGCATAGGGTTCGGAGAGGTAGGCGGTGCATGCGTCGATGATGCCGTCGCACACAATCTTGATGCCGGCAATGCGAAGGTCTGGGGAGGTAGAGGCGTTCAGCTGGCTGTGCAGCTCAATAGCGCGGCGAACCTGAGCGTGTCGGGCCTCGGCGTCGTCGGAGGGCTTGATGAGCCAATAAGCGGCGATACGCATAGGGAGGTCGGGCTTGGCGGCGCGCAGGGCGACGAGGGCATCCCAGGCCGGCTCGTCCATGGCCATCTCGACAAGGCCGGTGTAGCCGGACGCGTTGTAGGTCTCGACTGCAGCGAGGATGGCCTCCTGACGCTCGGCAATGGGGGAAACCTTGGCTTGGTGAGGCCAGACGATGGACAGGACGGCACCTTCGCTGAGCACACCGTTGGGCTTGCCATGGGCATCGCGATGGATGGTGCCGCCGGCGGGATCGGGCATGTTGGCGACACCAAGCTCTTCGAGGCCTGCGCTGTTGCACCATGTGGAGTGCAAGTCCTTGGTGTCGATGAAGATGGGGCGCGGGTCAATGTCGTCGAGCATGGAGGCATTAGTGCCATCCGGGGTCATCGAGTGCATCCAGCCCTTGCAGAGTATACGAGGAACCTCAGGATTCGCCTCGGCATAGGTCTTGATGGCGGTGCGAATGTCTTCGAAAGACTTGCAGTGATCAAGGGAAACTTTGCGCAGAGACTGGCCAAGGAGGAGTAGGTGCATGTGACCGTCGACGAAACTGGGGAGGATAGTTTGTTGGGCGAGATCGGTGGTCGTCATGTCAGAGGTGCCCCGGACGGCCGCGACCTCCTCGCGCGTGCCTATGGCTCTGATGAGGCCATCCTGCACAAGCATGCTGTCGGCGAAGACGGGCTCGCCGGCGAGACCCGGGGTTGACTTGGCGAGGATGCGGCCATTGACGAAGAGGGCCGAGGGGGGGTTGTCAACCGACATGGTCGCTGTTGTGGCTGTTTTGGTGATGGAGATGGACGTCGGGGGGGACGATAGACGAAGAGAGGGGGACCTTGGGCGGAGGTCTGTCTCGATGACGATTTGGCGAGGCTTGAAGGAGGAGAAGGGAGAAGATGAAAGTAGTAAGGTGAGAGCACGAGACAGAAGAAAACGTTGACGATCAGTCAGTCCTGCCTCCAGCTCGGCCGAGGCAACATGGCATCAGATCAGGTCACGTCAGGCAGGTCCATTGAGGGGCACCGTCTCTGAGCGCGCCCTGGTCGCATCTCAGGGCGTGCGAAATGTGGGCAGTGAAAACACGTCGGGGAAGGTCGAGCCTGCCCCGCAATGGTGCCCCCTCCTCCTTCGTCTCGACCTTCCACAGCGGCATCCTCCAGCGGTCTCTCAGTGGTTCCCTTACCTGCATTTACCTGCATTTCGACTGTGGACGGCGCTGCCCAGCACCTAAAAAGACCTAAAAAGACCTAAAAAGGGGTCCACGGGAACCCCCACTACCGCCATGCCTTAGTGTCCCATGCACGCTGCCACCTATCAGCATTCGACTCTGACTCGCTATCAGGTTCTGTTCTGCACATCAACGTTAGGGATTCGATCTGATAAGCTCGTGCTGGCTATCATTCCACAGATAGCTTGTGATGTCAGAGGGATCGGACACATGGGGTAGTGCGGTGTTGGGGCCGCCATAAGCGCATAAGCATGCAGTGTTCCACCGAGGCCGTACCTTGTGCCTTTCATTCACGTGCCTCCATCCTGCACCTGGTCATAATGTCACTGGCGGCGAGAGGGGTAGCACATAATCAGTTTTGAGGACCAAGTTGGAGATGCTCGGCTCGAGATTTGGCAAAGGTAGCATCTGGATATGCGCCTATTGGTATGAAAAGGACATGACGCCAGATGTGCGATCCAGAGCACTTCCAAGTCGGCCATTCTCGGACACGGGACAATCATCTTGTTCCTCCCAATAGACCCATCACATCACTCCCTCAAGTACCGTATCTTCTCCTGTCCCTCTACAATTTCTCTCACTGGTTCCTCGCCCGGGATATCCACATCCTTCACTCGCTCAAAAGGCACCACCCCCTTGTTCCTCGCCTGATTCTCGTCAAACGTGCCGTACATGTCAACACTGTCCTGCAAACCCGCATTTTTCGGCCTCGATATGAGACAAAGCACCGTGTACAGCACAGCAGCCTCTGCGAAACCGAAAAGATAATTGCCGAGGAAGTACTTTTGCAGGCCGTCTGACACGGTGACGCTCTGGTTGACATTGGCCACCATGCCCGGCATGGCAGGCACGAAGCAGATGACCCACGCGGCGAGCGCACGCCAGTGAATGCCCCATGTGTACCAATAACTTCCGTCGCGTGAGCCTGTGTAGAGCTGGCTGAGCTCGACGCGCTGCCGGCGGACGACGAAGTAGTCGACGATCATGATGCCCGTCAGGGGTCCAAGGAAGACGGAAAAAGAAGCTGCGACGGCGACGAAGACGGAGGCTGTGTTGTAGAACTCCCAGGGCTGCACGGCCCAGGACAGCAGCGCGCATAGGAGGGCCCCGCGCTTGATGGTCAGGAACTTGGGGAAGAGACCGGCGAGGTCCATGCCCGCAGCAAACGAGTTGCCCATGATGTTCTCAGCGATCTGACCGATCACGAAACCCAGCGAACAGAAGAACGCTGCGGCGCGGGCGCCAGGCGAGTAGTCGTCGATGAGCCATTGCAGGATGACTGATAGTGGGTTCCAGAAAGGCTGCTCAAGGCCTCAAATAGACATGGACGCCGAGGCTGTGATGATGGCAAAAATGGGGACAATCATTCCCGGGACCAGCAGAGAAAAGGCCATGCCAGGGACTTGAAGGCCCTGCCGGCGGGCGAAACGGGTGAAATCGCTTTGGTTGACGATGCCGGCAGAGATGACGCCAAGATTGCTGATAATACCATAGACCCAGGCCCAGCCAGTGGAGAGGACGCCAGGCTGGCGAGCGCCCGACACGAAAAGGGGTCCAGTGCCACCGTTAACGCCGGCCCAGATGGTGATAGCCAGCATGACGATAAGGACGATCACGTTCGCAGTGATGACATAGGGCTTCGAATTTTCAGGGCGGATGAGCTGGAATTATGAGCATCACGCTTGATCATCAGGGTCGGAGATTGGCCTACCAAGAAAGGCACCGAGATGAGGTGGAACAGCAGAAACCCGATAAAGTCACGAGTGACCATGTTGGCGCTCGCTGCAAATGTGTTCTCCATGTTCAGAAAGCTTGAGCTCCAGCTGCTGATCATAGCTGAGACGCAAAGACCACCGAGCCATGCCTGCGACCCGTACCATACGATGAACAGCATGATTCGCATGGCTTGCGTAATGTAAGCCCCGCGCATGCCGAGGATCATGCGCTGGTGAACGGCGAAGCCAATGTGCCATTCTCCGCCAATCCATCCATTGCCAATGATGAGGGCAACCATGAGTATGCGAGCGATAACCATGAGGCCAATCGTCTGAGGCACAGTCAGACCCAGGGACAAGAGTGAGGCGGCACCCGTCCAGGCTGAAATGCATAGGCTGCGACAGTCAGTCTGGATGCCCACGCGAGAGAAAGACGTAGAGTGAGAACTCGCTTTGCGATAGAACCCCAACCTAGGTAGGCCCAGATTCCCCAGTTGCGGCGGCTTGGGGGAAGAGGCGCAATGTCGGGATTGATCCATTTATCTGTCTCGTAGCCATGCTCGTGGTCATCGGCGACACGGATCTTCTCGACAATGTTCTTCCACATGACAGCGGTCTTTGGTCTCTGCGTGTTTGACTTCCGGGGTTGCGCAGTCTAGTCAGGTTCGAGCGGGAAGAGGCACGAAAGACGTGGGCAGAGTTTGCTGGGCTGTAACACTCTGAAAAGGAGGGGGCTCGGCGTAGCCACCTACGATGATGGCATGCAGCTGTAGATCGACTCAACTCGATACCACGGGAGGGGTTACCGGTAGCCTTATATGAGGAGGCTATAGCAATGCGTTGCCAGAGGGTCATGGGGGTTCCCAGGGTAGCAATTCGATATACCGAATTCATTGGCTGGAGCATGTCTATCGCGCAGGATGGTAAGGGTGTGCTTGGCAGAGTTTGACTCGTTTAGGCTCCCCGCAAAAGCACCAGCAATCCGGGGTGGTGAGGATGGTCAGTTGCTGTCGAAACCCTGCTGATGAGTAGCAACCAGATAGCCTAAAGAGAAGACTGGGAAAAGATCAGCGAGCCGCAAGTAACGGGATCGATAGAGCTGCTGAAGATACCATGTCCGATCATGGCTGGACGACCGTGGCCAGTGGAGGCGGAGGCCAGTGGGCCAATGTTCCGCATGGCTGGGGTGATCCTGCAAACTGATGATGGCTTATCGTTTGGCTGGACTGAATCTTCCCCTAAATCGCTTGCGGCACAACAAGCGGGTGGATTGTGGGGATCCTTGATCCCTTGCCTCTTTTTCCTTCTGAGATGGCTCGAGGTGCTCGAAGAGTAAAATCGATTCTGGAAAATGGCTTCACCCTACCTGAATGGAGTGCGATGGAGCTAAGATAGCATAGATAGTGACGTATCGTCTTAGAAGGATGCATGCTCGGCGTTCAGGCGCGGAACTACGTACCGATGTCGGGGTCTGTCGGATCCAATGCTCGGGGCCGGACACTGACGACGAAAAGCAAACCCCACCATACCTTGCCTGGGTGCCACCTGCCCGTCCGCTATGCTGCCCCTCATTTGCAAATGGCAGTGCAGGTGGAAAGGTGGAATCAGGGCAGGCACCACAAATATCGGAATCCAAAGCTTGTCAACAGCTCTGGCTTCGGATACTGATGCAAAGCTGCATCATTTCTTAGTCAAGTCACCAGCATCAGTGTGCATCCTACCAGCCATTTCTTCTTACGCTGCCCTTTCAGCCTGCTCACTCTACAGCCGCCAGCTTGTGCATTATTCGCGCTTGGACATGAGGTTGTTGACGTGTGTTCAATGACCACTACTGCGCACGCGATTCTTTTTCTCACAATATCACTCTCTCCCTCTGCGCCATTCCATCATGACTTTCAAGTCAGTAGGACCCCTGGTAGTTGGTGTTGATGTAGGCGGTACGTACAAAGCCCACCGTCTTGTTGCAAGTCATCGAGTTCCAGGGGATCGATTGCCCCGACTACCTGGTCGAGTGCCTGCTGATTGCCACATCACTAAAACGTCCAGGCACTAATACCGACTCGGTCCTCCTCGATCTTTCCCGAGCAGGCACCTCTGCTGTCCTTTCATCTCATAAGTCTCCCACGACGACGGACGTTACGGAGGGTGTCGAAGCTACACTTACGACGCTACTCTCCAAATCTATCGCCTCAGGAGAGGACGCTGGATCGCCCCCTGACCCGGCCTCAATTTCCGCTCTAGCAATCGGTACCACACACTTTCTGAACGCCATTATCCAGCGCGACGCTTCTCTCCTCTCCCAGGTCGCTGTCATTCGCCTCGGTTCCCACGGTTTCGTCAAGGGCGCCCTGCCCTTTGCCGACTGGCCCAAATCTCTTCGAGGCATCATTGAGGGCTACTCTGCCATCGTTCCAGGCGGCGTGAACATCGATGGAAGGCTCATTGCTCCTCTCGACGAGAAGGCTCTTCGCCTGGAGGCTCGCAAAATCCATGAGCTCAAGTTGCGGAACGTAGTTGTTGTCGGGATGGGGTCCCCAATGGATACAACCTACCATCAAGAGTCTGAAGCCCGCACTATCATCCTGTCAGAGCTCGAGAGGTTGGACACGGACTATGCAAAGTCTACAAACATTGTCCTCTCCAACAGTGTCGCCGGTTCGGGGCTCTTGGCTCGCGAGAACGCCTCTGTTCTGAACGCGTCTATTCTGACATTTGCTCGCCGTACGGTGTATTCTTTCATCCGTGCCATGAGAAAAGTGGGATTGCAGTGTCCCCTTTACCTGACATCGAATGCCGGTCACCTGCTGCCATTTAGTGAAGCCGTCAGCTTTCCCATTCGGGTTTTCTCTTCCGGCCCTACCAACTCCATGCGGGGAGCGGCATTTCTCGCGCGGGAAGAGCTTGCTGCCATAGCAGGTGACAAGGGTTGCGTTGTTGTGGATGTTGGGGGGACCACCAGCGATGTGGGTGCGCTGTTGCCCAACGGGTACCCGCGACTGAGCAAGACGTACACCGAACTAGCTGGCGTCAAGATTAACCTTGATATGCCCTCAGTCGAGAGCATTGGTCTTGGTGGTGGCTCAATCATTCGAGAGGTTCGAACCGCGACTTCACCGGTAACAGTCACCGTTGGTCCCGACAGCGTTGGTCACGCCCTTACGTCGGAAGCCATGTGTTTTGGAGGCTCGGTTCCAACAGCTACTGATATTGCCATCGCTTCATCGCCAGATGAGCTGCTCATAGGTGATCCAGCCCTCGTCAAGCTCGACTCCACTGTCGTCGCATGCGGCGCCGATCGCATGAAGAACATGCTTGAAGCCCTCATAGATCGGATCAAGCTCTCACCTGAAGACTGTACAGTTGTCCTAGTTGGGGGCGGAGCCATTTTGTGCCCTCCAACCCTGAAGGGAGTTAACCACATCATACGTTCTGAGCATGCTGGGGTCGCCAACGCCATAGGTGCCGCCCTGGCTAAGATTTATGGAACTGCAGAGGCCATGGTAGATGCCGATGACCTGATCGCAGGAATCGCTTGTGTAATGGACAAGGCAGTCGCAAATGCAACAGCCAAGGGTGGTGTCTCTCGCGATGTCACTGTCCTCAATGAAGAGGTGGAATGGGTGCCGTACGTCGACAACAAGAAGCTCGTGCGGATCGAAGTCGCCTGTTCAGCAGATCACGCCCGAGTTTATGCGGAGATGGTTCAGTCACCTTCCAAGGAAGACGTTCCTCTCGATTTCATGGATTACGGACCCTCGCCCAAGCGCAAAAAGGCGTCCACTACCGACGACACATATGACGGTCCAGACTTGGCCACGTATCAACCGACGATCACCCCCCAGGGCGAGTGGGTTTTGTCGCCTACAGATCTCAAGTTCATCGAAATTGGCTGCTACATTCTTGGCTGTGGCGGCGGAGGATCCCCGTACGCATCATACTTACACCTCATGGAAATTCTCCGCGAGGGCGAACGAATTGTCATCACTCGTACCGAAGACCTGCAGGATGATGCTGTTCTGCCTCCAGTAGCTGCTATTGGCACTCCAGCTGTGGGCCAGGAGCGGATTGCGTCTGATGCCGTCTTCCATGCTCTCCAGAGGTTGAGCAAGGAGCAGGGTAACGTCGAGTTTACACATCTGCTAGCAACTGAGATTGGAGGTATGAATGGCCTAGGCACCCTACTATGGGGTTCAAAGAGGTACTGCGGCATACCGATTGTTGATGGAGATCTCATGGGTAAGATCCCTCTTCTCTAATGAATGCGCCGAGTTGACAGTGCGTAGGTCGCGCCTATCCTAACTTTGAGATGGTCTCCCAATACGTCAATTCGGAGTCTGTCAATGAGCTGCTACCTGTGGCGATTTGCAGCGGCGACGGCCAAGACGCCATTGTGCCGGCCGGGCAAGCAGATGAGACGGCCGCGGGTAAAGAGATCCGCAAGGTATGCGCTGACTTTGGTTTCGCTGCCGGGGCCGCGGGCACGCCACTGTCCGGGGCCAGAATGCGCCGTGACGGCATACCGAATACCTTTTCCCTTGCGTGGCGCCTTGGAAGGGTCGTACGACGCGCGCAGGTCGAGTCCCGTATGGGGACTGTCACGGACGCGCTTGTTGCGGAGGCTGGTGGCGCGCGGTCCGCGAGGCGCGTATTTACGGGTAAAATCCGTGGTGTCGAGACGAGAATTACAGAGACAGGCCACTCGCTTGGTGAAGTCGTGATCGAAGGTCTCGGAGAGGACGAAGTCGAGAGTGAGGCTGAACGGGCTCGGGAAGGCGAGGGATGGAAGGAGGTGCGGGTGCCATTCATGAACGAGAATCTGGCTGTAATAGCCAAGGGGACCGATGGCGCGGAGACGATGCTAGCCACAGTGCCCGATCTGATCATGGTGCTTGATGTCTCAACTGGTGAAGCGATTGGGGTACAAGAGTATAGGTACGGAGTCAAGGTCGTGGTCATGCTCATGGCACCGCACCCAATCTGGGCAAGAAAGAGGGGACTCGAGGTGGCGGGGCCAAAGGCATTCAACCTGCCGTATGAGTATACTTCAGATCTGGAGTACGCAAAGCCAGCGAGCGTCATCGACGAGTTCCGCCAGAAGTGAGGGCGGCGTCGGATCTACAGATTTCTAGACATGCGCAGGATATTGATAGTCGGTCAACTGGAACTAGGCTCAGATTTCAAACAACAAAGCTGCTTGCGAGACGCACAATCGAACATGGAAGACTAGTCAGCATGAGGATATAACACCGAACGCCAGCCACCTCCGGAACGAATACCATCAAACGCCGTTCCTACCATCTCGAACGCTCAGATGGGAAGACACTCGCCAGGCCACTTCTGTGCCAGCACCATCCAGTTCCAATCCTCTCCCGCGTCTCTCGCTCTCCATACTCGCTCTTCCACAAATCTCCTCGTCCTTTCGACAGTCACGGTCCTTCTGTGTGCAGCGATGGAAGCCAAGACCTCCCCGACAGCCCGCCTGTCTTCTTCTCCGCGCATCTCGCACGCCGCAAGGAAGACGGGCCAGAGAAGAAGCTTCGTCTCAGCAGCTGGCGCGCCAGATGCGTAGAGGAGCACGTCATGCGCGCCGTGGAGAGCCGCGGCGTCTGCTTCAGCTTCGGTTCCCGTTTCGGAGGCTGCGGGCTGGGATGCGTCGTCGTTCCTGATGCTGCTGCTAGGGGGGTGCTGCAGACGGTGGAGGTAGAGGAGGGCTGCGGAGCGATAGGATGCGGCCTGGACACGGAATTTGCGGGTCGTCAGGAAGGGGGTGTTGTCTGTGATGGGTGGAGACCAGGCTGTCAGGCGTTGGTAGAGGGACGCGGCTCGGAGTTGAATCGAGGTGGACTCGGGGGAGGGGTTGAAGAAGGGCGTTATGGCGGATGGTCGTTTGACGTCTGAACAAACTGAATCGGAGGACCTCGGGCTGGTGGCTGTGGCGTAGGAGGTATCCTGAGACGATGGGGATATGGATGCGGCTGTATTCTCATGCACGGCTTGATCTGTGGCTGATGAATGACTTGGTTGGAGAATCTGCTCGCGCATATCCTCTGCGAGGATGCAGAGCTCCTCGAGCAAAGGCATGAGCGTGGCTGTGTAGCCGAGAAGACGGTCTGCTTTTGCGCAGTCGTTCGTCTCGAGCCAGATGCAGGTTGGCACGCGAGGGCGTCGGAGATGGACGAGGGAAACGACAAGGTCTTGACGAGCAAGGGCACGCAGAAGATAGCGACTGACGAAGGAAATTTCGCCGCCTATCGAGGTGTGGTGGGATATGAGGGAGGAGACGTTACCCAGAACCGTCGGTATGGTGGCGTGGTGGCCCGGCTGTGCGAGCGTGACGAGCTGTCCTCGTGGTGAGTACATGGCAATATGGCAATATTTGATACGCATGTGTGAATGGGGAATCGCAATGCTACGGTAGCTTACCTCCATGGCACATAGACCTAGAAGCAGAAAGAGGGCTTCCTCGAAGTAAAAGCTCGACGCCTTCATGCTCCGAAGGTTGGCCAGGATCCTTGCCCTTCGATTCAGAACGGGCAGCAAGGATCCCGCCCTGTCGCCGACTTGATACGCATAACCAATGGCCGACAAAGTGTCTGCCACCCGTACTGGGTCGCGCTGGAGTATCAGCAATGCGTTGGCGTTCATCTCACTGACGAATTCTTGTCCGATGAGAAGCTCGGAAGGGTGCCCTTTGAAAGTTAGCCATGACTCGATTTGAATGCCTCACAACTCTGCAGGCCGCATGAAATATGAAACAGTTCGTTATAACCAGAGACGTACGGTTAAAGTAGAGTTCAATGTTGATCTCATCAGAAGCCGGAACGGCCCCGGGGGGTATGAGCGATAGAAACCCCAATTTATCAAGGGCTGGTAATGACATTGCAGCGTTTCCGTTTCGCATCAGCTCTTCACCTGCGGCCGCCTTGTTCGACCCTAAGACTGTGGCCGGCCCCGTTGGCGTTCTGACGTTCCGTGCCGAAGGTGCGGCTAAGGTGCCTGTTGACGGCACAGGCTTTGCATACCCCTGACAGGCATGCCGTCTCCGCGCACACGTCCCGCAAGACGGCCGGAGCTCGTCGCATTTGACCTTCGCGCGGCGGCAATCGAGGCAACCGTTGCGCGATCGCCGCGTAGGCGGCATCGCAGGTGGTGGCATCTCAGGGCATATCCGGCCGATGGGGAAAATGTTAAGTACAGCGACGCTCCGCAGCTCGTTTAATGTACGTTCCGGGTCGGCGTCGTGCTTGCAGCTGTGGGTATTGAGTCTTGGAAGTAGGAGGGTCAGGCAGCAGGAGTTTTGCGGTCGGGCGAACATTCGGGGTCAAATACCGACGCCGAGTCTAGCGAGAGGGCACTGAGCCATCCGACAGATCGTTTCCTTGATCCTATTTTTTGGTCGACCGGCTCAGGGGTTCCACGTGCCCCTCAATTCATCAGATCTGGCCTGGGCCGCCCTAGTTTCCCAATTCCCCCTCTTCCATCGCATGCACATCCCTGCCAGTGTACCGGCCGGATTTACCGGTTGTGACCGATACTGACCGACTGTGAATCACTGACCGAATCACTGACCGAAGGCAACCTTCAGCCAAGGCTCCTAAGAACCACAAGCTACATTTTCTGTTGGCGGTCAAAGAGCATCCACGAAGTTCGTGCGTACTCTTATTCTCTTGACAGGGACACATCATTCAGAACAACCAAAACTTCGGACCTGAGTCGCACGATGCCGCGCGTTCGGTATAATGTTGCCACTACCCTCGATGGCTTCATCGCCTCGCCGGATGGCTCAACTACATGGATTCTTGACGACCCATCCATTGACTTCACCGCCCTTTACAATGAATTTTCATGTCTCGTCATGGGCCGCAAGACATACGAAGTAATGCTTCATCACGGCGAGACATCCGGTGCCAACATTCTTGCCGGTCACCATGTCATCGTCATAAGCAAGACATTGAAGCAAGAAGATTATCCCGACATTGAAATCGTCAGAGATGGCTACATAGATATGGTCAGAAACCTCAAGTCTGGCCAGGGCAAAGATATCTGGCTGATGGGCGGTAGCCGTCTTGCCAGTGAGTTCCTCGCAGCTGGGCTGCTGGACGCTGTTGAGACAGCTGTCATGCCAGCCATTATCGGCAGAGGCATCAAGATGATATCGCAGGAGACTGAAAATGAAGACTTTTGGAAGATAGATATCTGCCTAAGGTACCTAAGGTAAGTACCGCAAGGTACCTATGGCAAGGCAGGTACACACACACACACAAGTTTATTACGCCTGGTGGCCTAGAGCCAATAAGGCACTATTTGCTATTGTACACGGTCGCTTCCTCTAGTCTGTCCGAATCTCCCAAGCCCATAATAGGTCATCTTTCCGCTCTTGCTTTCTCGTCTTCTGTCTTGCCGCCGGTTTCTCGTGGGGTTTAGATTGTATTGGCAAGCTGCTTGAAGGCTATTCTTCAAGTGTTCAGAGTCCTATCTACGGCGACTGAAGCGGCGCTTACTGTTGTTGACACGAGGTGTGGGTGTTAGGTTCGGTTAGTAGAAGAAGGGGGGTTTTGGTGTGTTAGGCCCCCGCAAGGGATCACACGTTCTCCAGTCGGCCCGTGGCCTTCGCAAAGCGTATCGTAGCTCGGACTGCTTTCATGTCCGGCTTCCAATCATCACCATCTGATGTCGTCTTACCTCCCAAATGGAAGGAGATGTTGTCTCTTTGTGTGCCAGGGCGCATGAGTGTCTCGGCTCGTTGTGTTGCCCATCGTGTGCATCGGAGGAGAAAGTGCTCCACCGTCTCTCTCGCTTGTCCGCATGCGCATTGGGCTGAAGCTACTGCCCTGATTCGGAAAAGTGAGGCGTTCAGTCTCGCCATGCCTGTCCTGAGCTGGGCCAGCATGCTCGCCTCCATCCAGGAAAGGTTATCATATAGTTCTCGAGTGTGCTTGCCGGGTAGTGCTATGTCGACTTCCTTCGAGAGTTTTCCAACATTATCTGGTAGTCGTCTTTCCACACGTAGTTTGCGCCTTGCAGCGTTGAGGGTGGTGGATCGCATCTTTGGGAACTGTTTTTCAGGCAAGGCGCCATCTCGGCTGGCCTTGCGTGCTTCTCCTTTCGCTTTCTTCAGGAGGTCGTCGTCGAGATGGCTCGGAAGCCACACGACTGAGATGGTGTTCCCGGTTTCTCGCAGTCGGGTGATCGCCTCGTAGATGCAGCGAACGTACTCTTGTCCAGACTGTTGTTGGGGGTTTCGAAGTGTCAGCACCGCGGCTTTGTTGCTTGTCAGTAGCGTCACGGTCTGCCCCCTCAGCTGCGGCAGAAATCGCAACGCGTATGCTGCCGCTACCAGTTCTCCGGAAAATGGGTTCTGATCGGTCCTCATGCCGTGGGTGAAGGAAAACGTCTCGAGCCTCGTCCCTGGCCCCTTGACGGTTCCACCGACGCCGACCACCTCGTTTCGTGCCGAGCTGCTCACAGCGATGCGCACCGTGGCTTCCTCATCGACCCGCGTCAGTGTTGCATCCTCGTCGTTCCATTCAGTGACGGTCTGCACTCTTTCCATCCACGGCGGCAGTGTGAATGGGTTGATTGTTTCCAGGTCCTCCATTGGAATTTCGTTGAGCGAAGTTGCCAGTTGGAAAAATGGTGAGCGGTGGAAGCGCCTGAACTTCTTTATGCGAGAGGTCAGTTTTCGAAGCGGGTTGGTCTCAGGCAGTGCGTGGAGATCTGTCCATAGCTTGATGGCCCTTCTCGTGAATCGCTCTGGTGCACTGGCGATGTGAGCCTCCGCTTCTGCTACGCTTGTGGCTATCGTGACGAACGCTCCAATAATTGCCTGCGCTCCGACCTTTTGGACGCGATAGATTGCTGCTGCCGTCCGGTCTTTGCATCGGTGCCTCCAGACGTTAGAGGCATAGTCCACCACTGGGGCCACGGTGGCCGTGAATAGCTGCCGTGCTGTCGCCGGGGTCAATCCTCTCAGTCGTTTCAGCTCCATCGCAGCCTCTAGTCCCTTGGTCGCCACTCTTGCAATGTGTTCCCTGTATCTGAGTCCAATGTCCATGATCACGCCGAGGATCTTGACATGCTGTTTGGGTTTGACTGTTTGGCCCTTGATAGTGAAAGGTTCCGAATCGGACCTTTTGGCCCATCGGGTGAAGTGGATGACCGCCGTCTTGTCCGCTTCGAAAGTCGCCCCGCTTCTCTGCTCCCAGTCCAGTGCCTTCTCGATGATCGCCTCGATCCCTTTACGGTTGTCTTGCGTGGTTGGTCCAGCGACCCAGGCTGTGAAGTCGTCGACAAAGGCTATAGCTCCTCCATAGCAGTTGATCTTCTGTTGTACAAGGTCGGCGTTGAAGAACAGAAACAGGATCGGTGACAGTGGCGATCCTTGCGGTAGTCCAGCCTGAGGCAGGGTCCGGACCTCTGATGCTTGGCCGTTGACCTGAATTGTCGCCGTCCGATCGGAGCAGAATGCCTCTACCCAACGGAGCAAATCTTCTGGGAGGCCCCTCGCTCTCATTCTCTGAATGAGTCTCTCTTTGCATACTCCATTGTATGCTCCCTTCACATCGAAGCTCACGAGGCTGACCACCCAACGATTTCTCCATGCTGCGTAGATTTGTTCTTGCAGCAACACCAACGCTTGTTCTGCTGACCTCTGTTTGCGGGCCCCGAAGTGGTTCGTGGGCAACAGCCCATGGGTTTCGACTGCATGGGATATCCTCTCCGCAACAACCGACTCGAGAACCTTGCCGAGCGTGGCGAGGAGCGAGATGGGCCTCCAAGCCTTGGCGATGGTGTAGTCTCCTTTGCCGGGCTTCTTGAGCGGGATGATCTTGGCATGCCTCCATTGGTCGGGGAGTACTCCTTCCTCTAGCGATGCGCGGAAAATCGCAAGGACACTGTGCTTGACGGCTGGCCAAATCTGTTTCCAGACCATCGCCGGCAACCCGTCCTCACCGGGTGCTTTCCACGATTTCGTCGCGAAAAGCCGGCGCTCGACTTCTTCCATCGTGATGTCAGGCATGGTGACAGCCGATTCGCGCTGCGGCCTCTCACCCTCCTCTTCGATGTGCTCTGGTGGGGGCGGGAAGAAAGTCGTAAGCAATTCTTCCGCTTGCTCTTTGCCGTTGGTCGTCCGTGTGCCATCAGCCTTTACAAGCTGCGGCACCTTGCCGAATGCCGCGTCGTCGCCCGACTTGAGATACTTGGCGGCCTTCCAGATGTTGTCGTTGTCGGCCAGAAAGTCGTTCCAATGGGTTTTCTTCTGTTGTCGAATGGCACCGTGGTATTGTTTCGCTGCTCCCTTGGCCGTGTTCTCCAGTGCTTCATCGTTCCGTCCTGCCCGTCTCGCTGCCCTCGCCCGGTTCCTCCAATGTGTGTGGATGTGGCGGAGCTGCGTAAGATCCGCCGTCCACCACCGCTTCGCGTGTGGCGATGGTTTGGCTTTTGGTGTCAAGGCCTGTACTGCTTCCAGCACCACTGACATGAGTCTGTCCGTCTTCTCTTGGACCGTGCCTTCCATCGGGGCTGTCTCGAGTGCAGTGGAAATTCGAGTGTTGATTTCATTCCATGGCGCGTTCTTGTACAGAGGTCGGTCCTGGATTTTCGGGGCCGGCACTGATACATCAAAAATCGTTTCGATGGTGCGGTGGTCCGACCCGTGCTCTGTTCCGTTCGTCGTACACTTGATCATGGCCGCAGCTAGGTCTTCTGATACCAGCACCAGGTCGATTGTCGACTCGTGGTCCCCGCCTTGCCAAGTCTTCGTGCCCCTCGGGAGCATGCTGCAGAGGGAGAGCTCGTTCATCAGGTCGATGATGTTGTCGGCTTCACCCTGTCGTACCGGAGACACGTCGTCTCCTCCCCATAGTTGATCGTGGCGATTGAAGTCGCCCGCAATGACCACGTCCACCACCTCTCCTGCGGCTCTCCTGGCGTCCGCGACCGCTCTACGTATGGTGTTGCACGCTTCCTGTAATGCCTGGGTGTCCATCCCCTGCACGTACACGGACACCACCAGTACCAGTTTCCCTGGAAGCCGCAACAATGCTGCTGTCATGTCCGGAGACTCTATCCGCACCTGTTCAGCCTCCAAATCCTTCCTTACCCAAAGCATGCTTCGGATCGCCCATCGTCCTTCCCCAATCGTTGGTGGGACCATCTTTGTCCATCTGTGATGTCCCATCGGCGTCGTCAACAGCCGTCCTTTGATCATCCGTGCCTGTGGTTCCTGGATCGCCAGCACCGCTACGTCCTGAATGTCCTCGTCGTTCATGAGGCTCTCGTGAACCTCGCCGCGTTTTCGCACATTGAGTTGGATCATACGGAGCGTACTACTCATTCAAAGATGGGTAGAGCTTCTTGCAGTTTCTGCTGAAAGATGCATGGGGACCTCCGCAGGGAACACACTTGAGGATAGTCTCATTGCAGGCACTGTGGTGGTGCCCCTCCTTGGCACATTTCCCGCACACCTGGGGTCGGTCGCACTGGTGAGCTTTATGGCCGCGGCCCATCTGTTGACAGTTGTAGCACTGGTCGAGGCGAGGACGAGATTCGAAGACCTTGGTCCTCCCAGATTGTCCTCCCGCATAGGCGTAGCCCTCCGCGAGTAGCCTTTCCGCGTCCGCTCTCTTCGTGAGGTACATAACCATTGAGCCGTATGCCTTCGGGACGTCCCTGTTACTTAGCCAGCCTACTTTCGCAACTTGTACGTCGTTTTCTTTGCCAATCTCCTCCGCGGCCCCACTGCGGATGGTGTTCGCCTCATCCAAGACCACCATGCGGCTCACGTAGTCGACTTTGACAGGATAGAGTTCGTCTCGCAGCATCCTAGCTCCTCGAGGCAGCTTGGCTTCCACCAGTTGTTTCACCATGGCGTGCTCCTGCTCGTTTCTGCAGGCAATTCTGATTCGAGGCTTCTTCGGGTCCTTGGTCACGGCCAGGCAACGCCACTTGGATTGGCTTTGGTCCACCCTGACCTCGCCTTCCGTAAGGGTACGAATAGCGCCCGGTGTGAGCTGTTCACCTTGTTCGTCCTCCATCCTGGATGTGTCGATCGTGCAGAAGACCATGTCTATTGGCGTCGGTGGCGTTGTCATGGTAGCCTGCCTCGTGTTGCTGAGTTGGCCGGCCTGTGGCATCCGGGCAATGTCTGCGTAGGACGGCCCCGATCTATCCTGCCCTGCGATCGTCGTAGTGACTGTTTCGATGCTCGCACGCAGGCTCTGGGTTTCATTCGTGGTCGCATGGAGGGCTTTCCTAAGCTTCTCCACTTCGTTCTGGAGCTCTTCAATTCTTGTCGACTGTGACTGGGACTCTTCCAGGACCTTTCTCATGATCTTCGTCTGTAGTTCCATCTGTTTCTCCATAGCGCGCAGCAACGCTCTTCCGTCCGGCTGCCCTCCAAGAGTCCCGGAGATTGGTCGTCGCACCGTCGGTTTGGTACCGCGCCTATTGGCTCTTCGCTCCGTGATTTCCACATCGTCGGTCGGCTCGTTTCTGGCTTGACCCTCGGTCGCTTCATCATTGATATGTTCATCGTCGATGACTTCGTTGTCGATGGATCGATTGTCGACGACCTTGTTGCTCGGCTTGCGCGTCGATCGAAGCTGTCGTCTCACACCACCATTCCCCCCTTCTCCATCCGACGCAACATGGATCGTGTCGCGTTCGTTCGCCATGGCTGCAGGTGGGGCGCCACGTGGAATGGGATCCACCAGTTCGCGTCGCGCCGTCCCACGTCAAAGACCAACCTGTCCACGATCAATCTGATGCCGTAATAAAAATCAGGCAAGTACCGGATTCAGTCACGTCCCCAAGGCAGGTACAGGTAGGTAGGATAACAGTTTCTGGGCACATATAGTGTCAATGGATAGCCGTTCTCGCCGCTCACACCCTGTACAGCAGAGCGTAGGAACTGCTTTGAGTCTTTGCTTGGACTTGGATTCACGCCATACCATAAACTCTCATACTTATTGTACCCTGGGCCTCCATCTTCCTGAGTTATTGCTGGTGCCACAGTATCTTCCCTGATCAATTTCCGCTGCTAGACCTAATCTTGCCTCTTATGGGCGACCTCGATAGCATGCTACCAGGGACAGTAGGAAGGTGGGCGACAAAATTCCGCCGATGTAACTCCAAAAACAAAATTGACTCACAAGACACTCAACTCCATCCGACCGAGAGTGAATGAATGCCTGAAAGTCATGCCACCGGAAAGAGGAATAAACAGGCTTTACTGCCTCATGCCGCCAGATGCTGTTTCTTTCTATCAAGGCCAAATCTGCCTCGCATACAAAAAAAAAAAACGAAGTGACAGATGGTTGGTCATCGTCGACGCCATCTGCAAAAGGAAATTCTCCCCGAGACAGGTTCGAACTGTCGATCTCCCGATTTGCCTGTTGATTAACAGTCGGACGCCTTAACCAACTGGGCCACCAGGGATTAATTGTTGAACGGCCCAATGGCAATGTGCATCATGTCTGGAAAATGCCGCACTTGTGGAGATGTCATGCTTTCGAGGTGCAGTTTGGTGGGGCTTTTTTCTGTAGTTTTTGGCTCTGTTGACTTTGATCACATTTGTTTCGTGAAAGGACCATCATTCCAAAAAGTGATGAAACGCCATATGCATCCTTTAGTATAACATTTTTTTGTTCCTGTCCGTAGCACTTTTGAGGCTTGAGGCTTTACCTAGGCCCTGATAAATGTCATCCAAGGATGCCCTCTCGATCCACACTTTTCACTGGGAGACGACAGTGGCCCTGGCGAATGTCACACTCGCCAACACCAACCTCAATCGCGGACCCCAATTGGCGCTTCTGACCTCTTCCTCATGCATCGCTGAGCCAAACCTCTTTGCGCTGCTCAGCCATGACCCGAAACCTTCTCGGTTCTCTGCCTGTGAGCTTTAACACCACGTCGTTCGTCCTCTCCTCGCTTCCATGGAGAATCTGAACATCCAACGCTGCCATCATGTCAGCATAGCCATCAGGCATGCCCGCCATGGCGAACATATCCTTCCGCTCGCGCGGCGTCTGTTGGTGATGCACGACCTTGCGGCCCAGCACGTCGGAAATAATCGCAGCAATCTGTCCTGGTGTTAGCAAAAGTCACCCTAAAGATGTAGACGACGAGTATGAGCACCCACATCGCCGTAGGAAAGCAGCTCCGGCCCCAGAATCAGAAACTCTGCATTGGGCGCTGCCTCCTGCGTCAAGAGTTGGAACGCCGAGGCCGCAATGTCCTCGACAGCAACCCATGGGATTCGTCCCTCCCCCGTGGCCGAGTACACCTTGCCCTCGCCCCAAATAGACATGACATGCGCCCTGTGCTCTACCAGATTCTCTGCCAGCATGTCAGCGCCCGCTCGCCCGCCGCACGCAGCTTGCCACAGAGGGAATTGATGCAAGCGCTGCCACAACTCACCCTGGAACCAGGTCGGCCGCAGAGCCGCCCACTCCACTTGGCCCTTGTCGCCGAGAGCTTTGAGGTAGGCGTGCACCTTGCCCATTGCCACGCCCTCCTCGTCCGCTTCCAGCGCGCTCGAGCTCAGGAGGACAAATCGCCGGACTCCTTTTTCTTGTGCAATATTGATGAACGCCGACATGGGGGAGAAACTGTCGAGAATGGGTGGCGCGACGAGGAATACGGCGCGCGGTTTTGCCGCGAGAGCTTTGGCGTAGGTCGTCTCATCGTGCCAGTCGAACGCGACACCTGAGATGTTCGTGGCATCGGGCTCTGTGGTGGCACCGTTACGAGAGGCTTGGATAGTGGGGATGTCCGATTTGGCCAAGAGCGCGGCGATGCTGCGAGCTACCTTGCCAGTGCCGCCAAGGAGGAGGACTGGGCCTGCGTTGAACGACATAATGGCAATTGGTCAGTTTTTTATGATGCGTCTGTAGCCAGACACATGGCTTTCAGAAAGTAGATTGTGGCCATCACTTATACAAAGTTCATTGTCTTGGCTATCGGGGCGATGCTGCCGGCAGGGTGCTGGTGCGGAGTTAAGCCGCTGTTACTCGGACGCGGACGGAGGAGAACTGTCTGTGCAGCGGCGCGGTATTGCACCGACGATGGATAATCACAGCTTGTGCATACATGGGACATTGTACGAAGGGCCCACATCCTGCCATAGACCATGATGCCAAGTGTCTTCGACGCAGGCTACGCAAGAAGATGAATCGCATGTCGACGAACGATCTGTCAATAGAATCAATACATTTATCTCTTGATCTTGAGAATGTTGATCCTGCCACACTGCCGGAGAACTTAGGAGGGTCCGATTCTTTGTCACATCCAGCCTGGCGAGAAAAGAGTTGTTTGTCACTGGTTTGCAGGCACAGATGCTGACATCGGCCATAAACCTCACCAACACCGCGCGCTACACTGGCCAGGCCATGCGCCTGACTGGTGGTGGCCTTCCTGGCCTCTTTCTGCTACGGCAGCGCGGTACTCTTCCCCTCAGAGGCGTTCAGCGCCGCATCAACTCTGGGTGCGGCTTTTAAAGAAAAGGCGGCAGCGCTGCTTGGGGTGCGTACCATGTTCAACGCCGAGTTCCGAATACTCGAGGCGAGGATGCATTGTATCACTACGCTGCGGACTGGTCTGGCCGCTGGGTCAGCATCCATCATCAGATCCTCTCAACTCTGCTCGTCACTCAAATTCCTGTACACACTCACCAGTGTTGTTGCTTCCAAAAGGCCATCATGTTCTCTTCGATCACCCAAGCCCCGATATCGGCCTCGGGACCGCTCTTAGAATGCTCCTTTTGCCCGCCATGGCCCTCGATCTCGCGCTCTGCTACGATCGGGACTACCGTGGGAGGCTGCGCTGTGAGGAACCCTCTTCACATTCAGATGTAAACAGATAGCTGCTAACACCTAGGCCCCCCAGAACAAGTGGCCCCATGCCGGTCAACTCTTGCTTCAGCAACCGCGGCGGCACCAACTGGAGCGGTTTCACCAACGACGCTGTATTCAGCTTCCGCATCAGCGGTGGCTGCTGCCGCTTCTACAGAGACGCTGACTGCCAAGGCGGTCCGATGTTCACCGAGTGCAACGTCAACGTCCCCAGCATCCACGACAAATATGGTCAGTTCAACGACCAGCTGAGCAGCATTTTCTGCTACTAGAGAGGGGTTGTTGAACTCCTGCAAAGGGCAGTGGCATGTAGCAGTGTACCTAAACACCTGCTTGGCAGATGACTGGGGTAGACTTTTTGAAGGTCACCATAAGTCGAGGCCTTTGGTTGAATCTTGACGTTGCGTTCTGATGCAGATGCTGTTGGTCTGGTTATCTGGCCCCTTTGTGGCCTGTTCTTGAGGCATTGAATATACTTTGCAAAGAAAGTCTCAAGCTTGGCAGCTGTTTATGAGTTGACTGTTTCCAGGGTTACTGTGTTGAGATGATGCTAGCTTACGGGCAGAGATAATTAGTCGGCAACAATAACAACGAAATCGGTAAAACCGACGAGGACCTGGACCCAGGTAAAGCATCTCAAATTGAGGGACGTGTCGTCGGCTCAGGGCTTTATACTGACGATTTAGTAGTGCTTCGTTTGAGGTGGTCTGTTATTCTCGCTCGCTTCTTTTTACTACTTTACATACAAAGAAATTGTTCGAGGCTTTATTGCCTTGCATCTCATTACGCGGGACAAATTCCGATTGAGAAGATGTTATTCATTAGATATAAGAGTCAGCGCATAAATCTGCGTAGGTAAATTGGTTGATTGGATTGCTTTTGGGGCAGGTGGGCGAAATGCTGGATCCATCACTGACCGGGCGTCAAATCTGGTGTGGAGATGCCTTCTCGTACCGTACTGAACGCCGGCTCGGATGTTGTCTCAGAGAGACCATCTGCATTTGGTCCCTAGAGGGTCTACTTGAGGCTTCAAAGGCGAGGCTTGATAACGAAGAGACAGCACCCCCCTGGCTTGGCCCCCCCACCAAAGCATCCTGACAAACATTATTCGCCGAGAAGTAGTTAGTGGCCCGTCACCGCAAGCACACCTTACACCATCCATGATGATAAAGCAGCCAAATCCTACATACCATATGGTACCTTAGAGTCGGGCGGGGTAGTCGGATAAGCGGGTCGTGTCGTCAACCCCCGCGTATGGGATGTCGTAAGGCAGGGCGCTGAGTAGAGCGGCAACGTCATGCTACAGTACCTTGCCTCTCCATCATGTTACAAGAGGCTGGGATATCACTTGAGCAAACTTTAAGAGCCTTGAAATTTCCCCTTTGTTCTTCATCGACTCCTCATTGATATCTACTACACCTTAGGAATCAGAAAGTCAGCATGGCTTCGCAATCAGTTTGTACCAAGACATTTGAACTCAATAATGGTGCGCCACAAACAAGTAGAACATGAAGGGTTTCCGGAACTGACGATCGAATTGAACCATAGGCTTGCGTATGCCAGCAGTGGGCTTGGGAACTTGGCAGGGTAGGCTGAACACCCGCCATCGTACCGCCCCCGACACAGCGCTCATCCAAGCATAGGCAGCCCCGGAACAGACGACGATAAGGCGCTTGAGAAGTCTATCATCCACGCCCTGAAGAGCGGCTATCGCCTCCTCGACACGGCCCAAGCCTACGGCGTCGAGCACGTCGTCGGCCGCGCCGTCCGCGAGAGCGGTATCCCGCGCGAGGAAATCACCGTCGTGACCAAGTTCTGGGGCGAGTGGCACCACGATCCCGCCGAGGCGCTGCGCATTTCGCTCGAGAGCTTGGGACTCGACTACGTCGACGTCCTGCTGATGCACTGGCCGTGGGCGACGACGCCGAAGCCCGAGAAAGCCGTGCTGCGGCCGCACGAGGACCCGCGCTTCGAGGATACCTGGAAGAGGATGGAGAAACTGGTCGGGCCCACGTGCAAGTCCATCGGCGTCAGCAACTTTTCGCAAAAGACGCTTGACCGGCTGCTGCAGAAGGCCAGCATTGTGCCTGCCGTGAATCAGGTCGAGCTTCACGCATTTAACCCGTGCCTCAAGCTGGTGCCGTACTGTCAAGAAAAGGGCATCCACGTGATGAGCTGGTCGTACGTTTCGCTGCCCTTGGCACATTATGCCAGATGGGAGAGTTTACCCGACCTTGCTTGCTGACGTACTTGTAGGACACTTGGAGGGTCCCGTGCTGGTGAAGAGAACCAAATCCTTCGTCATGAGACGTTCACCAAGATTGCCGATGCGCACGGCTGCTCGGCCGGCGTCGTGTCCCTGTCGTGGGCGGTCCAGCGTGGCATCACGGTCATCCCCAAGAGCAGCTCGGAAAAGCGCATCGCGGAGAACATTAAGCTTGTGACACTAAGCGACGAGGAGATCGATACCATCAACAAAGCGCAGGACACCATCAAGAAATATCGCATCGCTGAGGGCATCCAGAGCCTGAAGGGTGAGGTGGATGGGAAGCTCGCCCTCAGCGGGTGGACCATGGAGGACTTTGGATGGGAAGATGCAGAGGGCAATTGGTTGACCTGAGCGGGACGGTGTTGATCAAACTGCGTGCTAGGTCGATTTTCGAGTCTGAAGGGCTGACGTCGGGATAGCAACAAGACTCCTTACTGTGAGGATTCATAACGGCGTCGATCTCAGGCAGAACTAAAGACAATTCAGGAACAGAGCATTGCACTACGAGCTTTACGTTCAGATCTGACATGGAATCAAGTCGATCTTCCCCTACGTCGACCAAGCGAAAGCGTGCTTGGTAATTGGAGCCGACGCGGAATTCAAATTCCACAACCTGAACGGCGGACAATCCCGTCTGGGATCGACCGAGCCAGCTTACCGGACCCGGACTTTCTCGATTAGGAAATAGATCTGCCTAAATGGTGGGCGATTGGAGTCGATCAACGCTGGATCAATAACGTCATGACATCCGTCAAGCCTGTCTGCCCGATTCCAACACCACGCCCACCTCCTCAAAATTTGTTTTGATAGCCATCGTCAAGCAACGATGAACCGTGTGGCGAATGTGGATTAGTATGAATGGGCTTGTCAATCCCTTCATCTTGCAAGGCTTACCAAGCGCCTTTCTCGATTGCCTCCTGTGCAGTGGCTCTGCTTCTCAGGCTATCATGACCTGAGATCCTGAGCAAGTCCCAAATGCGGGGGGCTATTCAAACTGCCGAGGCCCAGTCCAACATACCCCTGGAATCGGTCTTGATCTAAAAGACAACCCCGCGCACCAAGTACCTTGACGTGAAGAACCGTGTCTCGTTTTCTTGAACTTCCAACAACCCCGAAACAACACATAGCATCATGACGGCAGACAACAAGGTCTCGGCCCCAGGCTACGAGGGCATCCCGCCGTCTCGGTCGAGGACACCCGCTCTCGTTGAGCGCAAGAAGATTCCTGCCAGCCTCGAAAACACCCCCGCCAAGGGCGTCCCCTTCTTCACCCCCGAGCAGTCACCACCTGCCGGCACCGCGCTCAAGGCCGCCAACGGTGAGATCCCCAAGCTTTTCACACCGCTCAAGATCCGTGGCGTCGAGCTGCCGAACCGCATCTGGCTGAGCCCGATGTGCCAGTACAGCGCGCACGAGGGCTTCCACACCCTTTGGCACACTACCCACTACGGCGGAATCGTCCAGCGAGGCGTACGTTTGAAGCACTGCTCTGTTTCGCGAACCCAACTGACACCCTCTGCAGCCTGGTTTCAGCATGATTGAGGCTACTGCCGTTCAGGCAAATGGCCGCATCACACCGGAGGACTCGGGTATCTGGCTAGACGCCCACGTCGACAAGCTCAAGGAGCACGTCGACTTTGCCCACAGCCAGAACCAGCTCATTTCGATTCAGCTCGGGCACGCCGGCCGCAAAGCTTCGACCGTCGCCCCGTGGCTCCCGCAGGCCATCGCGACCGAGGACGTCAACGGCTGGCCCAACGACGTCGTCGGGCCGTCCGATGTCCCCTTTGGCCAGGACTTCCCCACGCCGCGGGCGCTGACTCTCGACGAGATTGACGAGGTCAAGAGGGACTTTGCCGCGGCCGTCAAGCGGGCGCTGCACGCCGGTTTCGACATGATCGAGCTGCACTTTGCCCACGGCTACCTCGTCTCGAGCTTCCTGTCGCCGACGAGCAACAGGCGCACGGACAAGTACGGCGGCAGCTTTGAGAACCGCACGCGCCTGGCGCTCGAGCTCGTCGAGGAGACGCGCGCCATTTTGCCCGACAGCACGCCGTTGGCTGTGCGCTTCAGCGCGACTGAGTGGCTGGACACGAACCCCGATTTTGAGGGCGAGAGCTGGACGATCAAGGAGAGCATCGAGTTCGCCAAGCTGCTGGCTGATCGGGGCGTCGACATTCTCGACATTTCCAGCGGTGGCAACAACACGGCGCAGAAGGTCAAGGGCGGGCCGGGATACCAGGCTGGCTTCGCCAAGGCGATCAAGAAGGCGGTCGGCGACAAGGCATTTGTGAGCACCGTCGGCAGCATCAAGACAGGTACGCTCGCCGAGCAGCTCATCTCGGGTGGCAAGGATGAGGACGACACGCCGCTGGACCTCGTTGCCGTGGGCAGGATGTTCCAGAAGAACCCCGGCCTTGTCTGGGCATGGGCTGATGAGCTTGAGACGTCGATCCAGGTGGCGCACCAGATCGGCTGGGGATTCGGTGGAAGGGCGGCCGTCAAGAAGGAGTCGGCCAAGATTAACATTCCGTAAGTCTGAAGATGGTTCCTGATCTTGAGAACATAAATTTGTGTTGTTTTACTGGGCTAAACATAGAACCGGCGTTTTGTACAGTAGCCAGAAGACATCAAGACTTTAGATGATGGATTTGCTCGAGGGAAATGTGTCGACATGGTGGAATGAACGTGACTGGACCTGCATGTAGAGAGTCTTGACAGTGAACAGCGCTCAAATTGATCAGGTACATTCGGAGATGTCTCAATCAGCCCTCAATCCTTCCGTCGGTTGCCGCCGGAGTGCGAAACCTGGGTTATAAGTCAATCTTATCGACGGTGCGAATGAGTCGAATCCATCGCGAAAAAAGCCAACAAGCGGTTTTGGCTTACCCCGCATTGGCGTCTGACGATATCAAATGGACTCCCCGATGCTTTTCCCATTCTCCCCTTTCTCTTGTCCCTATTTCGGCCATCGATCCAACCCCCTATAAATTGCCCATCGAATTGCGGCTCTTCTGCACCTCACCTTGTCCACAAACCCAATTTCCTGAAAATAAGACCACGAACTGCTTTTCATCATGCTTCGTTGGGGAATTCTCGGAACAGGCTTCATCAGTCACACCGTGGCGAAAGCAATTGAAAACAGCACGGGCTCAACCATCCAAGCCATTTTCGGCAGGAATCCAGACAACTTGCGCGCCTTTGCAGACAAGTACAATGTCGCCTCGCGCTACGATACTCTCGAATCCATCCTCGGCGACGACGAGGTCGATGTCGTTTACATCGGTCTCGCCTCCCATGTCCACGCCGAGGCCATTATTGCGGCCGCCAAGCGTGGCAAGGCCATCCTCTCGGAAAAGCCCTTGACCACAACCCTCGCTGATGCCAAGGCCAGCCTCGATGCCGTGCGTGACGCCAACGTCTTCATGCTCGAGGGCCTCATGTATCTCTGCCACCCCTTTATGGAAAAGGTCGTCGAGATCGTCAGGTCGGGTGAGCTGGGCAGCATTCGAGCCATCAACGGCCACTACGCAGCCCAGATCTGGGACAGAGCCAACCCGCTCGGCAAGGGCACCATCTACAACCTCGGCTGCTACCCCGTCTCTCTGCTGCATCTCATCGTGCAGACTGCGTTCGGCCCCGACGCTATCCGATCTAGGACGCTGCAGGCCGCGGGCAACGTTTCGCACGACGGCGGCGTCGCGCACGGCAGGGACGCCGCGCTGTTGCTGCGCCTCGATAACGGCCTCCTGGCGACCATCCAGTCGACTGACAGTTACGGCAAAGACACGGGCTTTGTGGTTCAGGGCGACAAGGCCGTCATGACATTCAAGACGAACCCCTGGCTGCCTGTTGCCGGCGATAATGTCTTGACGATAGAGACGTACAAGACGGGCGAGACCAGGGAGGTTGTCGTTACGGCTTCCGAAGACGCATTTGCCTGCCAGGTCAAGAAGGTAGAGGAAGCTTTGGCAGCTGGACACAAGGAGGCAAAGCGCCCTGCCGCGAGGTTATCAGATTCCTTGGAAATAATGGAGCTCCTGATTGAGTGGGAGGAGAAGATTCTGGGACAGGCGCCATAGGCAGAATATAAGCAAGATACCGTCAGAAGTGTGAGAATTCAACGGTTTGCTCCTTTGTGCTTACGATGAGAGGGGAGTACAGTCTCGGAATTTAGAATCCCCATTCGCGCCAAGTTATATCCCACACTTGTGGTCGAGATTAACAATGTTGCTATTCAAGAAAACCATACCAAAACCACGCCATCGCAGCAACTGGCATCTTCCCGCTGTTGTCAGCGACAGCCTTAAGCTGCGGCCGCAACAGAGCACCCATCTCCTACTTGGACTTTCTCATACGGACCTTGTGCTCGAGCAGCAGATCCAGCTCGGAATTCGTCAAGCCATTGAACTCGGGACGACGGACCCACATCTAACTAGCACCAAGCTGGAAGTCGAAAAGCAAAAAGGATTGAATCAATCAAGTTAATCCACCACGTATTCTTCTAGCTCGATTGGATAGCTGCCGTAAGGCACTTGCGACCATGTGAGGGCTGCCACTAAGCCCTGCTGGAGCCGACCGTAACACAGCCATAACATGCAGCTTTCGGAGGCTCATTGGAACTCGAAGGTGGGGTCTGGTAGTTGCAATATCCAGGGATAGACGCTGGGTGCCAGAAGTGCCTTCAATGGACACCCCTGTATCTATATCGAGCCGCTATTCCAGTCATCAATAGACTGGCCTTGTTCTACAGTGCCATTGGATGCTGATCAAGCCCGAAAGCAGCCCGCAGCAGCCAAGTCCTTTGGTTTCGTGACCCTAGGTTGTAATGAATTCCGGGAATCTACCACCTCACCCACTCCATGCCAAGGCGGGGGCTGTCTCACACCATTCAAAGCTGATGACTTGCAACATTTGGAAAGCCCAGACAAGTCCTGGCAACTCAATCATGGGGTGGGTCTGGCATTTACGAGTTGGGGTGGCGTTTGGTGGTACAGACATCCGAAATGCCAGCCTCAAGACGATGCAAGGCAGAATTAAAGTGCGTAGAAACACCATGTTCTACCCTTTTCTGGTGTTGACGTGACGATTGTCTTCCTTTTGGCTCAGTAGGAAAACTCCTGAAACTGACAGAACATGTTGAGTCGAAGGCCACTCGCTGAACCATGCAAACGCAAGGATGCTTCTTTGGTTTCTTTTGATCCGTCAAGCTAGGTCTGGCGAGAACGAGTCATCAGCCGCGAGTCGATGTCAAAATTTACTGGCGATGGGGATCATCTGCCCGCCTTCAAAGGCCGAGGAAGACCACATTGACAATGTGGTAGATATCCGCAAGAGAAAAGATAAATCAGAACAAGGTTCAAGAATCCGCGGCATCCACCGACAATAATTCGCCGCCTGGGCTTCGCTCAAATGCCGCCCGCAAATCTTGTTTAGGCTCGCTCCTCGCCGCCATGCCCGATCCAGCTTCACCTGGCGAGCTCAGGCCTGCAGCGGCTGACGGTGAGAGACGATCTGATCGCCACTAGCCACGGCCGCTAAGAAGACGCCATACCCGTCCTGTGCGGTCGGTTCAACAGCTTGGCCTGTTCTGGTCATTTCCTTCCACCTGGCCGCGGCCCGCAAGGTTCTGGCCTGAGAAACAAAGAGCGGCGGTCTTTGTTAAGGGTAGTCAGGAACACAGGATCGAACCACATGGGAGGCTCGAGCCTTCGTGTTCGTCCGGAAATGCCAAGGTTAGTCTGCTCAGCTTGGCCTACAAGCTGACCGGGAGGGCAAATCGGTGGCTCGTATTGTCGCTGGGGTCCATGCAGGTCAAACCACTCGGCCCAGATCCGACGCGGGACGAAGTAAGTCCATCGATGCCGGCAAGCTGCATGAGCCCTCTGCCGCTCATGGACAGCACAGGTATAAGTGTGGTCATGCATCCGCTGCTTGGACTCTCCCTCTGGCGATCCTGGGCCACATCCTTGTCCATCCCCTTTTGCGTACGGCCTACGTTACGATGCGTCTCTCACTCGTTCCTGCGCTATTCGGCGTCCTCGCCGATGCTGTGCCTACCGAGGAGCAGGCGGCATCGCACCGCGAGGATAAGCGCCAGCTCGGCTCCCTCCTGGGCATCTTCAACCGCGATGCGACCTTCGACTACGTCATCATCGGCGGCGGCACGGCAGGCCTGACGCTGGCGAACCGTCTCAGCGCCAACCGCGACATGACCGTGGCCGTCGTCGAGGCCGGCTCGTTCTACCAGATCACCAACCCGGCGCTCGGCCAGACGCCGGCCGGCGACACCCTCTTCGCGGGGTCGAGCCCGTCGGACACGAACCCGCTCGTCGACTGGAACTTTGTCACGGAGCCGCAGGCCGGGGCCGGCAACCGCACGATCCACTACGCGCGCGGCAAGTGTCTCGGCGGCAGCTCGGCGCGCAACTTCATGGTCTACCAGCGCGGCACCAAGCAGTCGTACCAGAAGTGGGCCGACGCCGTGGGCGACGAGAGCTACGCGTGGGACGCGCTGCAGCCGCACTTTCGGCGGTCGGCGCGGCTGACGGCGCCGGCGGGGTCGCGCTTCGCCAACGCGTCGGCCGCGTACGACGCCGCCGCCTTCTCGCCGGCCGGCGGGCCGTTGCAGGTGTCGTACGCCAACTACGCGCAGCCCTTTAGCACGTGGCTCGAGCCGGCGCTCAACGAGCTGGGCGTCGCCGAGGCTGACGACTTCAACTCGGGCGCGCTCCTGGGCGCGCAGTACTGCGCCAGCACCATCGACCCCAGGACGCAGACGCGCGACTCGTCGCAGACGTCGTTCCTGCGCGACGCCCAGGGCCGGTCGAACCTTAAGGTCTACACGGCGACGCTGGCGCGCAGGATTGTCTTTGACGGCGCTAAGCGCGCCACGGGCGTCGTCGTCTCGTCGGCCCTCGCCCTTGGCCAGTACACGCTGAGGGCGCGCAGGGAGGTCCTCCTGTCGGCGGGCGCCTTCCAGTCGCCGCAGCTGCTCATGGTCTCGGGCGTGGGCCCGCGCGCGCAGCTATCCAAGTTGGGCATCCCCGTCGTCGCCGACCGGCCGGGCGTCGGGCAGACGATGGAGGACCACGTCTTCTTCGGGCCGACGCACCGCGTCAACGTGCAGACGCTGACGCGGCTCGCCAACGACCTACTCTACACGGGCGCGCAGTTCCTCGGCCCGTACGCGCTGCAGAAGCAGGGCCCGCTGACGAACCCCGTCTGCGACTACCTCGGCTGGGAGAAGATCCCGCGCGCCCTGCTGCCGGCGTCGGCGGCGTCGACGCTCGACGCCGCGTTCCCGCCCGACTGGCCCGAGCTGGAGTATATCTCGGCGCCGGGCTACGTCGGCGCCTTCACGAACCTGCTGACGACCCAGCCGCGCGACGGCTACCAGTACGCCACCATCCTCGGCGCCCTCGTCGCGCCGCTGTCGCGCGGCACCGTCACGCTGCGGTCCGCCGACACCAGGGACCTGCCGCTCATCAACCCTAACTGGCTGACGGATCCGACCGACGTCGCGGTCGCCGTTGCCACGTACAAGCGCCTGCGCGCGGCGTTTGCGACCGACGCCATGAAGGGCGTGCTCGTCGGCGGCGGCGAGTACTTCCCCGGGGCCGCCGTCCAGACGGATGCCCAGATTCTCAACACCATTCGCGAGACTGTCATGACTGTCTGGCACGCGGCCTGTACCTGTCGCATGGGCAAGAGGGATGACCCCATGGCCGTTGTCGACAGCGATGCCAAGGTCATCGGCGTGCAGGGCCTGCGGGTCGTCGACGCGAGCAGCTTTGCTTTGCTGCCACCCGGCCACCCACAGAGCACCGTCTACGTGCTGGCCGAGAAGATTGCCGCCGAGATTCTGGAGGCGCTATGAGAGATGGTCACACGGAGGAAAGGGGGACTTGGGTTGAACGAATTGATAGAGTACGCCGTCTGGTTCGCGATAGAGCAGACGTTGAAAGAAAGAACAAACTTGAATACACCGCGTGTGCAAAACCTTACGTCCTCCAGCGGAAACCGGGATGCTTCCAGTCGAGGTCGGACACCTGCCCAGGCGAGAGGCCCGCAAGCTCCTCTTCAACGTTGCGGCCATCCCTCTTCTTGTTGTCCCACTTCATCCAGAACCAACCGCATGTAGCAATGATCAGAATCATGGTCGCCGCAGCCAAGTTGAGACCGTTGCCGATGGGGAAGTTGGGCGCGTCCTTGACGAGGTAGCTCCAGGTCGAGATGAGGCCACCGACGTTGCCGAACATGACCTGAAAACCACCTTGTCAGCGATGTGTCTCGAAAATATCACGGGATGCAGAGAAGCAGGGAAGACTCACGTTCAAACCAATGGCACTGCTGCGCGCCGTGTCGCTGACGACGTTGGCGCTGATGTGCGCGTTGGACATGGGTCCCATGACCATGGCCGAACTGGCGATGAGGAAGGTGGCGGCATAGCGGATGGTGGCCGTCTCGGACGCGAGGAACATGATGTAGCCAGTCATGACGAGGGGTGCGCTCAAGGCGATGAGCACCTGGCGGCGGTCGAGATACCAACTGAGGGCGGGGAAGGCGAGTACGAAGACGGCACCCACAGCGTAGGGAGGGACACTATGGAGCTGCTGCTGGACGACGGTGTACTCGGGGTAGATGGTGCGGACGATGGTCGGCAGGAAGAAGGCGAGGCCCTGGACGGTGATGTTGTTGAACAGGAAGATGACAGCAATGTGCAGAGTCACGGGGCTGGTCATGCCGCGCCACAGGCGCTTGCGGTCGAGGTTGTCGAGGACCTCGGTGGCACCGACACGCTCGGCCTTGAGGCGGGCAATGCAGAGGTCCTTTTCTTCCTGGGTCAGCCAGCGGGCCGTTTCAGGTCGATCGGTGAGGGTGACAAAGGCGATGAGAGCGAGGCCGACGGTGATGATGCCCTCGATGGCGAAGATCATGCGCCAGGTGTGAAGAGAGCCAAAGTGGTCGAGCGTCAGGATGGCCGAGGCGAGCAGGCCACCAAAGGCGCCGGCGAGGGGTGCCATGACCATGTAGAGCGAAAGACGGAAAGTCAGCTCGGCGCGCTGGTACCATCGAGAGAGGTAGTAGGCAATGCCAGGCAGCATGCCGGCCTCAAAGATGCCAAGAAGGAAGCGGACTCCGCAGAGGGCAGCCTGGGACTGAACGAAGCCGGTGGCGATGGAGATGGCGCCAAAGGCGAGGGACGTGGCGGGCAGGAACCAACCGGGGCCCATCCACTTGCAGCAGATGTTGGCGGGGATCTCAAAGATGATGTACGAAATGTAGAAGACGGAGAGGACCACGTTGTAGTCGTAGCCCTGGAATCCGAGATCCTTTTCCATGCCAGCGATGCGTGCGTTGCCAATGTTGGCTCTGTCAATGAAGCAGAACAGGTAGAGGAAGGAGACGGTCGGGACGGTCATGAGGTCGAGCTTCCAACGGAGTTTCTTCACAGCCACGGGGTCAAACTCGATCAGAGGGTTTCCGTACTGATCGGTGGCGACCTGGCCGTTGCCGGCAGCAAGGCGAATATTGCCATCTTCATCGGTGACTGTCTTGAGGCCGTGGCTATCAAGGGTTGCCTCGATGTGGCGGTTGTTGGGGCGTTCCTTGTCAGACGACGACATGACGGACTAGGTTTGAACCGCGAGGGTTGAGGTTGAGATTGGAGACAGGCGAGGGAAGAGATGAAGTAGCTTGTCTCCCGATAGCTCTCACGTTTGGTGAGAACGATGGCGAGTGGGCTGGAGGGCAAGAGTCGTCCTCCACTTTCTGACGCCAAGTCGTGAGCAGAACGGATGTGATGGAGGTGGACGATCGATGATTCTGGTCAGTGATCGTCGAGATGATCCTGATGCTCCTGCGATAAAAAGTCCATGGATGATCAGGGACAGACGACAGTCCATATATCCATTTCGACATGACCGAGCCAAGGTCGTGTGCTTGGTAGAAGGGGTCAAGCAGGCGGTTGTGGTAGCATCACAAATTTGACCCCCTGCCGGCCATTTCAGGCTTAGTGCCGCATCTGGGGGGCGCCTGCCCCGCAAACTCGACCTCCCGGTCGCTGCTGCCGCGTCTTGCGGGGTACAGTCTGGCTCCACCAGAACAGGAACGGCTGTGATAACGGCTGTTCGATGCCAAGCCAAGCCATGGTGTTGCCTCATTGAGCTTGTACAGAGAGCTATCCGTGCTGTAGTTTTGGGATGGGAAGAAAACATGTCTTCAAGCGTGTTCGTCCCGAGCTGCTGGGTGAGACCAGCGTCACCAGCCGGCATCATGGCACTGAGTCACCGTAGGGTTACCTAGGGACCTCTCTTACCTAGGTAGGTAGGTATCTGGGTAGGTAGGCAAGTAGGTACCTGGGATTCACGGTACCACGTGTCAAGAAGGCCCGAATCTCAGACCCATTGAGTACAACAAAGGCAGAGCGCTTGGGGAAGGGAAATACAGCAGAACCTCGGAGAATTGGCATTTTCTCCGTTTCTCCAGCCCGCCATTGCGATTAAACCTTCTTCCCCAGCCATCAGCCATCAAGACAAGATGCGAAACCGAAGGCGTCCTGCGGAACTATGCTTAACCACCATGGGCAGCGGACACCGATCCATCCATCCCTTCAAGTATGCTGCAAGCATGCAAGCAGCAGATAAAGGCGCCCGACTTAACAATCACCACCCTCGAGTCAGTGACCGATTACCCCATCACCCCCATCTATCCACCGCGGCACCAAAACCTTCCGCCGTGGAGAGACCATGCTAGGTACCCCAGGTTTCCTAGTGCTGCCGCAGACCCCACGCCCTCCATCTCCCCCTTTCCCCCTATCCAATGCCCTAGCAAGCTTCATCTGCCTTACTCGCAACGCTATCTCCCTCCCTCCCCCGCATTCCACAGTGACGTTTCCCTACCAGCTCAGGTGCCCCCCCCCTTGGCTTCATGGGTACTGTCTCGCACGCCGTTGTGTACGATGCCGCCAATCACATCCCGTCGCAGACGACCTGTACATGGCACATCCGTCCTACATTTGAACCCCCCTGGCCGGCAAGTATTTCGGCACTTGACATGAGCTGGGGGGACAATAGCCTGATAGAGCGTCTTCTGAATTGTGGGTTCGGATTGAGTTTCATCGGATCGCGATTGGGGCTCTGGCGGCTCTCGTCATCGTCTTTGTCAAATTAGCCCCCCCCCCTGGTTGGCAGAATTCCCTGTGAACGCGTCCTGGGTGCCCGCGACGATGACCCTTGCGTGACAAACATTGGTCAGAATGTTGCGTAAGAGTGCCGAGGGAAACGTATGCACGGTAAGAGCCGAGGATAATGAGGCTCAGGGTGGGCAGAAACATAACAGAGACATCGGCGGGGAGTATCTTCCGGAAGCTTTATGCTGTAGTGACTTGGCTGGTCTCAGAGCGTGCTCCTTGGGTTTCCCATGATGGATATTTCACGATAGCCTTTTTCCTGTTCGTTGTGTTAAGACTGGGTGACAAACGCCTTGAACTCAATCGGAGTTGTCACATTCTTCCTGCATCATTAGGGTACCATGATGGGGATACGACCTTCCTGATCACTACTTCAGTTGTCGTTGCTTGCAATTTTGAGTTCTCGTTTAGAGGCTATAAGGCTGTGACTCATGGGAGGTTGCAATGTATAACTCTATGATTAAAGTTAAAAGCTAATGCTAAAACCTTCTCTTACAGAATCTCGAATGAATTGTCTCCACTCCGATCGAGTGTCACCACTGCAACTACCCGACATGGCAGCCAAGATGGAAATACTGCCGACAGCGAGTACTTATTCTCTGACGGACAGCGTCAAGGAAGAAAATTTCATAGAGCAGAGAACACAGAAAAAAGAATCCCCAACAAGAAAGGCGATTGGCTGCTCCCACTAATGTGTTTCCTCCAAATCCATCTTTCCTCGTGGTATTGTGACCCAAGGAGGTATTCATCTAGGACAAGCAGGCCACGAGAGCAAGGACCAAGAATGTCTTGATTGTGTCTCCTGTCTGTCAGACTGGATCTGGTCCGATCCTACATCGGAGCGCACCTTGTTTCACCTCGAAAATTTCGAGTCGAAATGGTGCTCCGTCGAAGGAACCACACAGCGATCATCGGCGAACCCGACGATTTGAAACAACAGGAACCACCTGTCATTAAGCATAAGAAGAGTGCCGTCTGATTTCCACAAGGTACTGCCATGTCGTCTCTGCGTGACGTGACTGCGAAAGGCCCAAAGCACTGTCACGTCAACGTGAACGGCACCGCAATCCTTGCCCTCAAACAGAGACGCGGTGGAGATGCACAGGGTTCGGGGGCGACAATGCGAGCGGCACGCCTTCATTGGCTGGCACTGCCGAAGCGATGGGCACGGAACCAGCGTCCCGGAACGGATCATCGTGGGCCGGGGGGCTGTGATGACGTGAGATGAGAAGACGGGGCCTGGGAGGGCGCCCAAGTCCAGGGCTCTGCAGTGTTCAGTGATCAGTGTTCAGTGATCATTGTTCAGTGTCTACCTACCACCTTGGGTACCTAGGTCCCTGAGGAGGTAGGACGGCCAGTGCGTTGGGCTGAGCTGGCCGGGCGGCCGCAGCAGCTCCTGTGACGCCGCCTGCCAACGTAGGGCTCGGCGGGAGGGGCACATGGGCACATGGGTAGCGGCTGCGCAAGCTGACGAGGGGCCATCCGTCAGCACCAGCGTCAGCTTTCTTTTTTCGTTCCTCTTCCCTTTGTCCATTCCCTCACCTCGAGCAGCGCTGCTGTTCAGACTTGATCTGTCTGTCGCCATCTCTGCATCGTCGTTGGCCATCTGCACAGAAAGACGTTCATCCCATCATCGCGACATCTGCTCCTGAATATACCATCAAACGATCTATAAGCGAAGGCGACGACCCGATTGACCGACGATCCGATTGACTGACGACACGACCGACGACACGACTGACGACACGACTGACGACACGACTGACGACGGCGACGAATGTCCGCCATGCTTCGCAAGAAAGAGGTCTACACGACCATCACGCCCATACCGGGCTTCATCCCCCGACAGCTCGCCATCGACATCCTCCACTCCCACTCCGAAGTCATCACTCTCAACCCCCTCGTGATCGACCACAAGCCCATCCAGGCGCCTCGCGATGCCGCCTCGGACGAGTACTACTCGACCTGGTATGAGATTACCGAGCGCATGCAGTGGGTGCCCGGCCTCGGCAAGATGGGCTCTGGCAAGATCAAGTTCAACGGCTGCTTCCACGACATGCCCTGGGGCCTGCAGACGCACACGTACGCGCCCATGAACGTCGACATCCGCATCAAGTACCGTATCGAGGGCAACCAGCCCGGCATCGAGCCTCCCGTCCACGCCGAGATTGGCCTCGCCGACCTCGGCGTCCCCGCCGACGGCCTCTACCTGCGCGAGGACATTGAGATCAAGTGCAACATAACCGTCATCAGCTACGTCCGCTCCCAGCTCAAGACGGCCTCGAAGGAGATGGTGTCGCGCATCATTAAAAAGGCCGAGCTGCTCGACGCCGGTGTCCTGTCGGCCATGATCCAGGACGGCAAGATCAAGACCATCAACCCCAACGACCGCTCCTCCACCAACGCCAACGCTGCCCTCCTCTCGCCGATCTTTGCGCCCCAGCGCAGCCCGGGCCTCGACGGCCCCGCCTCCCCCGCCATCCCTTACACCGTGCCCCGCGCCAGCACCTACATGGCGGCCACGCCGCCGCCCGGCCAGCGCCCCGGCACCTCGTCGTCGCAGGGCACCCAGTACGCCGAGCTGCCCACCCAGCACCACGCGCCCCAGCAGACCGCCTTCGTCGCCGAGCTGCCGGGCAACTTCTACCACTCCCAGCCCTCACCCGGCCAGCCTTCGCCCACGGCCAACGCCTTCCGCTGGTCCGGCCAGAACCCCAACCAGCCGGGCCCCGGCCAGGCGAGCCCCAGCCTGACGGCCTCGTCGCGCCCGACGTCCATCTCCTCCGAGGCCAGCAGCGGCCAGAACACGGGCTACGCGTCCCCGGCCCTCGACCATAAGGGCTTTGCCTCGGAGCTGTCGACGCACCCCGAGACGCAGGAAGAGTATCGTCCGCCCCAGCAGCAGCAGCAGCAGCAGCAGTATTACCCTCCTGATGTGCACAAGTTCGACCCCGGGCAGCACCGCGTCACGGGCCCGCATGCCTATCAGTATAACCCTGCCGATTACGCGCCGCGGTGAGCAGCGTTCCTACCTTGGAGCTTTGTTTTGCGGATTCGCGTATGCTGGAGTGACGTACGCTCGCTATGGTTAAGGAACGTTGGAGTCTTCATGTTTGGGGTTCACGGATGATACCGCTCTGTTGTTTTGTCATTTTTGTTCTTCAGTCATGATTCTTGGGTGCAATCGATTCTGGATTCGGTCGTTGGGCTGCTGGTCATCTAGGCGCACATAATACCAATCACTTTTGACTCTCGTCTTATGCCTCACACTCGGTGTGACATGTGTAGTAGTAGGTAGTGATGGAATCGACTTGACCACGCAGTCAAATGGTTCTCGCCACAAAACCAACCCTGACAGAACAACTCAGGCCAGGACAGTCCCTACACCGCAAGGCCATGGCAGCAACCAACTGAGATCATCGCGCCTGCCGCTCAGCCCTGTCCACCCACCTAACCGCCACACGCCGACCACGAAGCAGAGCACCCCGCTCCCCCCTCCAAAAAGAGAAGTGCATACACAAGTCGCAAACCAAACACGAAAAGAATAGCCAGCTTTGCTGCAGAATGCCGCCCTTTATATAGTTTCCGTCATGGCCGTGCCCCTTTCAGTCCCACGGCACGCGCCCCCGCATCTACGTCCTTCGACTGCGCGTCGAGCGTGCCGGAGGGGGTGCTTCTTTCGCCTTCTTCGGCGGCGGTGCTGCTCTTGGTGTCGCGGTGGCCTTGCGCTTTGCGGGAGCGGGCGCCTCTTCGACTGGTTCGGCGGTCCTGGCCGCTCGCGACGGGTGTGTCGCTGGCGCGGCGCTGGGGGCGGCTTTCGCTGGGGCCGGCTTTGCTCTGGAGGGCTTGACGGGGGCAGCTTTTGCGAGAGCCTTCCTGGGCACCCTCGTCGTGGGCGCGGCTGTCGCGGCAGCCTTTGTGGGTTGGGGGGCCATCTCTGGCGCAGGCTCTGGCTTGGCGGCGGCCTTTGCAGCGGCCTTCTTGGCTGGGGCCTTGGGCGCAGCATTCGTCTTTGCACCAGCCTTGGTCTTCGCAACCTTGGTCTTCGCAACCTTGGTCTTCGCAGCCTTAGTCTTCGCACCCTTCAAGACCGTCGCCCTGCCGCCCTGCGTCGCCCCAGTACTCGTCCAGATGCTCGGCGCCGTAGCCGCGGACAGCGTCCTCGGGCTCCCATGATTTCTGCGCCGATCCGATCCATGCGACGTGGAGGAGCACGCTGCCGTCGGGCTGGACCTTGTGGCCTGCGACGTGGAGCACGTGCCACATGTCCGGGTCGGCCATGGCGGCGGCGCGCCCGCCCTTGACGGAGCGCCAGTACTTCCACAGCGCGGCGGGCGCGTCCTCCTGAACGTTGGCCTCTGGTTCCCAGGAGAACTGGTCTTTGGGGTCTTCCGTGTCCCACTTGACGCGGACTTCGAAGAGAGTCTCGTCGTCTGTGGCTTGGCGGTGCTCGACAATGTCCTCAATCTCGAAGACTTCCGCGCCGTCCTTGGTCATGGGCTGGAGGTTTTCGCCGTTGTTGGCCTCGGCCTCGGCCTCGGACGCGTCGTCGGTGGCAGCTGGTTCTGAAGCGACTGGTGTCTCCGCCTTGGGCTTGTCGGTCTCTTCGGCGGCGGTTTCCTCGGGGGCCTCCTCCACAGCAGATTCAGCAGCGTGGTCTGGGTGCTCGGTCTCTTCCCCGTTGACCTCGGCCTCCTTCGTCTCGACATCGTCTGCCACCTCTGCACCGGCAGGAACATCTAGCGATAGGTTAGTGACAATTCGACTGACGCGGACAGAATCGTTGGCGCACCTCTGACCGACGGAGGGCTCTCCACCGCGCCCTCGAGCGAATCGCGAAGCTGGTCCTCGGGCTCGACAGCCGTGCTGTTCGCCTTGACCTCGACTTCCTCCACAACCGTCTCCTCGGTCGCCACAATCGTCTCGCCTGCAGGCCCCTCCGTCTCCACAACAGTCTCGGTGACCGTGGCGCTATATGTCGCGATAGGCTCAGCTTCTGGCGCCTCTGCATCGGCCTCGTCTGCCGCAGGCTCTTCGGCCTCTTCGATGTCGTTAAAGGCCCTCTTGCGTCCGGCCGCGACAGACGGGCTCGTTGGATCGGGCGTCGCATTGTTCCCGCCGCCGCCACCGCCAAAGGCACTGCGCACCGAGTTCCAGATGACGCCGCCGATCGAGGCGGGCTCCTCGGGGACTTCGGGCTGGGGCGTGGGCGTGGGCGGGGGCTTGGGCGCATCGTCCTCGATGGGTGCCGTGGGCGAATCGTCCTCGATGGGCGCCATGGGCGCCATGGGAGCCAGGGGCGCGACGGGCGCGGCGTCGACCGAGGTGGATCGAGACTTGTCGTGGGCGTCCGAGGGAGCGGCCGAGGCCGAGGCGGCGCGCGGGTTGTAGCCCAGGTCGCGAGACGGCGGCCTGCGCACGGGTGAGGCGAAGGCCATGGTGCGCTTGTGGGGGGCGGTGAAGTTGGCCGAGGTGACAGGTCCGGACGCGCCGTCGTCGGACGCGACAGACCTGAAGCGCTTGGGAGGGCGGGTCGACTGTGAGGTGGCGGGCATGTTGGAAGGACCGGGTCGCGGGCGGTGCAGTGTGGTTTGCTTGGTGTGAGGTAGTCGGGGCGTCGTTGCTGCGGCTGCGGCGTCACTAGGTTTCGCCATGATGGGTGAGGGGGCAAAAGTCGCGTTGTTGCTTGTAGTACGTGGGGATGTATGTGGCGCTGTACATGTAAGCTGTGGTACGTGGTGGAGATACAGGTAGAACCTTCGGCGAAGGTATCTCGAGATGCAGGGGACACTGCAATGGCTGAGCACAAGCCGGCACGAGGTGAATTGATGGCTGGCTGGGATGGTGAAGCGACGTGACGAGTGGGTTGATAGAGAAAGGAGTGGGTGGCCGTGTCGTGTTGTTTCGTTCGTGGTGTTGTGGATTTAACTTTGGCGCCTGCTCTGGCAAGTTCCTGGAGCTGCGTTCCTAGTACCATGTACTCTGGTAAGGTAGGTAGGTACTCTTGGTACAGGTACTCTTGGTACAGATACTCTTGGTACCTCGTGGTACCTGCTGGCAGTGCCCACCGAGCGGTACCTACTACCTGTACCCACTGCTGCTCATGCGACTGATTATGCTGTCGAGACCTGCTGAGTCAGCGACCCGGCGACCAGACTGCCGGTCTGCGCGTGCGTCTGGGGAACGATCCCCTGTGCCACAGGGGGTCGCCCGCTCAATGCAGCGCCAGGCCAATGCACGTTTTTCTTCTCGCTGTTGGTCCTGGTCATTGGCAGGGGAGCACAGGTAATGGACGGTAATGGATATCTGGACAAAAAGTAGGAATAAAGTCACTCATACAGTCCGACCCCTCCAGCTGTCATTATCATGTATTCGGCCCAAACCAGAGGCTTATCGGTAACTTCACGAGAGACCACGACAAAGCGGTAATCCACAAATCATGTTCAACAATCACCTCTCCATGACACCAGCGTCATTCGTCGTACCATTTCATCGAGAGATGAACTGGGTATTCACCTCAAAAAGCGACAGACAAACTCGCGCGAAATCAGACCGCTCTAACAACACGACGCCCTACTGCCCAACCCATCTCACGCACTCGCCCTACCAAACTTGACATTATCAGACGATCGCACACTCCAGACCTTCCTGCCCGTCGCCTTACGACGCGCCGCAATCCACGTGAGCGCCACGACCAGCGGCAAGCCGATCCCGACACCGACGCCGACACCGATCCCCCACCTCTTCTGGCTCGCGCCAAGGTCCCGCGCAGACGCCCGTCGCCTGTCCGCGAGCAGACCCTTGAGCTCCGCATCCGCTAGCAGAAAGTTGTGCGAGAAGTCGGCCGGCCCATCCAATGACGCGCCCGGCTGCGAGATGGTGATGACGTTCCGCCAGGTGCGGGCCATGAGCCACGCCGCCTCGATCGTCACGTTGGGCATGCGGTTCGCCTGGTACTCGTCTAGTATCGTCTGCGGCGTGAAGCGGTATGTGCCCGACATTCTCTTGTTGGCTGTCAGGTCTTGCGCCGGCCCTGCGTCAGTTTTCTTGGTCTTTCTCCCTGGACCACCGCTCACGCCACTGGAGCCAAAGGCAGGGGGGAAGAATACTCACTGGTTTCGTAGATGGTGCGCAAGCTTTGATCATCCTCCTTCTCCGGCATCTGGTCCGGCAAGCCGCTGAGCCAACGGATCGTCACGGGAAGCGACCCGTTGGCATGCCGCCAGGCAATTTCATACCCAGGCTCGGAGTCTAAGAGGGCCGTTCTGCCGCCGCCGTCGCCTACCCACAACGAGCTGGCGCCCTGCGGCCAGTGGCAATCATCGCCAGAGGGCCTGAAGGCATCGTCTCTGCACCATTTGAACGACGACAGGCAGATACCGTCGCTAGCGCATTGCGAGTCGAATGCCGGATCGTATGCTGCCGCTGCCAAACCCAATAGGGTGAAGAAGGACACAATGTTTCGGATGAACTGCATATTGAGGAGTTGCTCCTAGGTTGGGAAAGGGTAATTCTGTCGATGGGGCTCATAAGCTCAAGATGGCCGCGCTGGATTCGGATGCACCATGTATACACCGAGAAGAGAGGCCGCCGCGCCCTTATGATGCAATGCTCTGCGTCATGTAGAAAATTGTGCCCGGATCCGAACGCTGTGCCATTCGGCCAGGCGCCGACCTCCTGATTGGCAGTCAATCGAGAGGAATCTTGGCTTCCAGGCGAAGCCTTCCCACGCGTTGATCTCGTGGTGTGCCTGTAGCAAGCGTCCATGGTAGGGCTGCCAACGAATGCCGTTGATTGGTTGAGATAGGGTTGATGCGACCATAAGCAGCATGTATTGAATCGAATTGCCTGCAATCACTGGAAGGACAGACCGGTGCCCAGCTCCTTGCGGCCGTCGAGCGACCCTGTCAGCTACACAAATGTAACCAGCCTGATGTCTGAATTGTAATTCGTATAATGGATCCATTCGCGGAACAAATGCCCCGCGCGGCGTCAGTGTATCGCGTGCTTGAAAAGCGAGCGTATCGGGGACATCCTTGTTGTTTTGTCGTGACACGGCCTCTGATCGCTACATCCTGGAGCTGGGAACCCCCACGTCTGGCAGATTCCAAAGCCTGTCGTAAACCTGGAATTGCGAGAACAGGTCGTCGAGCAGAATCTGCTCGTCGTTGGACGCCGATGGCTGGGAGAAGAACGGCGGATCAACTTGGCTGACCAGTCGTGTTTGCTCGTCTGGCCAGGGCTGCACAAACTTTGTCGTGACATGGAGCGTAGATCTCGGATCATCAGCGGCAGACGTCGCTGCCAAGGGCGACGAGCCATCGCCTGCGCCGTAAGAGGGAGGCGACACGAGAATGTCCCAGAAATACCCTTGGTCAAATGTGATGGTGGAACTATCGGGTCGGCTCTCGGCAGCCGAGTGAAGCTGGCGGAGAATGTTCAACTAAGGCCATGTCAGTCGCCCATCGGACGACGCCGCGCTTGGACGCTGCCTCACCTTGTGGCGTATATGCGGCCATTTGACGGAGAGGCGTTCTAGGAATCGTTCGCAGAGGTACAGGCCTTCGCGAGCCTTGGAGGCCATCTGTTGATCCTGGGAAAACTGGAACAGGCAGGGGATGATTGCCGTGGCTGCGACCTGATGCCCCATCAGGGGGTCGTTTATCTCCAGTCCCATCTCCTCAAAGGTCTGTAGTAAACGGATCACCCATCCGGTATGAAAAAGTGACTGGTCAATGATATGCTGCATGAAAAGCTTCGGTTGGGCCCTGCACTCGCGGCCTCGCAAGGCCACTAGGTGGAGGAAAGGATGATTGAGAACCGTGAGGGCTGCGTGGGACGTGAGCTGCATGATCGTCCACGGCGACCAGTATTCTCCGTAGGAATGAAGCTCGGACGGAGAGCGTTGCTTGACTAGTATGTTCTCGAACCGGTGGGGAGGCGCGAGATCCAGCTCAAACTGGTGCAGCTGGACCTGGATCTGGGAGTACGTCGAGTTGGAGGACCACGGAACTTCCGTCTTCCCTTTGCGAATGCTGCTCAAGTATGCACAGATATCTCCCCAGATGGAAATGATCTGGACGCTCGACGACACGATGCCTGCTTTGGGGTCCTGGGTCTGTTGGTGGCCGATCTGGACCGCCTCGAACGCCGGCTCAGAGACACCTGGTAGCAGGCAAGGATTTGAGGGTAAAGCCGGGGCGTCATCTTGGCTACTGAGCACAGTATATGTTGGGGAGAAAGCCTTTTCGAGGATGAACACGCTCCAGTAACATAGGGCATCAACGTCAGCATCCTCGGTGTCGGAGGCTGCCGGCGATGCTTGTCGAATCAATACGCGCAGCGTCTTCAATCGTGAAGCGGTTCCAATAGACATCTCAGCTCGCGTTGAATTTCTGTCTGCGCTACTAGATCAGCCCCAATCGCTGACATCGTGTTAAGCGGGAATCTTACTCATAATGTCGCAAAGTACTAAGATGCAGAGAGATTGGACAACTTCTGGGTCTGCTTTGCCTTCTGAAGCTAGCTTAGTCACGCATCCTTGTGCTGAAATCATATAAAATTCGGACGCCACTGCTTCATTCCCGTTGTAAAAGGGGTTGTCTAAGTAACGAAGACATAAGGCGAAAAGGCTCCATCGAAGGAACTCAGGGAAGCCTGAAATTCTCTTGCGAAGCTCCCGAGGCTTAAAAAGTGGTAACGGCTGGAAGTAAATCTTGGTTTCGTAGATACCGAGAACGCAGTCGATCACTTCAGCAGGCGGATTCGGGTTCGCTGGAGACCTGCAGGAGTCGGATTCAGCTCGCAACCTCACCAGGGTCGGTGGTTCACTGGGTCTACAGGTACCCACCATACATGATTCTGAGATATCGGGCTCGAGGCAAAGTTGGGAGACGGAGAAACTATGACGGACCCGCTGGCTGAGGAGTTGCGCCTCAAGTCGCGGTCAGGCGAGGACCTGGAGCTTTGGAGTGTTTTGCCGTCGTCGCCCAGGTTGGTGAGTGATCTAATGTGGAGGCATCAGCTTGAGCATTGAAAACATTCGCGACTAAGAAGAGACCGAACTGTAGGATGTCATAGATCTGGCCAACTTTAGACTCCAGATTTCTGACCCTTTTTATCGATGAACTGTTTAGTTGCGAATGTTCGCTGCGACAGCTCTAATCATCGCAAGGGACCAGGGGAGGACAGTACTCGGATGATTTTGTGACCCGGCCTGCATCTACATCCACAATTCTCTGGTGTCTGGGCAGGTAGTTGCATGGTTGCTTGAGCCTGATACAGAAAGAACAAGCAGGCTTTTCTGCGGGACACTTCGTCTTCTTCCGCCTATTTGGTGTGTAAGTGCGTAAGTGACGTTCTAGTGGGACTTGCTATAGCAAGAAGATTTAAGACGAGAGTGTTTTACCTGCAAGGCTCACAGGCCTGCCGTGTCTTTGGATCTCCCGAGGCGATGTGGGAAGCCATGTTGGGCAGCCGGGGTCGAGGCGTTTTCGAACAGAGGTGTATACCGCGTCGCCGCGCCCGGGGCTATGGGGACGGTGGGAGGATTATGGGGGCCTTGTCTTGGGCCGGGAAACTGGGCACGTGAGCGGATTCCGTCCCCAGTGTTCTATCAGTACCTACCAGGTACCTACACACCTACCTAGACACCTAAGGTAGGCAAGCTAGGTAGCTCAGGTACCTTATCTCAGGTAAGGTCGCCAAAATGAACACAGTCACTTGAGCGGAATCCGAGCATTTCTCTTGTCCGGACCATAGGTACCTACCAGGTACCTACAATCATGCGTGGCTGGAACATCTATCGACGCTGACAATGTCTTACAAGATGCAGTCCGAGGGGATTTGAACATGACCATAAGTCATGAGATACAATTTGTACTGTGCCACCCATTGCAAATGGCCGAAGTCTCGCACAACCACAAAGGACAACACACTGAGCTGCTGTCACAGGAGTCTTCCGCCGAATGAAGGACGGCAACTGTTGATGGGGGTCCCTAATTGAGTAGAATAATTGGTCCGGTTCGCTTACTGCATGACGTCGGCCCTCCTTATACGTAGCCCCGCGAAACAGTTGCCCCCTTTCGCCGAAACTCACTCGTCAGGCAACATGCTGACCTGCTGCATGGCTTAGGTATTGCGAGGACACTTAGCTTGGGTTGCCTGTTGGGTTGCCCTCACTGCTTGGGCCGAAGAAATGGAGAAGATCTGTGGTCATGACATCAAAATCGAATTCGTGCATGTTCTGTTCCCCGGATAGCGTCGGATTGCCGCCAGTGGCGTGGCTTTGATCCCAGAGATCAGTCAAGTGGATGTGTTGGTCGGTGGAATTGGCGTCGTGAGTATGCGGCAAACAAGGGAATTGGGAAGTCAGATTTCCTGCCATCCCCGGCGTTGAGGCAGCCGGGCTGTTCTGGTGCGCAATGGCCTTCTCAACAGCTTTTAATATCTGCTGAAGGGAGTCCTGCGCCAGCGTCGCAGGTGCATCTTGAACCATGAGGCCGAGACAATCGAGGGCGCTCTGTACATACTCGAGGTGGTGAGGATGCTTTGACGGGGACCACAGACTGTCATGCAATAGCACAGCGCAGTTGCACTCCAGGAAGTAGGCGGTGTACCTCATGGCCTTTCCACTCATGGTCAGCCATCCACTGCAATGCGAAGAACCTCAACTCGTGAGTCTCACCCTGCAGACGTGCTCTTCGGCAGAGTTGCGGATCACGCTTCCAATGTAAACGATCGAATCTTGTGCTGCGTCAACAGCATGTCTGCACGCCTGTCGTAACCACATGCCTTCGGCCTGGCGCTTACTGGCACTCATTGCGGCGCTGGCGACAAGAAACGGCCGAAACGTGTGCAAGATCGCGTGGTAATAGACTGGATGTTCCCTTAGCATCTGCTTGTGTTTTCAACACGGGGGCTGTGGGGGGACGCTCAGGGCGTTGGATGACATGAACGTACGGGAATGAATCTGAAGCAGCTCAGGCTCTCTCAAGGTTTGTGAGCCACATGGACTGTTCGACGGTCCTATGCTGAGCCGATCCGCAAACTGCTTCAGCTCACCATGAATCCTTTCCGCTACTCGGTAGAGCTGATGGAGCGATTCGCATCGCCGCCCATAGATATGCTCCGTTCCATTCTCAATAATGTGCGCTAGCTGACACAGCGCAACGATGACTGGCTGGTGCTCAGGAAACGGGCACGATATGTCTACAATGCTCATTGCCGTTTTCCTCCCAAGCGTAAGTGCCGTCCAGCTACGGTGGCAATGGCTTTAGTAATGATCCGTCACCCAGTGGCTGGATGAGATTCTTCGCTTACGTTTCATGAAAATACAGACACCAAATGGTGGCTATGCGCTCCTGAACGCTCTCAGCCTTCATTGACGGTGCAGTGATGTGTCGATGCAGACCCATGGAAAAAGCGTTTCGGCATGCTGTTCCGAGGTGGATGTAGGCCGAATTTGGCCGAGCCATATTGATCTGATATCCGGAGAGCAGGACCGAGAACTGTATCATGGAAAGAGTGACAGCTTCGTCAAAGAAGACGGCCTCACGCTTGGCCAGCGCGTAAAGATACTCGGCCTGTTCCGTGTGCGGTGAGCTGAGAGCACCTAGTGCCAGAACCGCCAAGGCAATCGCTGTTTTCTGGGGTGGGAAGTCGGGCTTAGGATCAATGGCATGTAATTGCCGAGAAATCCCGTTGATCTCGGCACTTGTCAAGAAAGGGTAGATATGGAGATGAGAAGTCTTGAAGGTGTCCAAAAAATGGTCCAATTGATCCAATGGAATATGCCGCGTCAGGTCGGAGAACGAGGGCAAAGAGGCATTTGGTTTCACGCGTTGAGGTGCTCCAAAGAATATCGACCGTTGCATGAACAAGTCGAGCCCCGGACCTCCTTCCTCGACGTCGCCGCCCCGGCGGAGACTACGCGCAGTCTTAAACAAGATTCCCCTGTGAAGCTGTTGCAAGAAGGCGAAATTGGAGGATGGCCCATAGAACAGCTGAGAGCTATCAGTAGACTGGGGCGCCTCATGAGTCGCGACAATGCTGGCATAAGGATAAAGATCGTGGTCGCCAGATGCTTGGCCGTCTTCTGTAAGCCTAGTGTGATCATGGTCTTGATATCGCTCGTCAGACAGCTGACGAGCTGTTTCTTCTGGCCGAGAAGATGGTGCCGGATATCTTTCCGACGCCCTGGCACCGAGGTCCGCAGTTGCTGCTGTCGCCAGGTTCGACTCGGTCTGCCTCCGCGCCCTCGACCGTCTGATCCGGGTTCTATCTCTGTAGGTGCATTGGGAGGGATTCTTTTGGCAGCCGATCTGCGAACATGGTTGTACCCCATCACATTTGACCTTACGGCGCCGACAGGGCTCGCAAGCTTTGCCTGTTTTTGTGGTTCCCTGCTGAGGGTCGTCTTCCTCGATCTCATGCGCGACAGGCGACATGGCCGCTGGATATATTTCGCGACTCGGTCTTTCAGTATGCGCCAGTGGATCTGTTGACAGAATTTGTTGCATATGCTCCGAAGTGTTGCACAGGACTCAGAGAACAACGCAGAGAGAGAAAGAGTGCCGAGGGTCCATAAATCCGAGTTCGGCTGCTATGACTCGCGTTGCCGAGATGACTGTCATTGCCCAGCTCACTGTACTCCCCCCGTAAACCCGTAAATCCGACTCGTGACGCGACGACCCAGTTCAGTGGTGGCAGCAAGAGAAATCCTCCTCAAAGTGCAACAAAAGTACTTCAGGCCCCGAGATTCGGGATCTTTTTTGAAGAAGATGAGTTATCGGATCCACTAGCCTCTGGCGGATTCTCCAGAAGCCCTCTTAAAGACCCAGGACTTTCCTGGTGCATGTTTTCCGAGGAGCCATGTTCTTGTACGGATCTCATTTTCGGCGCGGCCCACGGACCATCAGCGATGTCCAACATGCACGATAGCACGTCGAAACGCCTGACTGTCACCTTCCGCGGTGTGGATATAGTGGTCCATGGCCTTGGTGAGGATTTCGGCTCAACCTGTGCGTCGGTAATCAGCGACTTGATTCCTTTCAAAAATGGCTCAACATCGCAACGAGTTAGTGTCCTGTCCCAATGATATATTTCGAGAACCTAACATGACCATGTAGACCATACTGCATCAAGTCTCGGGCCAGGTCCGGCCAGGGGAGATGGTGAGGTTACTTTGATGCCCCTGGTCCGTACACTACGCTGACTGTTGTGAAAGCTTCTTGTACTTGGACGGCCTGGGTCTGGTTGCACCTCCTTATTAAAAGTCATTTCAAACAGCCGGGAAGAGTTTCATGCTGTCAATGGCGACGTACGATATGGCGACATTGACGCAAAGCACGCAAAGCGTTTCCGCCAGTACATGGTGATGAATACCGAAGGTGTGTTTGATACTTGCAGCATCAAAAAAAGCCTTGATGGAAGGTGTCGCGGAGGCTGACCCTCTTATAGATGATCTTCATTTCCCGACTCTGAAGGTAGCGGAGACAATTGACTTTGCTGCATCGACAAAAGCAACCAAAGCCAAATTTCAAACCTCTGAAATGGCGACAACGTCGATAGACAAAGGTGTCAAATCAACCTTGGAGACTCTCGGTATTGCCCATACAAGTGACACTGTCGTCGGCAATGAATTCATCCGAGGAGTTTCGGGCGGTGAGCGGAAACGAGTATCAATTGCAGAAGTCATGGAAACAGGAGTACGTCCTTCGCCCAAACTCATAGCAGGCACATTTGGGCTAACACCATGATAAAGGCCCCTTTGCAATGCTGGGATAACTCGACCAGGGGCCTCGACGCAAGTAATGCGCTTGACTTTGTCAAGGCTTTGCGCCGCGCCGCCAATGAGCAGCAAAAGTCCATTGTGGCCACTCTGTATCAAGCTGGAAACAGCATCTACTCTCAGTTCGACAAAGTCCTCCTCTTAGCCGAGGGCCGTCAGATCTATTATGGGTCCACGAGAGACGCAAGAAAATATTTCGAAGACATGGGCTTCTTGAGCCCACCTGGAGCTAACACCGCCGACTTTCTTACTTCTGTTGTTGTCGAAACAGAAAGGTTGATCCGATCTGGGTTTGAGGATAGTGTACCTCAATCCGCTCCCGAATTTGAGACCCGTTATCGAAATTCCGCCATGTATCGCCAAATGATGGAAGACATTGATCTTGTTTCGAAGGAATCATTGAGCGAGGAAATCAGGACTCTCAACAGCGTTTGCAGACTTGAAAAGACACGCACAATCGAAGCCCTGTCGAGGTATTCAAGCCCCTATCACGTCTCTTTTCTGCGACAAGTCGGGGCTTGCACGAAGCGGTAATGCCCCGAATATCTCTGGGGAAACTTTGAGGGGCGTGAACTAACGCCTCGCAGGCAGTTCCGGATCATATGGGGAGACCGCTGGTCCAACTGCCTTCAAATTGCGTCGTCATTCTGTTTCGCCCTGGTCACAGGAAGCTTGTTCTATAACTTGTCAGACACCAGCGACTCCGTCTTCATGAAGCCCGGCGCGTTGTTCTATCCCATTCTTCTCTTCGCGATGAACAAATTGTCCGAGACGACAGTGTCATTCACAGGTCGACCTATCATTGCGCGCCACAAGCGACTTGCATTTCATCGGCCTGCTGCTCACGCCATGGCTTGTGTTATAACCGACATACCGCTTGTCGTGGCCTTGTTTACTCTATTTCATATTATCTTTTACTTCATGGTGGGCCTCCAACATGAAGCTGGCAAGTTTTTCACGAATTGGCTGATTTATGTCTTGGCGACGCTGTGCTTCACTTCACTCTTCAGGATGATCGGAGCTTGTTGTAGGCACTTTGGGTTCGCGTCGCAGATTAGCGGATGGGTTATCATGGCGATGATGGTTTACGGAGGTTGGTTTCCACCTGACGAAGTTTGCAGAGATTCGTTTGCGCTAAAAAGACAACCAGGATATCTCATTCCTGTTGCCAGCATTCACCCGTGGTTCCGCTGGATCTGGTACATCAACCCGGCGGCATACGCCTTCAATGCCGTTCTGGCTAGCGAAATGGGCACAATGACTTTGACATGTGTCGAGCCACAATACGTACCGTTTGGTAGCACGTATAACGAGAGCGCTTACAGAAGCTGCACTGTCGCAGGCTCTGCCCCTGCTTTGCAACTGATTGACGGCGAGTCCTTCCTCCAGGTGCAGTATCGCGCAATGGTGTCCGAGATCTGGCGCAATGTTGGGATCCTGGTTGCTTTCTGGTTTCTATTTGCCCTCTTAACCGCGTTGGCTTCCGAACTCAACATCCACAGGGATACCGGCTCTAGTATCTTATTTCACCGACGCAACCAGCGGAAGGAGATGTCTCGACTTCAGGACAGCGAAGAGGCTGCCAAACGCCAGCCTGCTACTTCCGACTCTGAATCAGAAAACAAGACATCGCATCTTGTACAAACTGTTTTCACATTCAAGGACATCAGCTACTATGTTCGTCACCAAGGCCGCGAAAAGCAGCTCCTAAAAGACGTGTCGGGATTCGTCAAACCGGGACAACTGGTGGCCCTCATGGGAAGCTCCGGCGCCGGGAAAACGACACTCATGGATGTGCTCGCGCAGCGCAAGGATGGTGGCAGGATCGAAGGTAGTATTATGGTCAACGGCAAGCCGCAAGGGATCAGCTTCCAGAGAACGACAGGATACTGTGAGCAGAATGATGTCCACGAACCCACCGCCACCGTCTTGGAGTCTTTGCTGTTTTCTGCTAGATTGCGACAAAGCTTTGGCACCCCGGACAGTGACAAGGTCCAACACGTTCAACACATCATGGACCTGCTCGAACTAACGTCTCTCAAGCACGCCCTTGTCGGCAGTAAGTTGAAATCCCTATTTTGAACTACAAGATCTGATCAGCTACATAGATCCTGGCTCTGGGTTATCAATCGAACAGAGAAAACGCCTGACACTGGCTACGGAGCTTGTTGCCAAACCCTCGCTACTGTTTTTGGATGAGCCGACATCTGGATTAGACGGACAGTCGGCCTACCAAATCTGTCGATTCATGCGAAGACTCGCAGCCTCTGGCCAAACCATCATTTGCACGATCCACCAACCCTCCGCCGCCTTATTTGAGGCTTTTGATGTGCTTCTTCTGCTCACAAAGGGGGGAAAGACGACTTATTTTGGTCCCACCGGAAAGAACTCCGACATAGTTCTGGATTACTTTTCTAGAAACGGCGCTCCATGTGATTTGGATGCAAACCCCGCTGAGCATATTGTTGATGTTGTACAAGGAAGGTTTGGACCTGAAATCGACTGGGCGCAGACCTGGATTGATTCGCAAGAGAGAATATCAGCGATGCAAGAACTGGAGCATCTGAACAAACCGGGTAACTTCCATATCAGCGGCACTCAGATTTCGGACGAGGACGAGAAAAACAATGACGACATCTTGGACTTCGCCGCGCCTCTATTCTATCAAGTTCGTCTGGTAACCAGGCGCCAAATGGTTGCACTCTGGCGGAATCCAGACTACGTCTGGAACAAAATTGGTTTGCACGTCAGCAACTCCCTCTTTGGCGGTTTCACATATTGGATGATTGGAGACGGCTTGTTCGATTTGCAGCTTCGGTTGATGGCCGTCTTCAACTTTGTCTTTGTCGCCCCTGGATGCATTAACCAGCTTCAACCACTGTTCCTCCGCAACAGAGACATCTTCGAGACCCGAGAAAAGAAGTCCAAAACTTATCACTGGTTTGCCTTCATTATGGCGCAGCTCATATCCGAGATACCCCTTCTCATCTTATGCGGAACCCTGTACTTTGCTTGCTGGTATTTCACCGCTGGGTTTCCCGTGGAAGCCAGCATTTCTGGCCAGGTATATCTTGAAATGATCCGTGAGTCTAGGAAACCTTCCATTTGATGCACACTGATAATTAATGTGATCTTTCCAGTTTACGAGTTCTTGTACACCTCAATCGCACAAGCAATTGCAGCTTACAGCCCGAACGAGTACTTTGCTGCTCTTGCAAATCCCCTGATAGTCGGAACCGCTCTGATCAACTTCTGTGGAGTAGTTGTGCCATATGCGCGCATACAAGCTTTCTGGCGCTACTGGCTGTACTACTTGAATCCCTTCACATATCTCATGGGTGCACTGCTCCAGCCCGTTATCTGGGATGTTGAAGTAGAGTGCAAGGCTTCCGAGCTGACTCACATCGATCTGCCCCAGAACACGACCTGTGGGGAGTACATGGATGAGTTCTTGGCCATCAATGCAGGATATGTTACCGATATCACCAATGAGACCAGCTGTGCATACTGTCCCTATAGCACAGGCGCAGACTATCTGCGGACCATGAACATCAACGGAAAATACTACGGATGGAGAGACGTAAGTTCAAAAGGCCGGAAGAGTAATGCATGTGACTAATCCTGTTGACCAGGTAGGTATTACGGCCTTATTTTGTATCAGCTCGTATGGCTTGGTGCTCCTGATGATGAAGCTCAGAACAAAGGCAACCAAGACTGCCAAGTAATGAGCACGAGGATCTTCCGGACGAGAACAAGTTTGATCAGCTGGACGGCGGTGAAGATGAGTTCTACAAGAATCAGATGGACTACTGGTACTGGATTGATGACGCTCAGTGCAGCGGACCGCGGCACACAGCGGATCAGCCAAACACCAAATTTTACAACCACGGAATCGGATCTCTACGTGGATTTGAAACGCTGGAGATACTATTATTGGACGTGAAGGTATTTCTCGGTGCACGAAGTGATGGGTGTGGTTCACTGTTCACTGAGCTTGCGTGGGAGCCGCCTGATCGTCTTGTCAATGCGCTACCTCCGAATCTGGTCACACTGACGCTTTACGACTATGCTAAGAGGAACAATCCCGCGGTTGACGCACTCGTCGTCCAGCTACTGAACACGAAGAGTGGAGACGAGCCCAGGTTGGAGGCCATCTATAGCTTTGATAAGGAGTTGCCTTGTAAAGATCGAGAAAGGACAGCGACCACGGCGAAGAAGATGAGACCCACGAGGCTGACAGTGACTGATAGCCAATTGTAAGTGAACAGAGCAATAGAATTTCTACAAACCTCAACCCGTTAAACGCCAGTGCAATATCCCATGTTGCTACTCAACCAGTCCTGATTTGTGCCCACGTTATGCTCCGAAGTCTCAGTTGAAAGACCGATATGTCTCCTCCGTCACAAAGCCCACCATACACTTGAGCGCAATCTTGGCCGCCGCCGTCGCCTGCCTCTGAAGGACCGTCTCCCCGAGCGCCCAGTACCCTTCAGCAAGCACCTTCAGCGCCTTGATCGTCTCAAACGTCACCACACCCGTCTGCGACTTGAAGACCCACAGCGTCGACTCGTCACCGCCAACCTCGCCGTCCATGTTCCTCAGCGGGTCGATGAACCCAAAGTTGCGCAGCACCTCCAACGCCCACCTAATGGCCTTCTTCCAGGCCTTCCTGGTGCGGTACACCTCCATGAACCACATGGAGGGCCAGATCATCATCATGCGAGGAAGCGTCCTGTAGATCTCTGGCTCAAAGAGGTTGTCGAGCCGTTTGTGAAGGCGTTCGATTTCTCGAATCATGGCATCGGACTGGTAGACGCGAGCGCTCATGTTCTTCTTGCGCAAATTCGCCTCCAGCTCGCGCAATGCGACGATGCGCTTCTCGTGCATCTCCTTAGGGCTCTTGCCTTCGCCGGCGCACATGTCACACGCGCACTTGAAGCCCCAACTCTTGCGGTACTGTTCAAGACGCTGGAGGTAGGCGGCCTTTGGGGGCAGGTAGATCTGCGTGATCTCGGTGCCGGCAGGAATGTCGACGACAGCAATGGAGATGAGCATGTCCCCAACAAAGGACCGGTTCGAGTTGGGCTGGCACGAGTGGTTGGAATAGGCGGAGTAGACCCAGAGGCCTCGGCTCATACCCTGCTTCCACATGTCCCAGTTGGCGTTGGCAGCCTGAGCGGATACGTGTGTTCCGCTGAAGCAGTTCTTGCGACGAATCGACTCCAGGAGGTAGACATCGACGACATGCTTGCCATCAATGACCTCGCTCTCGCGGCCGCTGCGCTTGTACGTTCCGCCGTAGAGGCCAAGCACCTTCTCGTGCACAGAGGGGTTGTCGTTGCAGCGCTCGACGAGCTGGGCGTAGGCAGCGGCGGCGTTGTGTTCGGGGTGAAACTCGTTGGGCACGCATGTCGACTTTTCCGCGTAGATAATCTCGCCTGCTTTAATGTCGCGTGTAGCGAAGAGGCCGCGACCGTGGTGTGGTGAATCGCGGACCTCAGTCTTCGTGATGTAACTTGCCTTGTCAAGGTGGATGTTTTTGGAGGTTACGGACTGAGCGATTGTCGCAAAGTCGTAGTTGCCGTTCTCAGACTCATCCACGCGCGCCAGGCATCTCTTGTACTCCTTCTCAATCTGAGGTGTTGGGGGCTTAATGGCAATGGACGCCTCAAAGTGCTGCTTACTGACATCGAAGAATGTGAGTTCGTAGGCTGCGCGCGCGGCGATGAAGTAGGACTTCCAGTCTGTGGGACCTCCAAGAGAGGCGAGGGCATCGGCCATGGCGCCGTCGTAACACTTTAGTGTGAGCTGAACACCGGCCCTCTTCAAGCACAAGTCGGATCTGAACTTCTCATCGTCCGCAGGGGCCAATTCGAGGGCTCTCGTGTAGCTGGCAGATGACGATTAGCACATGCGTGTACGAGTTTCTACCCAAAGTAAGGGGGACTCACTTTGCCATGGCCAAGGGATAATTCCTCGCCATATATGCCTTGTCGCCAGCTTCTCTCCACTGAGGCGCCTCTTTGAGCTCTTCACCAGTTCGGAAGACGTCTGGAATCAACTCATCGTCGGGCCCTTGGCGCAGAAGAATGGCGTCTGAAGGGTGATCGACGCAAATCATGAAATCATGGTTGCCGCTGAATTTGTAATATGGTTCCTTGATAAGCACAACAGAACCCTCTGGCACTGCATTGAGTATGCTGGAGTCTCCCTGGTTGTAGATTCCCAGCTTCTCAACGTTACCAAATTCGTCCTCCACGATAGTCACGACTCCGGCGCCTTGGTAAGGTTGTGTTATTGTCCTAACGATAAGTTTCTTCTCTTCGTGGTGATTCTCGACGAGCAACTCATTGAGCGGCATCTGTTGTGATGTTAAAAAAGAGCGCCAGTCACAGAGGCGTGTGTTCTGAACGTACAGTCTCGAGGTCCTTAATGGGTGTTGTTGATGGTGCGTATGAGAGGGCCAGAATGACCTTCTTTACCATCCTCGGCACATTTGTCTGTCCGACCATTGCGGCTTGGAATTTCTTCACGTGCTCATTGTGCGTGTTGACGAGCCACTCCTTGGTTGGGACATGAGGCGGGCGCTTTCCTGCGAGGGCATTCGCTCGCTGTAGAAACTCGAGAGAGACACTGGGATCGACGTCGACGAGAATCTCCTCGACACCAATCTGGAGATCAAAGTCGACCTTGATCGGTTTCTCGCCGTCCGCGTCACTGGTGTCGACGCCATCATCATGGATGGGAAGCTGGACCAGCGTTTCCGTCTGAGTTCCCGACATGTTGCTGGCGTAGGCACGTGTGTACCTCTCTCTGGCTTTGTCTGGTGTCTACTGAAGCGATAGTCTGGCAACGGTTGGTTTTGTTGGCTGCAAAGTTTGCTTCGGAAGCGATTGACAGTGAAGGAAGAAGAGCAAGTTGCGCTGGACAATGCAATGCCCCTTGCGACAAGATAAAGCTCGGATGAGCTCCGAGGAAAGGTGGCATCTTGATGCTTCGGACCATCGCAGCCTGGCAGCCGTCGGCCCAAAGAGGATAGCGCACCTTGAAGAACGAGGTGCATTCTGGCTAATGAACCAAATGTCACCAATTGCGGAGGGAAGACGGGGTGGGCTGAGCGTGGCTCTCCGCTGATAGCTTGGGTAGGTTTCGGAGAGCGAGCGTCCGGAATTTCAATGCGGGAAGTTCACAGGCCCATGTGATGCGTGGGATCAGCTTCCGGACCGCGTCCCACCGCGGGGAGACATGTCTTGGTGCGGAGGCAGCCAGGGATTCCCCAAAAGAAGGGGGCCGAGGCGCCTGTTCGGGGATTGGATGTGGGGTTGCATGGAGATTTGGAGTTTCGCAGAAGGGTCGGCGATGGCTTTAGGTCAGTGAGCCTGCTCGATGATGCATAGAGGGCAGCATATAGATCAGATGACGAGGAATGTGCACAGCTCAGCTGCAGCCCACCACTGTGTCTGTCTGATAGCACTTGAGAGACGTGAAATGGTCACTATTCGGGTTTTCCGCATGTCATGCCACGGGGACAACTTGAAGGACAGTTTTTACCATAACATAATTCCTTTCAATGCTTTGGAAGCATTTATAGGCCGTGAGAACTGAGGCAACTGGTCTTGATATTGAAGCTAAGCAATCTAGCCTGATGGGTTACCTCATACCCCACTTCAAAGTCTTGTAGCGATCCGTCCTGACCCCTGGTCGCCCTGAGTATGAAGCTGGCCCAATATCCTGGCAGGTCCATTATTTGACGGTTTCTAGCAGCAGGAGGTGGCGCAGTAGATGATGCTTTGAAACTGTGAGTACTCATGCTGAAGAATTCCTATGCTCAGAGAAAACTTACTGGCCAGTCGAGGCGCCAATGCCGCCGGGACCCTGGGGAGGAGTGGCGCTGTAGCAGTCCTGGCAGCTGTCGTAGAGGCAGCGCTTCTCAATGTTGGCCTCGCTGGCCCCGCTGGCCTTGTTGGCGACGGGAGAAGCCATGACGACTCCGGCGAAGATGGTGGCGATGACGGTGGCGGCCTTCATTTTGATGTGTTGAAAAGGGTAGACTTTGGTTGGTTCTGTGTATGGTCTGGAGGGCTTGGTAGTCTGTGAATGTGATCGTGTTGAGCGTGAGGAAGAGAGGATATGTTAGATCACAGAGGAGACGACGGCTCCTGCATTTATACCTTTTCGACGCCCTCGTCGACATGCCTCAAGCCAGTATCCGACCTGGTCCTCGGACGATGTCAGATTTGTCTTGTCACATGTCTTGGCCCGTAACTCTACGTCCGTCATCAAAAAGGTTCGGCTTCCTGTTACGTCTAGCTATGGATCAGTTCATGGCCGCATAGAGGGCCAAACAGAAGCCGCATCACCAGTTTCATGCATCGCAACATGAGGAGTAGTACTGGGAACGGCGGAAAAAGTAGCGCAAGAGGAAACGATTGCCGTAGGATTCGAAACTCCACCAGTGCGCCTCCTTGGCAGAAGAGCACAACACGCAGACGGAACAGTCATAGACGCATTTGCCAGTTTTGTTGCCGCCACTGCCGGACGTGATTGGACTTTGTTTCTCGTCATCATCTGACATTGTCACTCTTGGCAGATACAGGACTATTTTGTTGATCTTCGCCGGCTAGGGCTGCATTCTGCGCTGTCAGTATTGTTCAAAGGGGCGTCCAGTCAGACTTCCATGCCTCTAAGGGTTGGTCTCGTCCTTCGCCAAAATATGAGCAGCTATGTCCGAGGCCCGTTTTCTTCACCAAACATCAGAGCAGCAGGAGTGAGCTAGACGCAATGACGACTCGTATAGTCAAAGCCATGTCAAGAGGAGGAGTTGAAGGCAGCCGAGGGGGTCAACCAACTGTCACCAAGCCATAGCCAACGAACTCACAGCGTCTCGAGTCGGGACAGGCGAAGCAAGACATGGCAACATTCGTATATTCCCCATACAATGTTGCGACGGCACATATGCGCACCAATGGGACAATGCAGTCAAGACGCAAGCCGGCCGAAAACGGCATCAAGATTCATCGACCAGCAGGTTTTGCGTGCCCCCCCCCCCCATGGCGGACCGGCCCATTCCCCACGGGGCGTGGCATGCTACGTAGCGCCGGCACTGACCCGCTCTCGCTCTGCCTTACGAGGCGGCCCGGAAGCGGGGGCGGCCGCTGCCGATCTTTTCGTGATCCCGCGAATTGCGGGGCCGCCGTCGCGCGATCCTTCTGCAGTACAGGCGTCTGGGAGGAACTTCCGTGTCTGGGCATGCGGGGTGCTGGAGGCACGCGCTGCGGCGGCCGTGTCAGATTGGCACTTTTGTCAGTTTCGTCTGTCAAGCGGGTCGGGGGGCCTGTGCTGGGTGGTCGGAGAATGTCCGAGGCCGCGGAAAACAAGGTGGCAGGGGGCGCTCTGGCTGCAGCGGACGGCCTCGCTGTTGCCTGTGGCGAGTCGTGCTCAGCCCGGAGTTTGGGCCGCGGAGTTTGCGGTGACTCTCTGTATCAAGAGAGGAATTCAGGATGGAACCAGGCCTCGGACAGCTCCGTATGGGTCTACATGGTATGCCGAGACAGCGCTCCAGCTACCATGTATACGACTGATCATATGGGGAGAAAAGTCAAATGTACGAGCAAATCAAGTTCATTGAAGGTCAAGATGTTGAATTTAACCGACTTCAGTACGCTACATCACATCGTAAGGAGCTTGTCGTAAACATGGGCACGAAAAGGCAAAAGGGAAAACAGGCCACGATGTGAACCTCTGGTCACGATAGGGAGCTTGAAGTGTAATCCAAGTGAAGGACATACGACTTTCGGATGTCGTGCCGTTCAGTCATGTAAAGGAACACAACATCAGTCTCGGCCAGCATTTTAGTCATGGTTGTTTCGTGACTTCTACGTGTACTCATTAGAAGGCAAGCAATCGAGGACTCGGTGGTTTTTCTCAACAAAGAAATTAAGCTAACAGAAGTCGTGGTGGGACGACAGCTACACATAATTTGTTGCCTAATCGAGGCGATGGCCTGCTGAGTACAGCAAGGCCTTGGGCAAGGGACACGTCGACGTTACCCCGCACGTGGGCACATCACCCCATCATCACGTTGCCCATTTCCACCAGTGTTGCGCCGCACTTGGCCAAGTATTCATTCCGTCTCTGGTTCCACAAGACGAGAGGCTGCTTACTCCAATGGAAGCCAACCGCCCCAATGCGGACACGTTCAACATTACCGACAAGACGCAATGGCGCGCGGCGCTGCAATCGGCCAGACCAGTCCTGATCCACCTCAACGCCGACACGACGTGGCTCCTGCAGCTGCCGTACCCAGAAGGCCAGACACCGCCACCGGGCCGCAGCCGCTTCAACCTGCTCATCGACCCGTGGCTTCGGGGCTCTCAGTGTGATGTCGCATCGTGGTTCTCGAGGCAGTGGCACGTCATCGCGTCGAGCGTCCAGACCACGGACGAACTTGACTCACTCGTCGCATCCGTCAAGAGGCCAGATGACGACGCTGGTGATGAGGGAGGAGGAGGAGGAGGAGGAAAAGGAAGGCCTGGTACCTTTATCGATGCCGTCGCCATCTCGCACGAGTTCACAGACCACTGCCACCAGGAAACGCTCCTCGAGCTGCCGTCGTCGGTCCCCATCATCGCGACGACCAAGGCCGCCAAGATGGTGCGCGCATGGGGCCATTTCGACACGGTGACCACGACGCCGCACTTCTCCCGCGACTCGAAAGCGTGGCAGGACGCCTCGCGCCCGCCAGGTCTGCCCTCCTGGCTCGGCATCAGCCGGATCGTCACAGAGAGCAATCCCCTCTATTTCCACTCGGCCCTCATGGTCACGTTCGAGACGGATGCCGCCGGTGCATCGGGCCCCGAGGCCGTCATCTACACGCCCCACGGGCTGCAGGCCTCTGATCTCGCCAGCGTCAAGGCGGCCGGCGTCAGGACACTGGCCCTGCTGCACGGTCTGCACAGCATCACGCTGGGCTCGGTGCGGCAGCTCAACCTCGGTGCGCTGAACGGCATTCGCGCGGTCGGCGAGAGCGGCGCGAGATATTGGGTGGCGACGCACGACGAGGTCAAGCGGGGGAAGGGCCTCGTGGCTCCGCTGCTCAAACGGGAGCAGCTCACGCTGCAGGATGCTGTCGAGGCCGAGAAGCAGCGTCTGCGGGGGGCGGAGCCGGCGTGTAGATTTGAGGATCTCGGGTCTGGGGATGCTCTGCTCTTGGAATAATATCGATGACAATTCATGTCGCTGGGTCCAACATTGTTGCTTGGATTGACCAGAGCCAGTTGCTTGGATTGACCAGAGCCAGTGGATAGGAACGAAAGATGGCGTTGTCTTCGTTTCTTTCAGGGGACGTAGCGCCCTCTTTCGCCCCGACAGCACCGCTTCAGCGTCTTCAGGCCCTGAAAGCGACCGCTGGCCGTGGGCCGCTCACTATGAATCATCGCCGCTAGCGCCTTAGGCTTCTCTAGCGACAACGGATCTGGGATGTAATCATTCAACGGCAACACTGCAAAAACATCATCTAACCCAGATTATCTTCTTGTCATAGATGATCAATTTCTCCAACGCCATGACAGACCAAAACCACGCCCTTGTATTCGGCGCCGCAGGCCTGCTTGGCTGGGCTGCTGTCGACCAACTTCTGTCCGACTACCCCGCGCCGCAGACCTTCTCCCAAGTCACGGCAGTCGTCAACAGGCCAGTCGCCGAGGCTGCTTTGCACTGGCCAGCTGCATCAACCACACGTCCCAAGCTACACACATCGCTTCAGGGATTAACCTGCTGGACGGTGATGCGGACGCTCTGGCGCGTCAACTTGGGGAGAAGGCACCAGGCATCGAAAACGTCACGCACGCCTTTTATTTCGGTATGCTACACAGAAATGATGGCTTCACTCGCACCACCATCATTCTGACACCATGAGGACAGTCTTCTCCCCGGTCAACGACGACCACATGGAAGAATGCCGCGTGAACTGCGGCATGATGCAGTGCGTCGCCGACACCCTCAATCTGCTGTGTCCCCAGCTCAAGTCAATCGTCTACGCCGGCGGCACAAGAGTAGGTCCCTGAAGCTGTGTTAAAACCCGCACCCCCAGCGACTGACGACCAGCCAAGGGCTACGGCATCTACAACCCCGGCGGCACATTCACGGCCCCGCTCGTCGAGTCCATGGCTGACACGCTGCCGGAGGATTATGCCAAGACGGTCACCTATCCGTGGTTCCGACAGATTCTCACCAGAGCCAGCAGAGGCCGGTCGTGGACGTGGACCGAGGTCTGTCCCGACGCCGTCGTCGGCTTCTCGCCCAACGGTTCGGCCTTTTCGCTGGCGCTCCACTGGGCGCAGTATCTCGCTCTGTATCGCCTCAACAACGAAGCATCGGGAGACGTCCAGGTTCCGTTCCCCGGCAGCGAAGCGGGATTTGATGCCCTGTTCACGCCTGTATCGAGCCAGACGCTCGGCAGGATATCCGTCCACGCGGCGCTGCACCCGGGAGAGTGCGGTGGGAAGATCGTGAACATGGCGGACCGGGCACGGCCGACAACCTTTCGCGAGCTCTGGCCTTGTATTGCTGGCTGGTTTGGCTTGGTTGGTGTTGGGCCCGAGGCTGATGCGACGGCGTTGAAGCCGGGCAAGTACGTTGAGAAGCACAAGCACCTTTTTGCGACGAGGGGCCTCACAGACGCAGTCGAGAAGGGCGTGGGAGCTGGTAGCGTGCAGCTGGACAGCGTGGGCTGGTGGTTGGCCTTCGACAGGCAGTTGAGTCTGGAAAGACTCAGAGCCACAGGCTTTGACGAGGAGAGGGACCCAGTGGAAGGTTGGCTCGAGGCGTTTGGCAAGTTCAGAGCGGCCGGGATCATCTGACCCGAGGGCTACGCTTTACGTTCTGGAAATATCAAATTCATAGAAGGCAGGACTCATCGTTCATGTCGTCAGTTCATCAGTATTGTTGTTCTACTTTGCTGCTCTCTCGGCAATTCAATCTATCGAGTTCAATGGACATCGTCTGCTGGGAAGTAGGCTTATGATCGACCACCAACTTGCAAAACATCTTTTGCCTCTACGAACAAGAGTCTCTACGAAGAGATTTAGACACCAATTCAGCTTTGATTGAGCTATCAGCAGACGCTCCAACGTTTGTCAGTTCAGGGGGACAGCTCATGGGGCCTGAAGAGACGTTCGTATAGCCCCTGCGAACCCTGATGCTGATGCCGTACCATTCTGGCATCCCTCGCTTCCGCTCTGACTCCAGTAGTCCACTAATTAGCAGTCGGGACACATGATACTCACGATGTCCGCTTCTGCGCCAGTAATTTCCTCGGATCAACTCAGCATCATGATTATAGTTGAGGCCGCTGATCCTTCATCGAAGCGTGAATGGTTTAGTGGTAAAATTCTCCGTTGCCATCGGGGAGCCCTGGGTTCGATTCCCAGTTCACGCATCTTGACTCAACATTGTTCTCACTACTGGATCACCTAATTCGATTTCTTTTTGGCCACCGGGGTTTTGCCAGTCGATTTCTGTCCGATTAGCTTTTACGATACTCGTGTCTGCTGCGGTGAAGGTTGTGGGAGAGGTCATGTGTACGTCTCGCAAGATCTCGGACATGTAGTTCATGGGACAAGTTCAAAGTGGTGATGAATGGATCAAGGCCTCGTCAGTGGGATTTGCCCCCTTCGGGGGGTGTTAAATATATATCAATCAATCAATCAATCAATCAAGGCCTCGTCAGTTTCTTCTGGTGTAGTTTCATGAGTTCTCAGCACAAGGGCCTCACGCGCACGCTCAGTAAACCTTCATCAGCTTTATTCGCTTCATAGGACTTAACCAATTGTCACCACGGAATTGAACAAAGTGGATTGATTGTTGTTAAGGTACAAAAGGAGACTTCCAGAAGTCCAAACGAAGGTAATTGGTCAGATCCAGCATCGGTAAGGAGTCTTACCGGGGCGATAACGACAGAACAAATGCATCAAATGAGGACTCCACATTTGGGATGAAAGTACTCCTGGGTCACAGAACAGAACCTTGCCTGATCGGCAACACACCCCCTCAGATGGGTAGGCGAGCCTCTCTCTGACCATCTGAACCACGAAAGATCAGGCAGATGCCTGTTGGCGGCTTTTGGTAGAGAATTTGGTGCCTTTGGAACAGTTGGCGTTCTCAGGGCAGATGAAGGAAATCGTGCTTGTGAAGCAAATAAGGATGTGTGTAAGTGTTAGGAGAGGTGGGCGAAATTGAGCAAGCTGTTCACTGGTGGACCGCTGGTACGCACTCCATCTGCAGAAGCTTCACGAAGTTCTGATGCTTCTGAGTCGGGAGAATCTTTGTAAGCCCATCGCTCACTATCTTGTCAGTGCTCATCCAGTCCACGGATATCTTCCCCTGTCTGACTGTTTGTCGGATCCAAAGACGATGGATGTCAACATGCTTGAGCTTCGTAGTGGCTTGAGGCCTCTCACTAGTGAGTAACAGCAGCGTTTGGCGGTTATCACAGAACATCTGGATCGGAACCTTGCCATGAAAACGTAGCTGAAGCTCCTTGATCAGACGAAGAGTGGCAAGGTAGTTCCTCGCTGCGACACTGAGGGCCACCAGCTCAGCTTCGGTGCTAGAAGTGACCACGGATCGCTGCTTTGTAGCTTTCCAGTCAATTGGACCTCCAAAGAGCATGGTGGTGTATCCTTGTGAGCTAAATCTGGTGATGGGATCATCGCCGAATGATGCGTCGCTCGCACAATACAGCGATGTAGAATGGTCTCCTGATCCTCCGTAGGACAGCGAGAGAGTCCTTGTGCGATAGAGGTAGCGGAGACAGTGGTCTGCTGCAAGGTGATGGAGTTCTGTCGGCCTGAGCAGAGACTCCGCAAGTCTTGAGGCAGCTTTGGCCACATCAGGTCGTGTTGTGGTTGCTGCGTAATTGATGGAACCAATTTTGCGTTGGTATAGTTGAATGGATTCAGCAGAGGCTTCGTAATCCTTTGGAGCAGGTGCTGGGTCTGTTGATAGAGGCGTCAAATGACCTCTGGTGGATGGCTGGAGGTTGAGGTCCTTCATCTTTTCAGTGATGTAGTTCTCCAGAGACAGCCAGAGCTTGCGCTGGCTACGATCTCTGACCACTCTGATGCCTAAGAACCATCTGACCTCGCCAAGTTCTCGCATCTCGAACAGAGACTTGAGCTGGCTCTTCAGCTCTTCGGCCGCTTGGCGATCCTCTTTGCGGTTCATGAGGATGATGTCGTCAACGTAGAAGAACATGATCATGCCTCTGCCCATGAAGACACAGTTATCTTCCTCGAGAGCCACGAGGCCGATCTTCCGCATAGCCTCGGACAGCAGCTTGTGCCAGAGAAGCGGTGATCGGCGCAAACCGTACAAAGCTCTCTTCAGCTTGAAAATCGTGCGCCTCTGTGGAGCGCCCTTCTTCTGTTGCATCTCCTGCATGAGATCCCAGCCCTGAGGGGCCCAGACGTAGACTGTCTCGTCGAGGTGTGCATTTGGAAAGGCGTTGACGGCATCCAACTGGTGCGTGTCTAGGTCAAACTCTGCACAGATGGCCATCAACGTTCTGAACGTCTTGGCTGCCAGTGTCGACGCGTATGTTTCCATCTCATTCTTGGGCTGTTGGTCTCCTCGTACGCAGAGCCTGGCCTTGAACTTGGTCACGTAGCCGGTGGAGTCAACCTTGTATTTCCAGACCCAGGTCAACCCGAGAACCTTGTGTATTTCCTGGTCGACCGATTCGAAGGGGACTTGCTCGATTGTGTCCATATTTTCAATGGTGTTGACCTCCTGGACGCTTGCTTCTAGCCACTGCTTTTTGTGATCAGAATGAAGCATCTCCTTCCAGGATCTTGGCTCCGCGGGCATATCTGTTCGGAGAAGCGGTTTCTTGTTCGATGGAGTCTGAGTGTGAAAGAATGAGTATTCCACGGTCAAATGTGATGATGGAGGCATTTTCTTGCTGCGGCGGGCTCCTAGAGCCTGGTCGGTGGGGGTGCCGTCTTTGAACTGTGACGGCTTTCTGTCTCTAGCGCTCCTTCGAGTGCCTTGGATTTGTGTTGATGGCGACGGCTGTGGGGCTGGTGCCACTGATGGTCGGGCCTCCACAGTCTCTGTCTCGTCTTCAGCTGAACTTTGATCAGCTGGTGTGTGTTGAGGTGTTGATTCAGGGCTCCGAGCTACTTCGATAGTGTCTTCAATAGCCTCTTCAGTCACTTGAATGGTGTCTGGCACGGGGATCGTGTCTTCCACAGCATCTTCAGCCCCTTGAATGGTGTCTATTACGGCATCTTCCACCCCCTCAGAGACAGCTGGCTGGCCTTGTCCAGTCTCCGTCTCTGGAGTTGGACGTGGTGACGGCAGGACATCATCTCTGCTGGCTGTGTGACCTTCCCGGGGTCGCAGTATCTCCGCGTTGATCTTTCCTCCAAGTTGGAATGTCCGGGCTTTCTCGAACAGGTCGATGGTGGCAACATCGAACTCGTCAATGTCCAGTGACGAGTTGAAAGGATTCTGGGCGTCCGCAACGGGCACGTCCAAAGCCTGGAATTCGTCCTGTAGAATTGGCTTTGGGGATTGGGCGTCCTTGAAAACTGTGGACTCATCGAAACCCACGTCTCTTGTCCTCAATACTGCTTTCATCTCTGGAACCCAGATTCTGTATATGTTGCTGCTGTCGTATCCACAGAGATAGCCGATGTGGGCTCTCGGAGCCAGCTTCTGCTTTCGGTTACGTCCCTCTTGGGCGTCTGCCGTGAGAGGATACGCCCTGCATCCGTATCTTCGCAGGTGAGCCAGGCCTGGAGCCGTAGTTCGAGCGGCAAGGCCCTTGGAGTTGAGCCAGTCGTTCAGCCTTCCTTCTGGTGTCGCCCACTGTAGGCGTCCCTTCGGCGTGAGATTGTGGAGATATGCAGCGGTTTGTACCACCTCTGGCCACAAATCCTCCGGGAACCCAGCAGCCGAGGTAAGGGTTCTTGCGATGGTGAATATCGTGCCTCCATTGCGTTCTGCGGCACCGTTCTGTTCTGGTGTCCTTGCGGCTGATCTCTCCAAGAGAATGCCGCGCTCTTCTGACCAAGTAACCAGATTGCTGCGTAGTGCTGAGTCCCAGTCAACTCTCAGGACCTTGATGACCAGATGGTACTGTCTCCAGAGAAACATCTCAAAGTTGATAAACGCCTGGAAGCCATCTGCTCTGGCAGGCAGAATCCTGACAACAATCTTCCCCGAATATGCGTCCGTTATTACAAGGCACGACTCCATGCCGTTGTACGACTTCCCAGGGCTGAAGAAGTCCAGGTTGACGCGCTCAAATGGATTCGTCGTCGTGTACGTTGGCTGTCTCCGAGATACAATCTTCTTGGATTTCGCTACCCCGCAAGACTCGCATTCGAATGTTGTTGGCCCTTTCACCCCAACTCCAGTACAGCTGTATGGCAGCTGCTGTATGGCCTCTGGGTGGGCATGAGCCAGCCGTTCGTGCCAGAGCCTCGAGTCGCTGACCATCGCGGCTCTCTGCTTCTTGGAGTGATAGAAGGAAGTGGTGCTATGTAGGGTGTTCACCGCATACTGGCCACCCTTCTCCTGAAGTGGGATCTCTGAGCCAGTGGCTGGGTTGAACAGCATGTTCCTGAGGGAGTCCAGTCCGAGTCCTTGGCGTTGGAGCTGCCTGGCTGAAATAAGCGTCGTCGGGTAGTCTTTGATGTACGAGACATCATGGCAGGTGATGCTGATGACGTTCTGCTTGCTGTCGAGGGTGTCGATGGCCATCGTGCCATGCCCTTCGACGGGGCTTGATTTGCCTCCTCCTGTGCTGTATCTTACAGTGTCGGTGGCCTCGCGAAAGTTGGTGAGGAGGTCTTTGTTGTTGGTTATATGGTTGGGTGTACCCGAGTCGATCAGGAACTCGTGACGGAGATCCCCTCCTCGGTTTGTCCGTTGAAACTCGTCCGAATCAGCGACGGAGAAGTTGCTCATGAAGTTGGTGTACTCGTCATCGCAGCTCTGTTCATCATCGTCACCGAGGAAGTTGTTAAAAGCAGAGACGGCGACTCCACTGGTGCCTCTTGCCTCCTGCCGCTTCTTTTTGTCCTCCTTGATTTTCTCGTTCCAGAATTGCAATGTGCTTGGCTTCATCCTTTTCTTCGCTTCGTCAATGTAGTCCAGCAGGCTCTGATCGGATTGATAGCTCTTCTTCCTCCGGTGTTCCGCGATATTTGGGCACAGACAGATGGGCTGACACGCCTTGGGTGCCCTCTTCTGCTGTACACAGTCGCAGAATGGTCTGCGAGAAGGCGAGCTGTTTGGCTGTTGAGGAGAGTCACGATGGGAATCCTGGGCACTCGTCCGATCACTTTGACCATTCCGGTCCTTGCCCATGAAGGTCACCGAGTCGCTGTAGAAGGACGTCTGAGATGGCTTGGTGGTGAGGCGATGCGGTTGGTAGTCTCTAAGGTAGCTCTTGTACCTCAACGCCAGTACCTTCCCTCCATCACGATCATCCAGCTCCCGGCGAACTTGGTGGGCGCACTCTGCTTCGGCCCACCCTGGAGACACGGAAAGAATTGCCCGAAGGAATTGAACATTTTGATCTGCGGCTTCTTTAAGCTGAGGAATCCCGTGCTTCTCAACTTCGATACAGAGTAGGATGAAGTCGTCAACCCACTTCTCATGGTCCATCTTCTTGATCATCGCCATATGCTCCTCCCAGCGCTGGCGAATGTATTGTTTCTGTCCCATGTCGGAAGGGGCGAAGTGGTCCTTCAACGCCTTGAGCCACTCCTGGCTGCTTTCCTCGTTCATGAAGACGGCCGAAAGGCTCCTGTCGACTGTGTTGAGGATGTATTTCTGGACCTCCTGGAGGCCCGCTGACTCCCTGTTGTAGATGTCCAAATGGATCTTGTACAACGTCAGCAGTGTGCTGAGATCTCGCGTCTCATCTTCGAATGACGGTGCTGTTGGCTTCTTGGCCCTCTTGGGCCGCCTGTCAGCCTCTTTGTCTGGGTCGACTAGATCCCAGGCCTCGTAGGAGGTCGCCACGGCTCTGACGGAGTTGAGCCATGTCCTCCATTCCTCCCTCCTTGTAAGTGTCACTCTGTGCTTACCAGAGTCCATCTTGAGGATCCCTGGGCGTTGTCGGAGACCGTCGGGGAGGTCGTTCGATGGTCGCGACTGATCGCGTGTATGTTGAATATCATCAATTGACCCCGCGTGTACTCAAGCCCTAGGCCACACGTCTCGGAGGTTCAATTGGTCTTGAGGAGCTGATTTCTCCTGCTTCGATGTGTCGTGGAGAGATGATCGCTCTCCTGGAGGATGTCGGTAACGGCCCTTGGCCAGTGGTCGTCAATGGCGAAACGTCGCGTCAATTGACTGTTGAAGTGCAGCGGCGATTCAGCTGTAGACAGCTTCGCAGCAGGCGTATTGGCCGTAGGCGCCCTGCTGTAGATATCGAAGGTCAAGGAGCTGTATCGTCGCCCGGGCTCATAACTGTCACCACGGAATTGAACAAAGTGGATTGATTGTTGTTAAGGTACAAAAGGAGACTTCCAGAAGTCCAAACGAAGGTAATTGGTCAGATCCAGCATCGGTAAGGAGTCTTACCGGGGCGATAACGACAGAACAAATGCATCAAATGAGGACTCCACATTTGGGATGAAAGTACTCCTGGGTCACAGAACAGAACCTTGCCTGATCGGCAACAAGTGGCTATTCGTTTAATGCACACTGCATCGTCACAGACGGCCACCCCCCACTACACGTCGCGCACCAGCTTCTCATCGTGCACGTGCATCGTCGCCATGACAGTCGAGGCAGACCTGGGCTCCAGCGACTTCTTGACCGGGTTCGGCGCCTCGAAGACCTCGCTTAGCTCCTCGAGCGTGCGATCCTTCGTCTCGGGGAAGAAGAAGTAGATGAAGATGGCCTCGGCAATGTCCCAGAACACAAAGACGAGGTAGAAGTAGTAGCCGATCTGCTCAAAGGCGGGGCCGGACGAGTAGGCCAGCACGATGGAGATGCCGCTCGACGCAAAGTTGCCAATGGCCGTACCCTTGGCGCGGGTCGACGTCGTCAGGGTCTCGGCGATGTACATGCTCTGCTGGGCCGTCCAGCCGAGGGAGAAGACGACGCCGAAGAGGAAGATGAAGGCGATGGTGGCGTTGGCGGCGTTGGTGTTGTCGGGGTCGTCGACGGCCATCTTGGACGTGCCCGTGATGACGGCGAAGATGACCGAGGCGGTGAGGATGCTGTAGATCAGCAGAGGGCGGCGGCCGACGCGATCGGTGAGGCGGGCGCCGACGATGGATCCGGCGAAACCGAGCATCGAGTTGACGGCGTTGAGGGCGAGAACCAGCTTCTCGTCCTTGATGCCGGCAGTGTTCATCATGGTGACGAGGTAGTAGCTTGCGAGCGAGTTTCCGGACGCCTGCAAAGGTCAGATGACCGCTGAACTCTGGGGAGCTTGATAATCCTGATCACGTACCTGGCCCATGATGGCCATGCCGAGCACGCAGATGAGACGACGGCGGGCGCTGTGCGTGTTGTACAGCTCCCTGTAGTCCCACCAGCGCTTGTCCGAGGCCTCGGTCGAGATCTGAGCCATCATCTCCTTGAGTTGCAGCTGAACAATGGGGTGGTCGACGTCGCCCTCGCCGTGGAGCTTGGCGAGAATACGAGCAGCTTCGTCATGCTTGTCGTTGGCAATGAGCCATCGAGGCTTTTGACTTGTCAGCTTTCAGCCGTTTTGATCGAGGTTTCGAGTAACTTACCGACTCTGGGAGGAAGTAGACAAAGCTGGCGACAATACCGGAGGTAACAAGCTGGATCCACACCGGGATACGCCATCCATTGTTTCCGGTGATGAAGCTGGCACCGTACACAGTCCATCCCGAGATGATGGCACCAAGAGGCCTGTGAGAATGTGTGAATATCTCTCTTCAAGCTGTGCGACCCACCAGGGCAACGACTTACCACATGCAGTTGTAGAGACCAGTCAAGGTTCCACGCCACTTCGGGTGTGCCAGCTCGCTCACGTAGGTTGGCGCAGCGATGCAGCAGTACGAGACGCCGAAACCGAGAACGAAGCGACCTCCCATGAACTGGGGCATGGTGTTTGCGGTTGCTCTGTGTTGTGGTTAGTGATCAAGTCCCGACACACTTTTTGTTCAACTCCACGCAGCAGCTTACTGGACGCAGGTGCCGAGGATGATGATGAGGGCTCCCATAAACATAGCGATGCGGCGGCCAAAGAGATCCGTGGCGATGGGGACAGTGAGCGCGGCCGACAGCTGGCCAACGTTGTAGATCATGAAAACAAGGCCTGTTGCCGATCCGGCAGACGTCATGTTGAAGGTTGTTTGGTATGACACCATGCCGTTCAGACCGCCCATCAGACTTCCATCGTATCCGTTGAGACAACCGCAGCAGTCTAATAGGGGTGTTAGCTCTGGCACCGATTGTCCAAGGCAATCACGCTGGATATTACTTACATGCAACGAACAAGACACCATAGAGTTGGAACATGGACTTGGTCCATGGTGAATAGCTGTTCTCGTTGACCTCGTGCGCAATCTCGGCGGCAATGCCAACCGGGTCAAGGTCCTCTTCGTGAGAATCGGCATGCGCAACATGCTGCTTCTCGTCGCTGGGGATGTCGACCGAAACAGCGGTCTTGGTATCTTGGGGGCTCGCCATGGTTGTTGATGTGGCTCGGGGGGCACCAATGTTTCATGCAACGCTGCAACGGAATCGGGCTGACAACGACTGGAGCCTGAACTGAATGATCAGCAGAAGAGGCATCTTGCCGGTATTTAAATACACGTCCCGGAGACTCGGAGCCGTCGTTGCAGTGCGATGCACATGGCGATCGTCTGCTGATAGAACCCCCCTCATGAGCTTGTGGCATCCCGCATGGCCCCATTTTGCGTCCCCTGGGGACCCCAGACGATACGACTCGTGGAGCGTTCCTTGGTTACGATGCTTGTCGAGGTGCAGAAAAACCGGGTTCGGACCGAACATCTGGGGTTACTGTAAAAATTTGGGGTGAGCGAGCAAACTATGGTCGCGTGTAATTCGCGGGGTTAAGCGGTGGTTCTCAAACGGCACATAGTATTGCCTATCACTTCCAGCAAGCTGTCTGGTTGGTGAGATGGCTGCGATCTAGGTCTGGGGATCACGCCTGGGCGCCGGCTCCGAGACCCCCGGTGTCATAGGCTGAGAGGCAGAGGAGGGAGGGAGAATTGGCCCATGCCCATTCGGTTGACATGAACCGGGTGAGAGCATTGGCAGCAGGTTTCTGCACTGTCGACCATATTCTAGGCTGCTCGGTTTCGCCAAGATGCGACATGAGTGTAGATACCCCGAGATTTGTCCAGGAACAGTTAGCAGCCATCCTCCATCGGTTACAATTGGAGCGGCTTACCAGTCGTGGAGACGGGTCGCGACGTACATTGGGAGGTCCGAGGGATAGCGCCAACAGGAAAATGACACAACCAGACGGTCGTGTCGTCATGTTACACCGCTCGCTCAACTACCTCCGGGCCCATTCCTGCCAAATTCTATAGGGAGGCTTGGGAGGCTCTCATGATCCGGCTATGGTAGTCCTGCTGCTCGGAGAGTGGCAGGGGAACGCTAACAAGAAGGTGGGAGGGAATAGGGCCGTGGCACGCAGCACACTGGCCCAGAGGATGCGGGGTTGGGGCCCAAATGGATCGGCACGACAAGGACGCACTAGCCCATGCTGGATTCTTCATCAACCCCGGGATGGCTATTCGATCTGATTGTTACGCAGCTGCCTGGCTCGACTGCATTGCTCGCCTTTCGCTTGAGATAAAGCGAGGAGAACTGATGCCCGAATCAGCGCTACACTCCGACCAAAAAAGTCAAATATAGGTGTCGGATTTGGTTGTTTAGTCCGCCGAAATCGATGGATTTAGTTATCTAGTCATATTTATAGATATTTGACTTATTTAGTTAGTAATGAAGCTATCAAGATAGTCATTGGCCTACCTAAGACCTAGATTCCATGGTATTACGTTAGTGGAATTGCTGCGTTAGTGAAATTGCTACGTTAGTGAAATCACGATATTAGGGGAATTACCCTAGGTTCTAATGCCCTATGCGCGCGGGTATAAGCTAATTAGATAATATATATAGGGTTTTCTTAATAAAAACCAAAAGAAGCTAGTAGCCTAGTTAATTAGGATCTCTTATTATTGTACTATTAATAAGAGAGTCCCTCTTATTAATAGTACGATTGTTTTTATTAATTGGATAAGCCTTTATATAGGTCCTAGGGCTCGGAATAGCTATATTCTAGGACTAAATATATATTTAAATATTTACTAAATATCTAAATACCGAAATACTATAGATTTAATTACTGAATTATAGGAAACTAGTCTATTTATTTAGTTATTTAATAATTTAACTTATTATATTTAATCGGGGTGCCACGCTAGCCCGAATAGCTCAGCCAAGCCAAATCCATATAGCGGACCCGCTCCGATCGTGGTTCACCATTGCCCATTTTACCGTGCCCTATATAAGGCACCTAGGTAAGGTGAGCTCTAGAGTAGGTAGGTGTTATGGGCATACGGGCATGTAGTCATTAAGGCCCTGTTACGTGACCATAGGCGGTGATCACCGACACGTGATTCCCGTCGGTGATCACGGAACCGTGATCACCAGCCCGGATGATCCCTAGTCACATAACTAGGGACCACGATATATAGAGAATTCCTATGTACCCTCTTAATAGAGGAGGGCATCTTAATATAACACCTTGAATTGAGTGTTTGAGATCTGAGATCATCGGCCTAGCCTGATCGTAAGGCATAGTTAGGAGCTTACGGCTATTAGCATTGCTATAAGTGTAAAGTCATCAGTCTGAAGTAATACACAATCGTCTAGCTCAATAATTGCCACGTCTTATGGCCTTCTCGGAGCCTGATGTCGATATTTTAAGGACATATTATATTCTCAATTATCACACATACCCACCAAGTGCTTCACTTAAATATCAGAATTCGGCTTCCGGGCTTACCCTTTAATATAGCTCAATCGTGCTCTTATTCACGTAATTATCTCTTAAGTAAGTGGTCGAGATATCAGCTCCTCTCGACTTCGAAATACTAAGACCGCTTTTGGTCGTAAAGCAACACTCAGTGGTATTGCACATAAATAACGTTTTGGTTTGCTGATATCTCAAGCAGTGAAATTGGGTCGGTAGGAATTACTCTTCCTTGAGTTAAAGACTGTTTGTACAAATATTAGCTCAGATCCAGTCCAGATAGTCTACATACTTTTATGTTTTTCAATGCAACCCGAGGCACAACAAGCGAGCATAGCATTTGTAGGGATCATGCTTGAAAGTTTACGAACAGTTTCACGCAGATGGTTGGAAAGTTAGTGACCAACAGGGTCATATGATGTAGAAGGCCGACGATAGCTGCGACGTGAGAAAATGTAACGGTTGGGCTATCACGAGGCATAGAAAGTTGGCGATCCTTTCTATTAACGGGTCTGACTTTGTACTTGATTGCTTGATCAGCAGCACATCCGCAAAGCGCGACGTTGCCTTGTTCGGAGTACTGCATGCTGCTTTCGTGTTCTCGGTCTTGGGCTGGCAAACAAACAACATAACACGTCTGGTGGCTTTGGTGACTCTCTAGGAGTTTGGTTGGAATAAACAGGGCTGATGTGCAGGCCGTATCCTCATGTTCCTGCGACTAAGAACAATGTCATCACTAGAAGTTACGGGTTCAGGTCCAGACGATTAAGCTGTCATCCATGTGCAACTGCTTGGATTATAAGCCCAGTTATCAGGAGTGTGAGGCAAGCCCGAGGCACCTTTTTGTAGCGACAAAGTGCTGCAGATACGACAAAGTTGCCCCAGGTGGTTTTACTTGCGAAGACGCCACTCCCTTAAGGGGAAAACATGGCGAGCGAGCTAATCATGCTCGGAGAGAGATTACTCTTACGGGTAATAGCTCTCATACGAGGGCTGACATCTATAAGGTTATGACTCCTAAGGCCGAGTGATAGCCTTCCAAAAAAAAAGAACTCACAAGTCAGTACAGTCCGTCTCTTTTTCCCCGTCCCGTCTCTCTTTCTTAGCTTCTTAGGCGCTCCAGTTGACCTGATACTATAACTCCGGCTAAAGCAACTCTCAAAAGGATGGCAAGGACCTAAGGAGGGTGTCGCCTTGTTTGTGCGTGGCTGCTGTATTCTGGATACATTAGGGGGGTTTAGCTTCAAAGTACTGGGCGAGATGGACTGGTACAGATATTTGGGGTTTTTGAACAACCGGGTGGACTCGTATTCTCCCTTTCAACAAAGTTTTGATAATGTCACCCGGACTTCCGAGAGAGGCCACATCAGGAAATTCCACTTCTCGAACAGGGCTTTGATATCAGTCTCGCAGAGGTCGGCACAAGGTCTCTTCCCGATTGTGAGCTCGTACATCAGAGCGGCGAAGGCGAACATGTCTCCATATGTCGATAGTAGGTCTATAGGGTACTGATAGCTCGGAGTGAACTTCCATCAGGAGAGGTAGCGAATCGATTGAGTATCTTGCGAAGTCGGAAAGCTTAGCATTAAGCTCATCGTCCAACAACACGTTCGCAGGTGTGAGGTCTCTGTGGATGATTTCAGCATCGTGTGTACGCAAGTGCGTCCACTATTTGAGTCATCCAGCGGAGCCGAAGAGCTGAGCTGACCTCGTGACGCTTCACGAAAGACTGTAAATCGTACTTCGATGCACACTCGAGACGGATTGCGCCACCCTCGAATTCGCTTAAGACGAAAGAATACCTGGCGCGGCTCTCTTTCGGCTAACCTTTCGTAAATCTCCCGTTCTCTCGCATCTGATAGCGGCTCGTGATGCCCCAGGGTGTTTTAATGCCTATTTCCGTGATTGAGTCAAGGACAACAAGACCGGTACTGCCCCAGGCGACGATATCGTCAACACCGAACCAAGGTGGAAACGGTATGTCATCGAATGTCATCGTGGTAGCTGATAGAACCATCCGAATCTAAAGGAACGGAAAGTCGGTGAAGGTGGGACATCTTTTTGTGAAGTGTTTGGGCTAGGAGGGTTACCTGCTTCGAAGAGTTCCTGGAATAGCCCATTAGAAAATCCAGACCAACATCCGCAGACAGACCAGGCAAGGTCAAGTGAACACTTAAGTGGTTTCTGTGAGTACCGAGGTAAGTAGGAAAAGGCCACGGCTTTTTGAGGTCATCATGGCACCCAATCGTCGGCAATGCAGCACCACCGACAGATCATGTACCGGGGCCTCGCACTACCTAGAGAGCCCCGCTTAGGAGTCAGTCAGGTTTCCGGTGTTCGATGTTCTTGTGGTGCCACGTCATTTGTACTACAAGGCTCCCTACGTTGTTCCGTGGGTATTGCGGCTTTGGAGCATCTATTTCGTCAGTTCAGTGTTAGATGGAACTGTTAGTCAGGTATAGGGTGCCGTGCGCGAAGCCAGGTTTGCTTTAATTCGCCCCTGAGAGCAAGATAGCCTCTTTTGGGTGTGTTTTAGCCGCCCTTAGCCCCAACTTCAGTCCGCGGCGTCGAGCAGACGCCTGTCGCCTCATGACAGCCTTGCTGTTGCTGCAGTACCAAACTGGGACAAGACGAGAGCCTGATTGTCCACGTGGCAAACACATTCTGACTCGGGAAAGGCTACAAGTTCGTAATCTTCGTGTCGTCTGGATCAGCGCTTTTGTCTCGCCACAACCCGATTTCACATCGCCACCACATCCATCTGTATCCACTCCACATAGAGCCCAGCCATGAACTCGAAACGACCATATCACGAGGGTGAATCTCAGTCGGGATATTCAAAGAGACCGAAACCGTTTGACGTCAACAGTCGCGCTGACGCTGGCAGCAATCCGGCCCCGCACAACGCACTCCGCTCCTCGGTGATGCACAAATATACGATAGCCTGGATCTGTGCGCTACCTCTGGAACTCGCCGCGTCGCGAGCCATGCTCGACGAAGAGCACGAAGCGCCAGTCATCCCAGCAAGCCACAACAACCAATATGTGCTGGGGCATATCGGTCATCAGAACGTCGTCATGACGTGTCTTCCAAGACAGTACGGCAATAACAACGCAGCACTTGTTGCAACCAACTTGAAGAGAAGCTTTCCAGGGGTCATAGTCAGCTTGATGGTGGGTATCGGTGGCGGGTCGCCCAGCATGGCCGACTTGTACCTTGGCGATGTCGTTGTCGGAACCAGAGTCATGCAGTATGATCTGGGGAAAATCCTCTCAGCGGGATGGTTCCAGTCAACAGCTGACCCCAAGATTCCTTCGTCACGACTACGTTCTACCATCACAGGGTGCCCTCGCCCTACGAAAAAGGTTATCAGAAATACCCTCCGAGCTAAGCGAACTCTTCAAACGGATATTGACCCGAGATGGAAACAATCCGGAGTTCTTACTACTCTGCGTTCTATGGATACTTTGCGCGAAACAGCCACTTTCTCCGACAGAATTCCGTCATGCCATGTGGGCGGGGTTACTAGAAAAAGGTCTCGTCGATGAGGAATTGCCAGACGATTCAGATTCGGAGGCTTCAAAACTCGTAATAAGTTCTTCCAAAGGACTTGCAGAGATCACCAAGGCCAGGCAGCCGACAGTGCAATTCATTCACGAGTCGGTCCGTGACTTCTTAGTCAAAGAAAAAGGCCTACAAGAGCTGTGGCCTGAGCTTGGATTCAAATGGGAGGCACCCAGCCACCAAAGGCTAAAGAATGCATGTGTCGTACTTGAATCATCCAATAGTCCGGGCAATCAGGAATCAAACCATCAACGAGGACAACGAACAAGCAATAGCGATACCCAGCCCTCTTTCTACACACTCTCCCAGGAATGCACGGAGCGAGGACTTCACAAGGCTATGTTTTCTGAAATATGCCAGTCAACAGGCCCTTTATCACGCTGATGCAGCGGTCTTTTCGCGCCTCAGGATGATTATTTATCTCAGTTTTTCAATGGTACCGGAATCGAATGGCTCAATCACTACGAGACTTACAAGAAGCGTCATTTCAACAAATCCGCAACGCCACTCTATGTACTCGCGGACAAGGGCCTCGAGAGGCTGATACGAGCACGTATGAGAACAGAGTCACCAACGCATGCTGTGGCAGAACGATATGAGTATCCATTCTTCGCCGCGTTAGCCAACGGCCATAAAGGGGCCGCAGCAGCCCTTTTTGGCCTACCCTCACTTACTTGTGATGGTGTTGACATGTCCGACGGTATTAACTTCATGAAGGACATGGTAGGATGCCGAGGTCGAACACCACTATCATGGGCTGCTCGGGAAGGCAGAACAAAGATTGCAGAAGCGCTTCTCCAAGGAGGATCAGATTCTGACGAGAAGGATGCACGAGGTTCTAGACCACTCGAAATTGCTTTGAAGAGTAAGCATAAGGCAATAGCCCAATTGCTTATAGACTCCGGGGCATCGTGCCACAGCTCTGACCTGTTCGAAGCTTGCAGTCAAGGTTTAGAACCTATCCTGACACTACTTCTGGATAGGTGTGAAACGGATATAAATGTTCTGAATAGCGATGGGAACTCGCTGGTTCTAATGGCCTCAGAGCTGGTTATGAAGGTTTTGCGCGGCATCTTCTAAATAAGGGGTCAGCTATAGACCTCCAGGATCACTCTGGGGTTACTGCACTTATACACGCCTCTCAACGGGGCCATATAGGGGCTGTACAGCTTCTTCTAGAGCATGGCGCCGCTACAGACCTTCAGGATCACTCTGGGGCTACTGCACTTATGCACGCCTCTCATTTCGGGAGGACGGATATTGTATAATACCTCAGCGATAGAGGGGTACTGTACTAGGCCTCTTGGATTCAAAGTGATGATATCTTCCAGCTTTTCTAGAACACTTGCATCTATAAATATGTAATCAGTACTAGATACGGCACTTGTGGAGGCCCTGTAAGACCGATAGGAAAATCCGTTACAGCTGCTCTTAAAGTTGATAGTAAATATAGAACCTGACAATCAGTAAATGAGCTAATTATTCAAACTAGCTTTGAGTACTAAGGTAGATTACGTCTGAGATAAAGAATCAAGGAGAAAAGGTATAATGAGTACAATCTTGAGTATCATAACTACGTTGCGCTGTCTGTATTGAGCGGGAGGCTGTATGAGTTGTTTCGACTCTTGATCAATCACAACTTCGAACACTGTTTTTAATACAACTAAAAGCCATTCTTAAACGCTTACCATGTCTCTCATAGCCTCTTGTTGAATTTTCGAGGCTGATCAAACTTTTATAATTATTGTTTGGGCCTAAATATGAAGATGCAATTGATTAAGACAGGATGGGATCTAGTCTTTGAATTATTACAATTTCCTTGGTGCAGGTTCCATTCAGATCACCGTATCATAGGAACGCTCTCTAACACACCTTTAGAGTTGGGTAAGGTATGCACCGCACAAGGGAGGTGTGATGCCCGCCAAACACTGCCTCAAGGTGTTGCCGCGACGATCAAGTGCAAGCATTCACCACACTGAGCCCAACCAGGCGTGTGCCTTCCCGTCCATTGTATATCGTCCAGTGCCAAGCATTTGTTATCCTCTCAAATGTTGGTTGTGGTGCGCCGACATTCTAACCCGATATCATCACTGCCAAGTTTCCATCAACAACTTACGTACTATAGCCTTGCAGTCAAGAGTCCCGATCTCCGACAATCATGTCCATCCAGGCTCCCTCCTCGACAGAGGCCCCTCCATGCATCCTCCCACGACGCGATCGAACCCCCTGCGCCGGCTGCGGCTACACCCCGCAGCGCGCCTACCAAGATCGAACCAAGTACAGATCCCAGCTGGCCCTCGACTTCGTCGGCCGCGACATCGCAACCTGGACCATCGGCGCCGACACCCTCCTTAAAGACAGCTCCGCCGCGCAGGGCGGCAACGAGGTCGACACGCTCCGCTTCCTCCGCAGGAAGGCGCCCGAGCTGCCCACGCCCGATGTCAAGGCTACGTGGGAGACGGGCGGCAGGCGGTACATCGTCCAGGACCGTGTGCCCGGCCAGACCCTCGGCGCCGTGTGGCACGAACTCGACCTATCCGCCAAGGTCCGCATCCTAGACCAAGTCGTTGCCGTGATCGAGCGGTGGCGCACCTTTACGAGCGGCAAGATGAGCAGCGTCACCGGTGGTCCAGTCGAATCCCTCCGTTGGTGGTCGACAGGATTCACGCCGTGGGGTCCGTTTCGACGCAAGCGCGAGCTGTTCGCCTACTTTGAGGCTGCAATGGGCGATTGTCCTGAGGTGGTCCGCCATATGCTGTGGCGGAACATGCCGGACTGTCGGCCTTGGACGTTCTCGCATGGCGACCTTCATGTGTACAACATCATGGTGGAGGATGGGAATCTCTCCGGCATCATCGACTTTGCGACGGCAGGGTTCTATCCGGTGTGGTGGGAGTATGTCCAGTTGAGGCTCGCGTGTGGAGCCAAGCCAGATCACGAGTGGAAGCACATGCTCCAGCTACGAATGAAGGATTCGTGCCATGAGGCAGAGGGGGCCATGAGGTGGGCGAAGGTCTGCGATGAGCTCGCCTTCCTGCCGGATGGCGTGACGAACGCGGCCGTTGCCTGGCTGCGTGAGCAGTTCCCCAACGAACGTCTTCGAAGGTACGAAGCAATTGCAGACGTGCGTCCGGGCAACGATCAGAACGAAGGGGGTGAGTTACAGCGAGGAGATGGCCTAACAGCGAAGCCCGAGTCCAAGACGACTGCCACAAAGGCATATCTTGCGCGTTGGCGTGCGAAACTGACGACGCGGCACGGATGCTGGCGGTGAGCAGCAACTCATGAGTTTCGAGCTATCAAACTGAGGTACATCTCAGACTGAGCCGTAGGAATTTCTTCGTGGTTCGTGTGTCGATAAGCTATGTCGACCCGTCTTGCCCATCTCGAGTACGTGATCAAGCGTATGAAAACGGTCCTCGTGCGGCGGCGGAGTCGCAGGGGTGGAAGAGCTGGCCGACGGGTGGTACATCGCTGACGGGGCAGGCTCGAGGTCCACGGGGGTGTCGCGCCGCTTCGACAGGTCTTCGGCATTTTGGAACAGGTTCCCGAAGAAGCCAGAAACCCTTTTTGGTATTGTCCTCCTGGTTGATTCGCTGCGCCGTACGGTGCTGTGCTGGAGGTGACTTTCGAACGAGTTGATTTCGTGGGAGGCCTTGACGATCTTGGCGATGAGCTGGGCCATGTTCAACTCAATGTGGAGTTTGGCGAGATAGGTGAGGGGGTGGGATTGGCCATAGCTGTGACTGTTAGCACCGGAGAGGGCAAGCATAAGAATAAGTTACCCACACGAAGGTATTCGGCAAAGACATGAGGCCGATGATCAAGATATCGAGAGATATGGAGATGCAGATCATGGCCAGGTTGAAACGAAACAGCACGGTGTACTTGGTCAGTCCGTAAGCGATCAGTCGCGACCTGACGAGATAGATGAACGGAAGGTTGAGCCCCAAATCAATGACGAGGAAGAGGCCCTTTTCGATGCGGTCCCAGATGTCGTTGGCATGAATGATGCCCTCGCTGATCTGCAGGCGTGCAGGGATCCAAACGCAAAAGACGCTGATGTTGATGACCAGCAGCACGAGAAACACACCCCATTTGAGACGAGTTGCGTGGGCTGGAACGTGCATGAGGAGGGCGATGCGATTTATGATGATTTGCATGAGGCACTGTACCTGGAACACCCATAAGACAACTGGTGTGGTCAGCGAGATGTTTGCAAGAGAGCTTCTATAATCAATCGGCTTTGTCTGCGGCATTACTTACGGACGAAGAAGAAGAACTCAAAGCTGTCGGACGTCAACATCACAGATCTCTTCAAGAATGAGGTTCGTCGTCTTGCTCACCTGGGTCCGAACCACCCTCGAAGGAAGATCCAAGAGATGATGCCCATGATCATGTTGGAAATCCACTGGGCCCATATCAGCGCAATGTAGGCGTTGACTCGGTGTATCCTTTTCAGTGTCACCATGGTCTGCTGGATCGCCTTGGTACCGGTCCAGACACCCAGTCCTAGCGTGAAGCCCCACAAGAGGCTCGCGATGTTCTCCTCATCTCGATTCAGCGGGCTGGGCTTGTACCAGGGCGGCACAAGCGTGCCTCCCGGGCTGTCGGACATTTCGGTTTTGACAGCGGTGGTCGACGGCTATCATCAGTACATGCGTAGCGCGCAGAATGCGAGGCGACGCACGAGGTCAAGATGTAGAAAAGTCGGGCACCGAACACGGTCAGCCTCCCGAACACATAGATGCAGCGAAGACGGTCAATTGAATCATGACAAGAAAAAAAAAGCCTACCCCCAGCAGCGGTCGCGAGGTAGAAGAAAGCCCGGATGGCGCCCGCGGTACATACAGCCTTCCCAAGGGTGGACTGATGCATGGGGAGGCGTTCGCGGCGGGCCATCCGATGGACGCCGGCGCCAACTCTAATCCTGCTGCTGGCGAAGACACGGATCCAGACGCCGATCAGATCGTGCACAATTGGCAGGCCGCACTGGGACCCTCAGGCATTGTGGGTTTCGAGGTCCAATATAATCAGGTCCAATTCTCTAGCTATCTCTAGCTAGTAACCCTCGAACACCTAACGGTAACGTACTACGGCAAATGCATGACTTGCCGGGGAAGAAAGAAAGATGCAAATTTAGGGAAACTGGTAACAAAGGTTTCCGTCGGAGATGCAGATGTCCTGCTGGGTACTCGGTCACTACCGGGGATTATTCCGACTGCAGCCGACAAACGTCTTCAGGTACTCGCCCTCGCAAGAGAACAGGCGAGTGAAACATGGGAGAAAGGGGGGGGGGGGGGGGTTGGCGTTGGGGTGCGTCGACGCCAGCGGGATGTATCGAACGGCGACTTGTTCGTTGGTCTTTTCATCGCTGCGAATCAAGACGTCGCTTTCGGCTGGTTCGGCTGGCCAGGCTGTCTTATCCAACGATGGCAAACGGCTTGTCGGGACCGTGCTGGTGGGTGGTTGGCTCAGGTAATTGGCGTCGTGGAATGCAATGTCATCAAAAACGCCAGGATGTACGTATAACAGGATGCAGAGGCTGCCAAAGGGGGGGCGGTGACAGTGACTGATCGTCCAAGTCTATTGAAGCACGTTTCTTCTTCGCGTGCTGTGCAACACAGCAACTTTCACTGGGGGGAAGGGTGTCTCAAACCCAATCTGAACGCAGTCGTCAGCTTGTGGCCCCGGTTGGAGTGACACCTCATTTGGTGTCGGGAGTTGTACCATGCCTTGCAATGCGTCGAAAGGTGTCACATGAAAGTCTGGAGAGCCAACCACCACTAGAGTAGCCACCAGTAGAGCAGTGAGTCACAAGGCCGCAAAGGCGCACAGCACCTTGAAGCGCACTTGCCAGGAATGCTCAGTTGTTGATCGCTTCTTTCAAGAGTCGCACGGTACTAGTGCCCATCTGCGCCAAATTGGCCCAGATGCTGACCTTGTCTACGAAGACATGGGGCTGACCCAGTGTCGATTCCTTCTTCCTCGCATGATGTGGTGGCTCGCGAGGCTTGAAGATGGGATCGTCGGTGCGGGGGAGTTGGGGCGCTGTCGCCGTGACAGCTGTGTCGGCCTTTGCATCCAGTGGCCGAAGAAGAGGCTTGACTTTTTGTTCGGGTTGGCTGGTCATGTTGATGATACAGTTGGCAGTGCGAGGAGTAGAGCGCGGGATTCATTCGTGGCTGGCAACATGTCTTATGTACGAACGACCTGTCACCCCCACAGAACATACATGTATACTTCGGCCTGTGGGATGTTTGCTGGGATAGTTGCTCCGCCACCTCGTTCAAGGCCGCTCTACGTCGTTGGCATTAGCTGGAAATGGGCGGCGCATTTGCTGCTCCTGCACCGCCTTCCCCGAACAGGGCCTCGCTCGATAGACGAAGGATTGTTGAGGGTCGGGGTCCGTATTCGCACTGCTGTTGTGCTGTCATGTTCGTAGCAGCACACTCTGCCAGAGCAGACCGCCACTTGAAGCCGATGCCAGAGAACACTGGAAGCTGAATACTCCCCCAAGCAGTGCGACGGACAAGACATTGTCGCCATGGTACAAAGTACAGTACTGTCCATCGGTGGACCCCGCTTCGTCGCAGCTGCAAGGCAGATTGAGAATGGGAAGGCTTCCCAGGCGATTCCTCCGACGAAGCGGAGGCACAGCCCTACTCCTTGGGCCAGAACGACAGGGGTCCCTATGTACGTGCCGCACCAGCCCTCCGACGTGTGCGTCCACGTTCAAGATGCTCGCTGATGACTTTCGGGGGCATTTCCCAGAACGCTGGCAGAGCTTCTTTTCGATGTGTTATGCAGATCGGTATAATTGGCCATGTCGAGGCGTCCGGTTCGAAGATTCAATGCTACGGACGTTAGTGAGCAAACGACGATTCGTGGGGTGGCTGGGAAGCTCTGAACTCTCAGAAGGGTTGCCTCGCGTTAGAACTGTTCATCCGTCAGACAGCTTTCAAGGAATTTGGGCGAGCAGCATGGGAAGGGTCTTCGATTATTGGGGGTAGATTCATAGGATGGAAAGCACTGATGGGGATGAGGTAGGTACCTTACCTTTTCAAGGACAATTCAGAGAGGCAGGAGGAGCATTAAACACTGACGGCTGGCCAAAGCTCAACACAGTCGATTTTTCCCCAGATTTTGTGGCCCATCAACCGTCACCAGGAGCAGCTACCGGGGCAGGGGGGGGGGGGGGGG